TGCCCTGCAGGTAGCGAAGAACCCGCATGGCCGCCTTCCAATGCTCTTCACCATGCCTGCCGGTGCCAACGAACTGCGCCAGAACACTGACTGGGTATGCAAGGTCGGGACGGGTGCAGACCATGGCGTACATCAGGGCCCCAACAAGTTCTGCATAGGGATGAGGGGAGGTGACGGGAGTGGTGGGAGGGGAGAGCCGATGCCCGAATGCAAGTGGTGTGGGGATGGGTTTGCAGGTTTTCATGCCAAACCTCTCAAGAATCTTCTCGATGTAAAAAGACTGAGAGAGGGTGATGGTCTTGGCAGTGAGGTCGCGGGTGATCTCCATGCCGAGGTAGTTGCGAACCTCCCCCAGGTCTTTGCAAGCGAGGCGTTTCTGCAGCTCATCTTTGACCTCCTGGAGTTCAGCATCCGTGTCAGCTGCCAGTAGCATGTCGTCGACGTAGACGAGGATGAAGAAGGGTGATGGGGTGAGGCGTAGGAAGAGGCAAGAGGCAGCACGAGAGGGGCGAAAGCCAAGAGCACGAAGGGTGGAGGAGAGTTTGGCGTGCCATTCCCGAGGGGCTTGTTTGAGCCCATAGACTGGGCGTAGCAATTTCCAGACAGTAGCAGGGTCGTGAGGGGCGTGGAAGCCTTTGGGTCGTTCCAGAATGATGAGTTCGTGAAGGTCGCCTTGTAGAAAGGCGGTGGTGACATCCATGGAATGAAGTATCATCCCACGCCTTCCAACAAAGTCCAAAAACACGCGAATGACCGGCGGAGTGGCGGTGGGTGAGTAGGTCTCGAAGAAGTCGGAGCCATAGGTCTGTGTGAAGCCTTTTGCCACATATCGAGCTTTGTAGACCGGAGCGTCGCCTGGAAGTAGTTTGACTCGGAATAGCCATCTGCCTTTGACCACGTTGTGCTTAGAGGGACGAGGAACGTCGAGAAACGAGCGATTGCTGATGAAGGCGTTGCTCTCCTTGACCATGGCCTCGATCCAGAGAGGTGCGTCAAGACAGGCCAGTGCTTGCTCATAGGTGGTGGGTTCGTAGATGGTGGGTGTGGTGGAGAAGAGAAGGACAGTGGTGCCAGCCATTGTGCGGACGACAGGGGCGATGGTGGGTGAGAGGAGGTGGAGGAAAAGAAGCTCATCGTGAGAGTCTTCAGAGAGGTCCGGAGTGAGAGGAGGAGGAAGAGGAGGTGGTGGAGTTGCAAGACAGCTGCGCTGGAGGGTCGGGCCGATGCGGGGACACAGCTGCACTGGTGCTCTGCTGCGCTGAGGGTCGGGGCGGGGAGACAGCTGCATTGCAGCTCGGCTTCGCTGAGTTGCCGTGAGGGGCAGGGAGACGGGAGCGCAACTGGCGAGAGCACCTGAGGTGCTGGTGCGGGGGGGAGGGGAGGTGCTATGGTGGCGGAGAAGGGGGACTGATGTGAGAGACTGGAGGGAGGGGGGGGTGGACCTTGGGGTACCAAGAATGGGGACCGTGGAGCGGGTGTGAGGGTAGTGGCGGAGTATGAGAGGGGGAGTGGGAAGTAGGGGCCGGGAGGATGGAGGTGGAGTGAGTGGGGGAGGGCGTGGGGAGGGGGGAGGTGGGGGATGTTGTGCATGGGGGGAAGGAGGGGGGGGAGGGGCAGCGGGTGGGGAGGGAGGGGGAGGGGCAGCGGGTGTGGAGGGAAGGGGAGGGGCAGCGGGTGGGGAGGGAAGGGGAGGGGCAGCGGGTGGGGAGGGAGGGTGGACGGGGTCAAGGATGTCTCCTGATGAGGCGGGGGGAGAGGGGGGAGGGGGTGGGGGTGCAGGGGGGACGATGGTGGGGGGGGGGAGAAGGGAAGGGGAGGGGAGAGGGGGTGGGGGGGGAATGGTGTCAGTCCAGAGGAAGGGACGGGTGGTTAGAGGGAGGGGGTTAGGGACTTTGGGGGAGGTGTAGTACGGGCGGGCTTCATCGAATTCCACATCCCGACTACGAATGAGGCGACCTGAGGGGGGATGGAGGAAGAGATAGTCCGGGGAGGAGGTGTTGTGACCAAGGAAAATGCAGGGGAGAGTGCGGGAGGCTAGCTTTCCAGCTTTGCGTGAGCGGTCGACAGGGTGTATGAGAACATACGCCATGGAACCCCATACGCGCAAGGGGGTGATGTCGGGTTTTTTGGATGTCCAGAGTGCGGTGGGAGTGGTGGTGGGCCGGGAGGGATGAGGGTACAAGTTAGTGAGGATGGCAGCGTGGAGGATGGCATAGCCCCAGAGAGAGGGCGGGCAGGAGGCATGGACCATGAGGCACCGAGCAGTCTTGGTGACCTCACGGACCCTGCTTTCTGCCACGCCATTCTGCTGAGGGGAATGAGGTAGGGTGTAGGTGTGAATAATGCCACGAGTGGTGCAGTAGGATGAGAGCATGTTGTTAAGGAACTCACCACCGCCATCAGAGTGGAAGCGGGAGACAGGGCGTTTGAAATGGGTGCGTGCTTGTTCAGCCCAAGCAATAATAGCAGCCGGGGCCTCCGCCTTCGTGCGAAGGAGGGAGACGGAGGAGTAGCGGCTATGGTCATCCTTTAGGATGAGCAGGTATTTATGACCTTGCCTGGTGGGGGAAGGGTTGGGGCCCCAGAGGTCCATGTGGACGAGATCAAGAGGCTGGGGAGAAAAGGAGGGATGACTCTTGTGGGGGGCCTGTTTCAGTTTGCTTTCAACGCATACTGAGCAGGGAGGGGAGGGTGATGGGGGGAGAGGGGGAAGGGTGAGGGGGAGGCCGTCGAGGAGTTGGGTGGAGACAGTTTGACGGAGGGTGGCAAAGTTGGGATGACCCAACCTATGGTGAAGGAGAACTGCGGGGTGGGTGAGGTTACGACAGTGACAGGAGGAGGTGGGGGAGGGGGGGGGGGGGGGGAGGGGAGGGGAGGGGAGGGGAGGGGAGGGGAGGGGGGGAGAGGGGATGGGGGAGGGGATGGGAGGTGGGGAGGGAAGGGGGAGCGGAGGTGAGGGGAGGGGAAGGGGTGAGGTGGGGGCGATGAGGTGGTGAATGGAGGTGCGAGGGGTGCGGTACGTGTACAGGTTTGTGCGAGGGCAGAGGGGAATGCGACAGATGAAGCGACCAGTGGTGGTTTGAAAGAGGTCGCAGTGGCGTGCATGACCGGGGAAGAGGGCGGTGATATTGAACCTGGTGAGGTCACACAGTGCTACCAGATTGTTGCGTAGGGAGGGGATGTATAGACCTGTGACTGTACCTGAGGGGAAGATGGGACAGGGGAGGGTGGAGGTGTGACTACTTGTGATGGTGAAGCTGGAGTCAGCTCCGTGGATAGTGGAGGGAGTGGGGAGGGGTACCAGTGTGCCTGCATCACGCAGAACAGTGTGTGTCGCTCCACTGTCAAGGATAAACTCAAGGCATGAAGAGGAGGAGGAAAAGGCGGAGTACTGGAAGAGAGACTCATTAATAGCATGTGCATACATAGAATCAGCAGGAGCAGTGCGAACATGTCCTATAAATCCAGCAGAGGGGAACGGAGTAAAGCCAGGAGGGTTGGAGGAGGAGGAGGGTGGTTCAGCAAGATTAGCAGCAGGTCCAATAGGTCCATGACCATATCCAGGAGGTGGGTAAAGAGGGTAAGGCCAGCCAGCATAGGGTGGAGGGTAGTGAGGGGGAGGGGCTTGAGGCGGAGGTGTGGATGGAGGAGGAGTGGGAGTGGTGGGAGTGGAGGGGAGAAGATGCTGAACTTGTTGAAGGATGTGAGATGGGAGATGCTGAGTGAGGACATTGTGAAGGTTGGGAGTAGAGGGTTGATAGGCGGGGAGGGTGCGGATGTCATGAATGGAGGGGCGTGGGAAAACAGTGTTCCAGCGAGGTGGAGTGCCAACGTTGCCACGTGCAAACCACTCGTCAGTGAGGGCTTTGAAGCACGTGTCCGTGGTGTGAGTGGTCTGAGAGCATGGCTGACCTTTGTTGGAGCCATAACGGATGATGTACTGACACGGGGGGAGGGTGCCTAAAGGTGAGGGATATCCGCCGCGTCCGCCACGGCCACCACCGCGACCACCACCGCGTCCTCCGCCTCGGTCGCCACCACGTCCACCACCACCACTACCGGCGCCACCTGGGCCACCACCTGCTCCGCTGTTGTGGTTGCCTGTGGTAGCTTTGCGGGTCTGGACAGCATTGACGGTGGCGGAGTCACGTTGAATGTCCGCTTCGCTGTCAAGGAGCCACTCGATGGTGTCAGCCACAGGAGGAGGATGACGGTAGCGAGAGGTGAAGGTGATGCGGTAGGTGTCATATGTGGGAGGGAGGCAGTCGAGGATGCGTGCAGTAAGAAGGGACTCAGAGATGACAATGCCCCGGTCATTGAGGCGTTGCGCAGTGTCAATGAGGCGACGGGTGTATGCAGCAGCAGTGGGGGAGGAGTCAAGGGTGATGTCTTGGAATTTGCGAAAGAGGGCGAGGAGGGAGCGAAGGTCCTGACGGTCGTACTGAGTAAAGAGGGTTTTCCAGAGTCCAGAGGAGGAGGTGGGACGAAGGTCGCGTTTGAGGTGGGAGGGGATGCAGGAGAAGATGATGGCGAGTGCACGACGATCAGCAATGCGCCATGCTGCAACATCCTTGTGGATCTTGCGAAGCTCCTCAGCATAGTCTTTTTCGTCTTGAGCGTAGGAGAGGATGCGTGCAGTAGCATCAGCGTGTGCTGCTTCCGCAACACGGTGCGCCTCACGCTGGAGGGTGTAAGTGTCGCGAAGCCTGTTGTAGGCGTTCAGGTTGGCCCCCCAGCGATCCGGGTTGTCATCATGAACTGGGGCACGCGGGGGGTCGGGAAGAGGCTCGGGTGGAGGAGGGGCGTCAGGGGGAGGAGGTTCAAGGGGAGGGGGGAGAACAGGTGGGAGGCCATTAGGGTGCTCGAGGACTACATCAAGAAGGCAATAGTCTTGAATAATGACGGAGCCAAGGTGCGTGTGAAGCGTATCTTCAAACGACGCCCAGTTGACGGCCGTGGTGTCATGGAGAAGTTCGAGCTTGTCAATGGCTCCGAGCTCAATGGGAGTGGAGTCGTCCGCCATGAGGAGGAGGAGGGGAGGGGGTGACGACACCGGCTTGAGGGCGGGTGCGGTCAAAGAGGACGACACCACTTGGAGGGGTGGTGCGGTCACGTTACGCGTGGCGGCGCCGGGTTACTTGCAGCTGCGTTTGTGTCGCCCGTGGTTGCGCCTCGTGGCCCGCGACTGTGCGTCGGTCCGTGGATGCGCCTCGTCGCCCGCGGGTGCGCGTCCGTCAGCGGATGCGCCTCGTCGCCCGCGGGTGCGCGTCCGTCCGCGGATGCGCCTCGTCGCCCGCGGGTGCGCGTCCGTCCGCGGATGCGCCTCGTCGCCCGCGGGTGCGCGTTCGTCCGCGGATGCGCCTCGTCGCCCGCGGGTGCGCGTCCGTCCGCGGATGCGCCTCGTCGCCCGCGGGTGCGCGTCCGTCCGCGGATGCGCCTCGTCGCCCGCGGGTGAGCGTCCGTCCGCGGATGCGCCTCGTCGCCCGCGGGTGAGCGTCCGTCCGCGGATGCGCCGCGTCGCCCGCGGGTGAGCGTCCGTCCGCGGATGCGCCTCGTCGCCCGCGGGTGAGCGTCCGTCCGCGGATGCGCCGCGTTGCCCGCGGGTGAGCGTCCGTCCGCGGATGCGCCTCGTCGCCCGCGGGTGAGCGTCCGTCCGCGGATGCGCCGCGTCGCCCGCGGGTGCGCGTCCGTCCGCGGATGCGCCTCGTCGCCCGCGGGTGCGCGTCCGTCGGCGAAAGTCGCCGCGGTGGTCGCGTCCGCCTTCGGCGGCGGAAGTCGCCGCGGTGGTCGCGTCCGCCCTCGTCGGCGAAATCCGCCGCGGTGGTCGCGTCCGCCCTCGTCGGCGGAATCCGCCGCGGTGGTCGCGTCCGCCCTCGTCGGCGAAATCCGCCGCGGTGGTCGCGTCCGCCCTCGTCGGCGAATTTCGCCGCGGTGGTCGCGTCCGCCCTCGTCGGCGGAATCCGCCGCGGTGGTCGCGTCCGCCCTCGTCGGCGGGATGCGCCGCGGTGGTCGCGTCCGCCCTCGTTGGCGGGATGCGCCGCGGTGAGGGAGGGGAGGGGAGGGGGAAGGAAGCGGGCTGCCGGACGTAACTTGTGCGGGGGAGGCACGGGAGAGTGCGTGAGTACGAGGGGGGAGGGGGGCCGTGAAGGCGTATAGCGCAACTTAGGCGCGATGAGCGGCAAAGAGCCGTGGGAGAGAGGGGGGCGTGATACGGCACGCGTTAGGTGTGGTCCTTAGGATCGAGAGACGGTGTTAACCGTTGTAGCTCAGATACCATGTGAGAAAAAGTGAGGAAGAACCATTGATGATATTAGGAATAGAGGGAGTATACATAGTTGTGCTAGGAGGGATGGTTTGGTTGGGGACCTAGCCAACATTATTGGCCCCCACCAATAAGTTGGGTTGAGGACTTATTGGGGGGACCAATAATGTTGACCAAAGGTGGTTCAACATTATTGGGGGGGCCAATAATTCCCAACCCAACCTTGGGGGCCAAATAATTGGGCCAAGTGTTGAGTTCCAACCCCAACTAGGGTTAGCCCTAGTTCTACACCCAAACTACATTTGGGTGTCTACCTCTAGCCGAAGCTTATAGGATAGATGCAGGTTACAAGTGAGGATGGTATTCTAACACTCTCTGCTCCTAGAAGTTCCAAAGCTCAATTGCTGGCACAAATAGGCTTCTCCCTTGTGAGGCGATGCTGGTCGCGCCTCAAGAACAGAACCAGCGTCTCCCCTTCCCTCCTGACCTCGACCCAGCTCTCTCCACACTCATTCTCGACTGCTGGCACAAGCAAGCTTCTCTCTTCCTTTACCTCCACCCATTCCCTGCTTCCCAGTGACCCCAGGAACGTCCCACGTTTGATGATATCATGGTACGGCTGAATCGCTGAAGGAAGATTGAGCAGACTCAGACGCCCCCCCCATGTGTTTTCCTCCGCCAACACCCCGTGTCTTGTTGGTGCAACCCTACGGTTTGCACTCGGCTTGTTGTCCGTGTGCGTGAATGTGTGTGTGTATGGAATGGTATGAGGGCATGGGATAATATATATTTCATGCTTATAATTGTGTGTGAATGTTGAGTCATGATGTCGAGTGTGTGTGTCGAGTCAATAGCGAGTTATCGCTAGACGCGTGTTACGCGGTCGTTTGTGTCTCGCGCGCGGTTTCTATTTTGTCGTGCGCGGTTTCTATTTTGTCCTGTGTCGAACGTTCGGCGTGTCGCAGGTGTGTGCAGCAGACCCATCAAGAACTCAAGGATGAGTTTGTGATGAAGAGCCCGAGCCTTGGTGTCAAGCCTCAAGTGATTTCGGAGCTTGCCAAAAGGGTACACCTCAAGATATTGAAGATAGTTACATTACTTTGTGTAGTGTAACATTTCACTTGGTGTAGGCCCTAGTGAAGGATAGTTTCGAGACCCTTCGTGGTTGGGGACAGTGTGGCACTGTTCCACATCACTGTACCTCGGCTCTTGGGGTTTGTAGGAGCTGAGAGTCATTCCCAACTCGTAACTCTTCCTATCTTGTGTTCTAAGACTATAGTGGCTGCCATAGTACCGTTCGTTCAAACCGACGCTGTGTCGTCAATTCTTTATCAAATCGTGCAATCTAAATTGCTAATTGTAGACGACGTGAAGACGCTCCAGATCCAATTTGAATCAAGTCATTTGCAGCTGTGAGCAGAACGCTATCAACGTTTGAAGCCGCTGTGCAGAAATCCGTCTGTGCTCTCTATCTTTCGTTTTAGGCACATTCAAGCCTATTGTGACTATAACAAGTGGTATCAGAGCCCCTTGGAGCAGTTTCGACAATGTCTGGACCTGAGGAAAGGGGTGGCAGAGGTGCTGGTGGCAGTGGAGAAGCTCAAGCTCAAGGCCAACCCCGTGATTCAGCCATGGCGCCCATGCAACCAAGTCTTGGCCCACCTAGGGATGAGCCTAGGGTGTTTGGGCTTGACAAGTTCAACGGTGACAACTTTGCTGAATGGTCCTTCAAGATGGAGAACATCTTTGACCACTATGACCTGCTGGAGGTGATGGAAAGAACGGAGAAGCGCCCCGAGAACGACCCGGAGAAGAGCCCGTGGGTGCGGAAGAGCGCACAAGGCTATCTCTTACTTGGGCAAGCGTTGGGGAGCAGTCAGATCCGTCACATCAAGCCATTCCAGCGTGAACCAGAGAAAGGACCAAAGGCATGGGCTGCTCTCAAGGGTGTACATGCTCCTGCAACAGCGGCGGTAGCGGTGGTGTTGGAACGGCAAATGGCGGCACTACGAATTGAAGAAAACGAAGCGGTTGAAGAAGTGGTGCAGAAATTCTTCGACTTGTTGACGCGGCTTGAGGGAGCTGATTTGAACTACAGTGAGCTCCAAAAGAAGACCAAGTTGCTGGCCTTACTCCCAGAGTCATGGTCCTCGCTCATCATCAACCTTAATCGCGACTTGCCCCGCCTCTCGCTTGAAGACGTGAAACGAGCTATCCTTCAAGAGGATTTCCGCCGCCGTGAGTTGGCGAGTGCGGATGGCGCTGGGGCAGCGAGCATCGGCCGTGGATATGGTCGAGGAAGAGGCAGAGGACGAGGGGGAGGAAGGTTTGGTGGCAGCAACTTCGGCGGAGGCCGCAGGAGTGGCGGTTACGGCAGCGACGACAAGAGCTACGGACGCGGTCGCGGCCGATTCGACGGCGAGTGTCACTATTGCCACAAGAGCGGACACATGTGGCGCGACTGCTACAAACTCCCTGATGGTTGGACCCCTGCTCAAGGCCAAGAGGGTAGAGGAGCAGGAGGAAGGAGAGGACGAGGCCGTGGAGGCCGTGGCGGTCGCGGTGGCGGAGCTGCAAACATGAAGAGCGGAGACAACGACAAGGACCCGAGCGACGATCGATACCCGGGTCTATTCTACTTCGTGTCGACGCAAGTACCGGGTGGTCCAGAGAAGGATGAAGGTTTTGAGGAGCCAGCAGCTGTGGGGAAGGTGACCCTACACCCCCTGGACTATTGGGTGATTGATAGTGGCGCTACCTATAGCATGACACCTCGCCCGGACTTGCTCACCGAACTCGAGCCGTCACCGGTGAAGCATGTCACATCGGCTTTGGGGCAGCGAGCAGAGGTGAAAGGCATGGGCAAGGCCATGTTCAAGGGTGCTGATGCGAAGATGGTGGGCCTCAAGAACGTGCTTTGGGTGCCCAGCCTTGCTGCAAACCTGATTTCCGTGCGGCGGTTGGCAAAGGCCGGCATGGACACGAACTCGAAGGGAGCCAAGACCTACACCGCAAGGCTTGGCGATCGAATTCTTTGGGACCTTCATGAGGACAGGGATGTCTACAACGAGATGTGGCAGATCCCAGTGGTCCCTATGCCTAAGGAGAGGCAAGTGGCAGCAAGCATCAGCACCAAGGATGGAGCGGTCGGTAGCGACGATGGCGCGAACGGTCGCGCTAAGGAGAATGAGCTCAAGAAGAGCAAACCTGGAGGGACCAGCAAGTTCAGTGAACCTAAGGAGAGTGGTGCAGCAACCAAGGAGCAGCAAAAAAGTGAGGAGAACCCAAAGGCAGCAGCGGAGGAGGACTACGGAGAGAGTATGTGGGGCGCTATTGCGAACGCGGCATTCTCCAATCCAACTTCGGCTACGGGGGAGTGTGATTGGCTCACCTTGCATCGGCGCATGGGGCATGTGGCCCTGCCCATCTTGCAGCAGCTAGTGAAGAATGAGATGGTTGCTGGCATACGTGTGAAGGGGGGGCCCGATGAGGTGCTTGGCTGCTCGACGTGCATTCAAGCCAAGTTCACCCGGTTTCCGTTCCCTAGTTCGGAGGCAACGGCAAAGGCACCGCTTGATGAGGTGGTGATGGACGTGGTGGGCCCCCTGAAGCTTGGAGCTGCTGGAGCTGAGTATTTTCTCACCATTGTCGACGTCTACACCCGCATGACTTGGGTGTACGTGCTGGCCAAGAAGAGCGACGTGGCTGAAACGTTGAGACGGATTGGTTCCCGATGGTGGAGCGGCAACAAGACCGTCTAGTCAAGTCAATCCGCACCGATCGAGAGGGAGAGTTCCTGAGCAAGGAGTTTGGGTTGTGGCTGAAGAAGAATGGTATTCGGCACTCCCTCACCATGCCATACTCCCCTGCAATGAACGGCATCGCCGAGCGAGCGAACCGCACAATCACGGAGGCGGCACGCGGGTTGCTCATTGAAGCCGGGCTACCCGACTATTTCTGGCCTGATGCGGTGCGGAGCGCGTGTGTGGCCAAGAACAGAGCCTTGACTCATGTGGGAGCAGACAAATGGGTGCCCTATGTGGAGTGGCTAGGAAGGAAGCCAAAGGTGGATATGCTTCGGGTGTTCGGGTGCATGTGCATGGCGCTCGTGCCTAAGCATCTTCGGCACAACAAGCTTGGTGCCAAGGCGGTGTGGGCCGTGCACTTGGGCATGGCTCAAAACAGCAAGGGATGGCTTCTTTGGGACCCATTCACCAAGAAGTTCTTGGTGAGCAGGGACTGCAAGTTCATGGAGAACTTCATGTACAAGGATTGGAAGGCGGAGAATGAGGCGAAGATAGGCGTGCGGTTTGGGGAGGTGAAGACTTCCGGTTTGGAGCATGTGGAGCTGCCTTTGGAGCTGAGCAGCGGCAGCACAACCACAAGGCAATCCTCCCTTGTGAATGGGGGAGAGGAGGCCAATGATGCAGAGGAAGAAGAGGAGGAGGTGCAGCAAGTGAGCGAGCGTGCACCGTCACTCCCTTCCCGTACTACGAGTGCTCCACGGATTCGAGCCACACCGCAGCAACGCCAAGGCTTTCAAGTCCCTGCAGCTGAGGAGGAAGGAAGGGGGAAGAGGAGAGTTCAACCCCCTAATAGGCTGACCTATGATGCGCCGGGAAAGCAGGGCAAAACAGCCCTGGCCGGAGCGGCAATGATGGTCGGAGACGACGAGGAGAGTGACTACGAGGAGTGTGCCTTCGCGTTCTTCTCTCCGGTGGAGATGCCGGGAGAACCAGCAACTCTCAAGGAGGCTTTGGAGAGTAGTGATGCTGAGGAGTGGAAGAAGGCCATGGAGAGTGAGCTGAAGAGTATCGAAGAGAATGACACGTTTGAATTGGTGGAGCTACCGGAGGGGCGTACGGCGATAACGTCCAAGTGGCTCTTCAAAATCAAGTCGGATGCCGACGGCAAGTTCGAGCGCTACAAGTCTAGGCTTGTAGCCAAGGGGTACCAGCAAAAGGAGAAGGTGGACTTCAAGGAGCTGTTTGCCCCTGTGGTGAAGCCGACGACGCTGCGAACCCTATTCGCGGGAGCCGCCATCAAAGGATGGGTAGTAAAGCAAATGGACATCGTAACGGCATTCCTTAACGGCATCCTTGAGGAGGAGATTTTTATGGCGCATCCAGAGGGGTTTGATGATGGTAGTGGCAGAGTGTGGAAGCTGAAGAAAGCCCTCTATGGGCTGAAGCAGGCCCCTAGGCAATGGTACATGAAGTTGCGCGAAGTGTTGGAGGGGATCGGCTTCACTCCCTCAACGGCCGATCACTCCTTGTTCATGCTTGGCGAGGGGGAGCAGAGGAGTTTCATGGTGGTTTATGTGGATGACATCCTCATTTTCTCACCCTCTTCTGACCTTGTGAAGGAGGTGATGCTGAAGCTTCAAGACAAGTTCAAGTGCAAGGCCCTTGGTGACGTGAGCTTCTACCTTGGGCTCCACATCGAACGAGATGTGGAGAAGCGGTGCATGCGGGTGCATCAACGAAAGTACCTGGAGGCATTGGCTGCCAACTTTGGGCAGAGTGAAGGCCATGTGGCTACACCCTTTCCCTCTGGGTTCAAGTGTGTGAAGGGACCAGAGGAGGAGAGCGTTGGTGAAGAGGAGAGGCGCCGATTTCACTCGTTGGTGGGCAGCCTCATGTATGCGGCGGTAAACACCCGACCGGACGTCGCGTTTGCTACCGGGCAGCTGGCTAGGGTTGTGCAATGCCCTAATGAGGAGCAGGTAGCAGCTGGAATGAGGGTGGCCAAGTATCTTGGCCAAACACCGACCGTTGGGCTGCAATACTCGGCGGCGGCACAAAGGCGCCAAAAGGGCGCGGATGGTGTTGAACCCGTGCGTTTGTTCCTCACCGCCTACTCGGATGCTTCATATGCATCAGAACCAGAGGACATGACAAGTGTGGGAGGCTTCATATGCTGTGTTGGTGGAGGCCCAACTGCTTGGGAGAGCAAGAAGCAGGTTGACCAAGCTTTGAGCTCGGTGGAGTCCGAGTACATGGCACTCTTCCGTGCCGTACGGGAGATTGTGTGGCAGCGGCGTTTGTTGGCTGAATTGGGGGAGGAGCAGCAAGGACCTACCCCACTGTACTGTGACAGCCAGGGTGCCATTGCTCTTGCTAAGAACCCTGTGTTGCATGGACTCACGAAGCACATGAGGGTGAAGTGGCATTGGACGAGGAGCATGGTAACCGCGGGTGAAGTTGAGTTGCGCTACGTGAAGACCACGGGGCAGCCGGCTGACATGATGACCAAGAGGCTGGTGGAGCAGCAGCATTGGAAGTGTTGCAAGCTGGCTGGGATGGCTCTGAACTGAGAGAGCAACATATCCTAAGGCCAACAATCCGAGGGGGAGTTTGTTGGTGCAACCCTACGGTGTGCACTCGGCTTGTTGTCCGTGTGCGTGAATATGTGTGTGTATGGAATGGTATGAGGGCATGGGATAATATATATTTCATGCTTATAATTGTGTGTGAATGTTGAGTCATGATGTCGAGTGTGTGTGTCGAGTCAATAGCGAGTTATCGCTAGACGCGTGTTACGCGGTCGTTTGTGTCTCGCGCGCGGTTTCTATTTTGTCGTGCGCGGTTTCTATTTTGTCCTGTGTCGAACGTTCGGCGTGTCGCAGGTGTGTGCAGCAGACCCATCAAGAACTCAAGGATGAGTTTGTGATGAAGAGCCCGAGCCTTGGTGTCAAGCCTCAAGTGATTTCGAAGCTCGCCAAAAGGGTACACCTCAAGATATTGAAGATAGTTTCATTACTTTGTGTAGTGTAACATTTCACTTGGTGTAGGCCCTAGTGAAGGATAGTTTCGAGACCCTTCGTGGTTGGGGACAGTGTGGCACTGTTCCACATCACTGTACCTCGGCTCTTGGGGTTTGTAGGAGCTGGGAGTCATTCCCAACTCGTAACTCTTCCTATCTTGTGTTCTAAGACTATAGTGGCTGCCATAGTACCGTTCGTTCAAACCGACGCTGTGTCGTCAATTCTTTATCAAATCGTGCAATCTAAATTGCTAATTGTAGACGACGTGAAGACGCTCCAGATCCAATTTGAATCAAGTCATTTGCAGCTGTGAGCAGAACGCTATCAACGTTTGAAGCCGCTGTGCAGAAATCCGTCTGTGCTCTCTATCTTTCGTTTTAGGCACATTCAAGCCTATTGTGACTATAACATGTCTCTCCCTTGTGCCCCCCAGTGACCCCAACGACCGCCCCAAGTTCGACAATGTCATGTCACGGTGCGGCTTAATTGCCCAGAGGAAGATTTGAGTCGATTCAGACGCCACCCCGTCTCACTCCCTCTGTACACAACCCTTGTCACCAACACCCTGTGCCTCTCCCTTGTGCCCCCGAGTGACCCCAAGGACCGCTCCAAGTTTGACGATATCATGGTGCGGCTGAAGCCAGCTGCTCAGAAGGAAGCTTTTCAGCTGACTCAACCCCATGCCACTCCCCCTCCTCTCTCCACCCCTTTCCTGCCTCCCAGTGACCCCAAGGACCGCCCTAATTTTGATGATGTTATGGTTCGGCTGAAGCTAATTGCCAAAAAGGAAGACTCTTGACACATATCATTCTCTGTCCACTCCCTTTATCACTCCTTTTCCCTTCCTTCCTGCCCACCAGTGACCCCAAGGACCGTCCCAAGTTTGACGATATTATGGTGCGGCTGAAGCCAATTGCTCAAAAGGCTGGAACGGGGAAGAATGTGTGTGGCGGTACTCCTGCTGGTTAAGGAGCAGGCTACAAAAGAGGATGTCTTATACCATTAAGCGCCTGGGTGTTACGGTACTTGGAATCTAGCCTTAATAGTGTGTGCGTTACTGGAGACTACTAGCAGGTCTCCCTTGTAGAATAAAGTACCACCACAAATTCATGAGTTCAGAAGAGCCTTGCTAATATCGTGCGAATTTCAGTGGTGTTATTTTTATGTGGTACTTGTCTGCTTGCTTTAAATACAATAGGCATCTGTATACGATTTATATAGGGAACGTTCTGTGTATGTACACTTCCTGAAACGACTCTCTGCGAATCGCCAGTCTCCCAAGATCTCTGGAACGTCGATAGCAGAACGAGAAGTTATATTTTTTACCGCACCCTTACACAGAAAGTCTAGAAACAATTCCGTACCTTCGATATGGTTTTTTTTTACACTTCATTTGTTTACATGCAGCACCATGTTTCCTTTCGGAGTATGGATAATTGTTCTTCTCGTGTCTGTTTCGTGTGCGCGTATCTGTAATACGGTAAGCGTTTTGAAATATCCAGGTAACTAGGAAAGTATTTTTCCGTCTTGACAGGACAAGATGGCTCCATGCTGGGGAAAGGGGATGGTTGGTATTCATCTTCCATGCTGTGGAAAGGGAAATGGGCCTGGCGAACACCATAGATTTTAGACCACCATCACCACATGATTAGTAGGTAAGTAGCTATTTTAGCGTTGAAGTGCGCGTAGCCTTTCCAGTAGGTTCTTGAGAGAGGGGGTGTGAGTTTTGCGGGTGTTGCTTCTGGAGCTCGTGCAAGTAGCTTTGTAGTAGGGTGTTTGCTCGAGCCGCTTTTTCTTGGAGGCAGATCCGAGTCAATCTCCGTGCACGCGTGTCGTTTCCAGTTTCCAAGGTGAGGAACAGATATCCGAATGCTTTTTCTTCACAGATCCTTTCTCGTCCTTCTTTTCCCGAAGCTATTCTTCGTATTCGATCGTGCCTTGCAACCGTGCAAACTGTTTGCTACTTATCTGGTTTGGTCCTTCCGATCTTACTTCGAAATAGTATCTCGCCGCTTTAAAGGCGACGCAGAGACCATTATTTTTACTAGGTACAAGATCCGAGACACGGACGATGCGATCCGTCCCACGCAGTAGCGTACCACATTTTCGGATCCGTAGTTTCCAGTGGGTCCGTAAAGTCAATGCTAGTTATTTCGGGGATCCGTAATTGCTTGCTAACTAGGTTAGTCGTGAAGTAAGATGAATCTTACCTTGTCCTCTTCCTCCTCCTTTCGACGGTACCTGATCGGTTTATTCAGCTGTCCCTGATCCTACGGGAAACGCACTCGTGAACCGTCGAACCGCTCTATAAGCCTCATTCGCTTTGCAGCTTGGTTAGATTCGCAGCCTCATTGTAGTTGTGGTCATTGATCAACGATTCTGTTCCCTTATCCCCCAACGTGCATATACACCTGCCTCAGGCAAGCTCAGCACGACACCAGCAGCCTTTGCTTCAGCTGCAGCTCCACCCTCGCTCGCCCTTTTCTGATCCACTTTTGAGGCGCGTCGAAAGGCTCCTGCCTCAGGCAAGCTCAGCACGAGACACCAGCTGGCCTCCAACTTCACGGATCTTGCTTCAGCTGCAGCTCCACCCGCGATCGTCCTTTTCTGATCCGTCTTCCTTCTGCGAATCCAGGACGTTCGACCCTTTCTTCAGGCGGAATAACAGATCGCACAGGGTTAGCTATTTCGTCCGGAACTCTCGCACTCTCGGCCCTACACGCTCTCCCCCAAACACACTTTCCGCCTTACACGCTCTACGCCCATGTTCCGTTTCCTGTCGTCCGCCTCTGCGCGGCACATCCGGAGAAGAAGCGAGATCCGGACCAGACTCGACGCTGCGGCCACTCGAACCGTCGACTCTCTTTCGCGACCCTTTCGCGACGCTGCTCCCGCCTTTCGCGATGCGCCAATCAGCTGCCAGAATGTCAGATTCTCGTCGACGACTTCCGTGTCCTCCGCAGCAGCAGGCGCTTCAGGTGTTTCCTCAGGTGTTTCGTCAGGAGCAGCCAAGGTGGCAGCTAAGGCGGGAGCGGAGATCCCCTCGTTTGTCGAGTCGATTCAGAAGAGGTTCGGAACGACGGACGGCCGAGATTTCGTGCTGCTGACCGCCGGTCTCGCGTTGGCTGGGCTCGTTGGCGAGCGCATTCTCTCAGGTACGACGGCGCTTCCCGTCTGTTAAACAATGTGCCACTGTGCCGTCGTTTGCTTCTGTTAACCAACAATCCGTCAGTTTGTCAGTCAGTCACCAGTCAGGTCAGACAGTCAGTCCGTCAGTCTCAGTCAGCCTTCAGCCAGTCAGTTAGTGAGTCCGTCAGTCAGTCGCACAAAAATCAGTCGTTCTCCCCTGTGTTGCTCTCTTTCTCATTTGTCCCTCCATCAGACCGCCGTTCCTCCGCAGCAGCAAAGTCCCACCACCCTGCACCATCATCAGCACCATCACCATCACCATCACCATCACCATCACCATCACCGTCAGATGCACCAGCAGCAGCACAAGCATCAGTTTCACCAGAAGCCTCATCCACAGATTCGTCTTCTTCTGAACCAGCCAGCACATCAGCAAGTTCCGAGCCTGAGGCCGCCGCGCCTGAGCCTGCCGAAGCTGAATCGTCTCCAGGCTCGACGGACTCAGGCTCGGCAGACGCAGGCCCGGAGGAGGTTATTGTAGCAGTGGTAGTGGACGGGGGGGAAGGCGAAACGGAGGATAAGAGCTCCCCTCTAGCTGACGCCGTTGATGCTCTAGCTGGCTATGTCGCTGAGTTAGAAGCAAAGGCAGAGGAGAAAGCAGAGGATGTGGAAGCAAAGGCAGAAGAGAAAGCAGAGGATGTGGAAGCAAAGGCAGAAGAGAAAGCAGAGGATGTGGAAGCAAAGGCAGAAGAGAAAACAGAGGAAATTCTCAAAAGCCACCCTCTAGCTGACGCTGTGGATGCTGTAGCAGGCTATGTGGCTGAACTAGAAGCAAAGGCAGAAGAGAAAGCAGAGGAGATTCTCGCGAGACCCCCTCTTGCTGACGCTGTTGACGTGCTGTCGAGGTATGTGGAGGAACTAGAGGCGAAGGGAGCGGAGGTGACGAGAGAAGCAGAGGAGAAGGCGGAAGCGGTGGTGGCAGCGGTGGCGAGTGAAGTGGCAAAGGCAGGGGAGAGGGTGGCGGAAGCAGGGAGGGAGGTGGGTGAAGCGGTTGGTGCATTGGGGGAGACTCTGGCTGAAGAGGTGAAGGAGATCGGAGGAGACGGGATGGAGAAGGCAGGAGAGGGAGAGGACGGTACAGATGACTGCCCGTTCTGCCAGTTCATGAAGGGAGGGCCGTGCAGGGAGGAGTTTATCGCATGGGAAGGGTGTGTGGAAGCAGCAGAGAAGGCAGGGGAGAGCATAGTGGACCGGTGTGTGGGGCCCACTGAGGCGCTTAAGACCTGCATGGAGGGCAATGAGGGGTACTATGGGGTGGTGTTGCAGGCAGAGGCGGGTATGAAGGCTGAAGCTGCTGCCGCTGCGGCTGAAGCGAGTGCTGCTGCTGGGGAAGTGGCTCTGGTGCAAGAAGCTGCTGCTGTGGTCGAGGCAGCAGGGGAAGGAGGGGTGAAGGAAGGAGGAGGGGTGAAGGAGGGTGTGGAAGGGGGGAAGGTGGAGGATTCGGTGGAGGATGGGGAGGGGGGAAGTGAGGAGGTGGTGGTGGTGGTTGTGGGGAAGGAAGGAGGGGAGGAGGGGACAGGGAAAGCAGCAGAGTAGGGCTGTGATGAAGGTGGAGGGAAAAATCGAGTTGACAATTGAAGTGAGTCAGGAGGCGCATGCATGCGTGTAGGCCGGGTTGCAGGGGTTTGAATGTGTTGTCCTGTTTGTTTGTTTGTTGTTTGCTTTCTTCTTCGTTTTGTTCTGTTCGTTTGTTTGTTTTTTTTTCCCCTCTCTCTTAGTATTTCTTGAAGCCTGAGCATGCATTTGTCTCCCTTCTCTTCTTGGAATGCAGGTTCGGTACTTTGTTGCCTTGCGAAGCTTGGTTCAGCTGGAGCCTTAGCCTCATTGGAGCATTCTCAGCCCAGCATGCCCGAAGGGCCCACCACCACCAACCACCTGGCCACATCTCACACCGTCTCGTCACATAACCATCGATTGCAACATTCAAACCGCCATGAATCTCTTGCATGAATTGCTCTCAGGGAGATTCCATTTTATAAACCTTTCCATTCATGCATCATGAAACCATAGTGTCCCAATTGCGTTGCCTTCATAATGAGTTGCACAACAATGTAATTCTGAATGTGATGTACCGATCCATCGTTTGTGAGTTGCCTTTTTGCATTTTGACGGATTCTTAGCATTAGGTGAAAATGCAAACGAATGTACCAGTTTAACTGTACTTCGTAATGCTGCCATTCCTCCTCGCAAATAGTTTTTTTTTCAGAATGGCTGGCTGCGAAACTACACGTAGTCTTCGCACAGGTTACCACGAGCTGATCCGTCCATCTCAAGCCAAAAGCACTTTTGACCTAATCCCGAGGTCGCGCCCTTGGTTCCTATTGAAGCCAAAAGCACGCTTGTAGGCAAAAGCACTTCAGTAGTTCTGCGGTTGCTCCTTGGTTATGGTGGATCAGCGATGATTGGCCGCTGCAGACTCCCGCTTGTGTTCTCCTTCCGACTGACGACTTCGGTTCGTACAGGGCCACGAACTTGAGCCACTAGTCTCGACGTGCGCGGGGTGTTTTTAAGATTTTCAGGAAGTTCCATTTAGTTTCTGAATTCTGTTCACCAATCGTTGTCAGCATATTCCCGCATAACAGAGGCGTTCGCGTTCCGTCGCGTGAATCTACCGCGCGGATCTTAATCTCCCGAAGGCGGGAATTTTAGGTGTTCGTTTCACATTCAGTTCTTATTATCCTCAAGGTCCCCTCGACCCGAGTATTTGAGACTGAGGAGAGTGACTTTCAGTGCGAGACGTCTGAGATATTTCGGTTTCACTCGCGCGAGTCTTGTAACGAAAGCGACGTAAAGGGAGGGCTGGGCGCAATGGATCCCGCGGAGGGCTTCGCGGACCCTGCCGCGGAGCCCGCGGAGGGGTCCGCGGCGGAAGGCCTCGCGGAAGGTTTGGCGGAAGGCGGAACTGGCGCTACGGACGGAGGGTTGGATTCAGATGTCGTGGGGGGGGCGGAATCGGCGGGAGAAGGGGGAATCGCGGAAACAGTGGGGGAAGGGGGCGCGGGGGAGGGTGAGGGGGGAGGGGCGGAAGCAAGTGAGGGGAAGGGCGCGGGAGTGGGCGGATCTCCCGCAATGCAGCGGGAGGGGGAAGTGGGGGCAGCAGGGGCGGAAGACGCTCTGGCGGAGGGGCAAGGAGAAGGCGCACTGGCCAAGGGGGAAGGAGAAGGCGGGTTGGCGAAGGGGGAAGGGGAAGGCGCGCTGGCGAAGGGGGAAGGAGAAGCTGATAAGGTTCCATACACGGATGGCGTTTTGGAGAAAGATGTTGGTTTGGAGAAAGATACTGGTTTGGGGGGACATGATAATCTGGAAGGAAGGGGAGAGAAGGGAGAAGAGGAGAAAGGGGAAGAGGAGAAGGGGGAGGAACAGAAGGGGGATGAAGAGATGGGGGAAGCGGACGAGGAAAGGGAGAAGAGGGAAGGAGCGAAGGGGGAAGAGGAGAAAGGAGAAGGGAAGAAAGGGGAAGAGGATAAGGAGAGAAAACTGATGGGGAAGGTGGAGAATGGGGAGGAGGAGACAGGAAGGGAGGAGACGGGGAAAGAGGAGACAGAAATACAGGAGATGGGGGAAGAAGTGGAGGGGGAAAAAGAGAAGGGGGAAGAAGAAAAGGGGGAAGAAGAGAAAAAAGGAGAGGGGCAACAAGCGGAAGAGGGGCAACGTGAGGGTATGTTAACAACTGTCACTGCTGCTACTCCTCTTATTGTTGATGTAGCAGCAGCAGCAGCAGCAGCGAGTGCACCAGTGCCAGCACCGGATGTGCTTATTACGAGCGGCACAGTAGCCATCGGTGGTCCTGCTGATGCAGCTCCTGCAGCAGACCTTCGTACAGTCACAGTTGATTCTAAAGAGGGTGATGAAGACAAGTCTTTTCCAGTGCAGGTCCCAGCACTCAAGACTCCTCTACAGGATACGGCAGCTGTTGAGTCGAGTGACAAACCATCAGCAGAGAGCATTACTGTGCAGCAGGTGCCTCCTCATGGGAGTCCTCCTGTGCTGGATGTGGCGAGTGTACCAGTCAAGGCTGCTGTAACTCAAAGTGTAACCGAGAGCGCAACTCAGGTTGTAACCCAGAGTGCAACTCTGAGTGCAACCCTGAGCGAAACACAGGGTGTAACGCAGAGTGTTCGTGGGTGCGCTGACCCACCTGACGCTCTGCTGGGCACACAATTGGCTGCTGGTGTTACGGTTCCTGAGTCAACTCAAAATCCGGCTGTAGTAAAGGCAGAGACTGGAGTGGGTGCTGCTGTGGATACTACTGACTCACCTGCTACCAACGCAGCTGCTACTGACTCACCTGTTACTGAAGCAACAGCTGATCCTCCTGCGGGCACCAGCGTCTCCTCCTTCCCACCCACGCAACCACCCCCCTCTCATGCCCCTCTCTCTGCTACCGTACCCTCCATGTCACAAACCCATGTCCCTGTCTCTGCTACAGAACCCCTCATGTCACAAGGTCATGTCCCTCTCTCTGCTGCCACTCCTCTTTCCTCTCCTCTTCCTCCCCCCTCTCCCCCTCCTGCTGCTCTTACTCCATCCTCGCATCTCCCTCCCCCTCTTCCTCCTCCTCCTCCTACTCCCACGCCCGCCGCCCCTCCATTATCACTCACGCCAGCTCAGCTCTCCCTCCTCCAATCGCAGCGCGACTGCTTCGCCACGCTGGCGGCCGGCCAGCCACTCACGGACTGCCAGCTGGCGGGCCTTTTCCCGCCGCAGCTGGTGCGTCAGAAGATCGAGGCGCTCAGGAGGATAAGGCGGGCGGCAGAGGAGAGAGTGAGGGTGGGGAGGGAGATGGTGAGAGAGGGGGAGTGGGGGAAGCTCGTGGAGGAAGGGCAGAGGGAGGAGAGTGAGAAAGTGGAAGAGAAAATTGCGAAATTGGAATCCTTGTTGGCGGTGGTGGAGGTGCCAGGTGTCAGGAGATCATTGGAGATCCAGCTCAGGTGCCTGAAGCTTCGTGGGTTGCAGAGGAAGGTTCGTTTCGAGGTGCTTGCTGAGAAGAGGATCGCTGACTGGGCTGGGGGAGGAGAGCTGACTGGTCGTTCGGTGAACGGGCACGCTGACGTGGCAAATGCTGAGGTGGCACGTGCTGAAATGGCTGATGACGAATCGGATATGGTCAAAATCGTAGAAGATGACGTGGCAGTAGAAAGTGGGCGGGTGGGGAAGAAATGGAGAGTAGTTGAAAGTGAGAGTGAGATAGAGGTAGTGGGAGAAGGGGATGAGAGTGAGAAAGTGGATAAGGAGAGAGAGGAGCAAGTGAGAAAGGAGGAGGAGGAGCAAATCATGAAGGCCAACGTGGCACACGGGCGGCACCAGCCGCTGCTGGACTGGAGCCTGCTGCGTCTGACGCATGCTGACGTGGAACAGGCGCTGCTGAGGTGGCAGCTGCCACCTGGCATGAAACCGTCCGAGGAGGAGGTGGAGGCTGAGGTAGAGGACTTATGGGACGACGATTACTTTGAGGAGGGCTTAGGGTTTGAGATAGAGGCAAGGAAGAGGGATGCTGCAGCGGCGGCGGCGGCGGCTGCTAGGGCTGCTGGTGGTGGGGTTGGTGTTGCTGGGATTGGTGTTGGCGGGGTTCTGGATCTGGACTTTGAAGCTTCAGAGGCCATTGAGGTGAGCAGTGGCTGTGAAGTGAAGTACCAGGGATTACTATGTGTTGTGATTGCAATGTTGATCTGTCGGAGCATTGGCGGCGGCTGCTAGGGCGGCTGGTGGTGGGGTTGGTGTAAATGGAATTGGCGTTGGTGGGGCTGGATCTGGATTTTGAAGCTTCAGAGGCCATTGAGGTGAGCTTGGTGGTTGGATAATCACCATGGGTGTTTTTTTTATTTCTTCATCCATTTCTTTCTTTCTTTCTTTTCCTATTTCGTGTAATCTGTTTTGTTGTGTGGTGAGTTTTTCTGTATTTTGGTGTTAGTGATTTCAATAGTGATTCAAGCTGCCATCCTTTGTTCCTCCCCACTCTCCCCTCCGTGCTCTTCCCCCCTTTCCATTCGCCCACTTCTCTACCTCCCCCAACCTCGTCTCCCCCCCCCCCCCCCCTTCCCCCCTCTCCTTTCCAAAGGCGGCTCGAAAGGCTCGTCGGGCGGCAGACTCGGTAGACTCCGCCGCCCGGTTCTTCGCTGACGTGGCGCAGGCGGGGCGCGACATGTCAGCCGCCAGCCTGGCGGAGCAGCGGCGGCGGAAGCAGCGGAGCGACGGCGTGCTGACGTGGCACGCGCGTCAGAAGCAGCGCGCGTCGCGGGCCGAGCGCATGCGAGTGCAGGCCCTTAAAGCCGGGGACCAGGAGGCGTACTTTAAATTAGTGGAGGAGAGTAAGAACGAGAGGTTGCACACTCTTTTAGGGAAAACGGATGAGCTTTTACAGAGGCTGGGGGCAATGGTGCAGAAGCAGAAAGATGCTGGTGGTGGTGGTGGTGGTGGTGGGGGTGGGGGCGGTGGTGGGGAGGGTGGTTGGGGAGGTGGTGGGGGTGGTGGAGGGGGGGTTGATGCTGCTGCTGGGGGAGGGGAGGGGAGGGGAGCAACAGAGGCGGATGGGGGAGCAGGAGAGGAGGGAGGGGGGACAGGGGAGGGGCAGGAGGGGCAGCAAGAGGGAGCAGGGCAGTCGAAGCGTGATTTAATGGAGGGGCAGAGGAGGTATGACCGGGCAGTGCATTCCATAGAAGAGAAGGTGACAGAACAGCCCTCGTTATTGTCACCCGGGCGGCAGCTTCGGCAGTATCAGATGGAAGGGCTGCAGTGGATGGTCTCCCTTTATAATAACAATTTAAACGGGATTTTAGCGGACGAAATGGGGCTCGGAAAAACCATACAAACGATCGCGTTTATCGCGTTTATGGCGGAGAAAAAGGGGGATTATGGGCCGCATTTGGTGCTGGCTCCCAAGGCTGTGCTTCCGAACTGGGGAGTGGAATTTGCGGCGTGGTTTCCCAGTTGCAGTGTGGTGATGTACGATGGGCGGCAGGATGAGAGGAAGCTTCTGAGGGAGAAGTTTGGAGGGGCGCTTGCAGGGAGGAGAGGAGGAGGGGGAAGGAGGGGCGGGTGGAGGGGAGGAGGGAGAGGAGGGCGGGGAGGGAGAGGAGGGAGTGTGGATGATGATTGGGGGAGTGAGGAGTCGGGGGGAGGAGGGGGAGCGGGGGGAGCAGGGGGAGGAGGGGGAGTGACTGGGCCAGAAGGGGAGGAGTATAAGTTCAGTGTGCTGCTGACGCACTATGACCTTATCATTCGGGATAAGGCGTTCTTGAAGAAGATTAAATGGCACTATGTGATAGTAGACGAGGGTCACCGGCTTAAGAACCACGAGTCAGTACTTAGTAAAACGCTAGTGGCGGGGTATTCGATCCGGAAAAGGCTTTTACTGACCGGGACGCCGATTCAAAACAGCCTGGGGGAGCTCTGGGCACTGCTGAATTTTCTTCTGCCCGCGATTTTCAACTCGAGCGATAATTTCGAAGATTGGTTTAATGCGCCGTTCGCGGATAAGTGTGATGTTTCTCTGAACGAGGAGGAGCAGCTGCTGGTCATTCGACGCCTGCACCAGGTGGGGATGGGTTTGGTGTTGTTGTGTGCGATGTAGGTAGGTGTGTGACGTGTCTCTGAACGAGGAGGAACAGCTGCTGGTGATCAGACGCTTGCACCAGGTGGTGGGTTTAGCCTTTTAGGGGTGCTGTGTTGTTGTTGTGACGGTCTGCGTGGGTTCGGTTCTGGTTTGTCACGAGGCAAGTGTGTGATGTGACTCTGAACGAGGAGGAACAGCTGCTGGTCATTCGGAGGCTGCACCGGGTGGGGATGGGTTTGTGGGGTGTAGGCAGGGAAGTTGAGGTGGGCTCGCTGGCTGGGGGTGGAGTCACACTCATCTCAACCACACGAGGCAAGTGTGTGATGTGACTCTGAACGAGGAGGAGGAACAGCTGCTGGTCATTGGGAGGCTGCACCCGGTGGGGATGGGTTTGTGGGGTGTAGTGTAGGCAGGGAAGGTCAGGTGGGTTCGCTGGCTGGGGGTGGATGATGCCACAATCACACTAATCTCAACCACACGAGGCAAGTGTGTGATGTGACTCTGAACGAGGAGCAACAGCTGCTGGTCATTCGGAGGCTGCACCGGGTGGGGATGGGGGGTTGTTCATTGGAACACCCACATCATCCTCGTTCATTCTTCATCCGCTCCAGGTGGGTCCGGGTGGTTGTTCATTCTTCAGCGAGAGAAGTCCTCCTCCTCACCTCCACCTTTTTCCCTCCCCTTATTCACCCTTTTCCTCCCACTCCCCCTCTCCCCTCCCCCTCTCCCCTCCCACCAATACACACAGGTCATCCGTCCCTTCATTCTCCGTCGAAAGAAGTCAGAGGTCGAGAAATTCCTCCCGCAGAAGCGCCAAGTGATCCTCAAATGCGACATGTCCGCGTGGCAGCGCGAGTACTACTCCCAAATCGTCTCCGCTGGCTGCGTGGGCCTGGATGACAGCGGGGGAGGAGGCAAGTCGAGAGCGCTTCAGAACACAGCGATGCAGCTGCGCAAGTGCTGCAACCACCCCTACCTCTTCCTACTAGACGCACTTGAATATCAGTACCAGCCGAATTCTCCCAACGAGCGCGTTCGGGCAAGTGGAAAATTTGAGCTGCTGGACAGAATTCTGCCCAAGTTACAAGCCGGGGGGCACAGGATTTTAATGTTCTCTCAGATGACTAAGGTAATGGATTTATTGGAGGATTACCTTCGGTCGGTCGGCATGCTTTATCTGCGTCTGGACGGCATGACCAAAACAGACGAACGAGGCCGCCTCTTACAGATGTACAACGCTCCGGATTCGCCGTATTTTATCTTCCTGCTGAGCACGCGTGCGGGCGGCCTGGGGCTGAATCTGCAAACGGCCGATACGGTGATTTTATTCGATTCTGATTGGAATCCGCAGATGGATCAGCAGGCAGAGGATCGGGCGCACAGGATCGGGCAGAAGCGGGAGGTTCGGGTGTTTGTGCTTGTAAGCGTGGGGTCTATAGAGGAGGAGATTTTAGAGAGGGCGAAGAGCAAGATGGGGATCGATGCGAAGGTGATTCAAGCGGGGATGTTCAATACGACGTCGACGGCTCAGGAGAGGAGAGAGCTTCTGGAGCAGATTATGAAGAGAGGCAAGATTCCGGATTTGGCCCCGGATTTGCCGGGTGAGAGTGAGACGAATAGGCTGATTTCGAGATCAGAGGAGGAGTTTGAGATGTTTGAGAGAATGGATGAGATTCGCAGGCGGCAGTTTGGGGCGGCGCGGCTTGGACTGATGGAAAGAGACGACGTGCCCGAGTGGGTGTTTTTTAAGGGGGCGGAAGGAGGGGAGGGAGGGGATGGGGGAGGGGGGGAGGATGGGGCGGGGGTGGAGATGGGGAGGAGGAAGAGAAAGCAGGTGGTTTATACGGATGCGCTGAGTGAGTCGCAGTGGCTTCAGGTGATTGAGCAGGGGAGGGACGCCCAGGAGATTTTAACAGAGAAGGCTGAGAGGCTGATGCAGAGGAGGGAGAGGAAGAGGTTGAAGGTGGAGAGGAGGGAAGGGGAGGAGGGAAGGGGAGGTGGAGAGGAGGAGGGGGTGGAAGTGTTAGGGGTGGATGAGAGTGAGAGAGAAGGGAGTGTGGATGTGGGGAGTGGGGAGGGGGGGGTGGTGGGAGAGGGGGTGGTGGAGGCGGGGAGGGGAAGGGGAAGGGGTGGGAGGGGGAGAGGCGGTGGTAGGAGGGGGAGAGGGAGAGGAGGAGCGGGGAGGGCAGGAGGGGGGCGGGGGAGAGGAAGGGGGAGAGGCAGGGGGAGAGGCAGGGGGAGGGGGGCAAAGGTGGCAGATATTTCTGTGATTGGCAGTCAAGGGGATGGGGGAGCAGAGGGGATGGAAGAAGGGGGAGGGGGAGGGGTGGGCGGAGGAGTAGGGGGAAGGATAGGGGGAGCGGGGGGAGGGGAAGGGAGCGATGGGGAAGGGGGGAGTGGGGGGTTCCCGTTTGCAGAAGCGAAGGTGAAGAGGAGGAGGGTGAGGAGGAGGATTACCGGGGTGATGGCAGGAGGGGAAGCGGAGAGAGGGGAAGGGAGGAGGGAAGGAGGATGGGGAGGAGCAGAGAGGGGAAGTGGGGGTGGGCAGGGCTATGCAGTTTTTTCTGCTGGGGTGAATGGTGGTGGTGCGGCTGCTGCTGGTGGTTACAGTGGTGGTAGTGGTGATGGTGGCGGTGGTGTTGCTGGCGCTGGTTATAGCGATGGTGGTGGTAGTGGTGGTGGTGATGATGATGATGATGATGATGCTGCTGATGGTCATGGTGTTGGTGATGGTGATGGGGATGATAGTGATGGTACCGGTGCTGGTGGTGACTATTCCGATCGTGCCTATAGAGAGGGCAGCAGCGGCCGTTTTGTGCACAGCAGTGGGGGGGTTGGTGCTGCAGGTACAGGAGGAGGAAGAGGAGGTGATTATAACGAGGGGGGAGGAGGGTTCATGGATGGGCAAGAGGGGGATGAGGAGAGCGATGGAATGGAGGGGTTATGGGAGGAAGAGTAGGGGTCAAGGTGGGGAAGCAGGTTCTGGGAGGAGGCGGGGTGGGGCTATGTGTTCATTCATGAGTGGCTGTGATTCATGAGTGGCTGTGATTCATGAGTGGCTGTGATTCATGAGTGGCTGTGATTCCTGAGTGGCTGTGATTCCTGAGTGGCTGTGATTCCTGAGTGGCTGTGATTCCTGAGTGGCTGTGATTCCTGAGTGGCTGTGATTCCTGAGTGGCTGTGATTCCTGAGTGGCTGTGATTCCTGAGTGGCTGTGATTCCTGAGTGGCTGTGGTTCCTGAGTGGCTGTGATTCCTGAGTGGCTGTGATTCCTGAGTGGCTGTGGTTCCTGAGTGGCTGTGATTCCTGAGTGGCCTTTCAGACGTGTCAAGAGGAGGAATGGGGATGAGGAGCATGGTGATATGGACGTGGGGAAGGCATGGTGTGGGGGATATGTGAGGGTGAGATGGGGAGGAGGCGAGGTGGGTGAATGGGTGGCAGAGGTGGGGTTAGTGGGGTGAGGAGGAGGGTACCAGTGGCAGATGAGGAGACGGTTTTGTTTGAGGGGTAATGGTTGTTGGTTGGTTACATGTAGCTGGTTATTTCTGAGTGATGCTGATTCCACATGGTTATCATACCAGTGTTTTCTCCAGCACCCCTTTGCTACGATTATACCGCCTCTTGGTTTCTCGGCAAAGCAATCTGTCGCATGATTTGGGAAGGTGTGTTTTGCTTGGCCTGAACAGCATTGCGCAAATGGCTCTTCCATGACATGTGCTGCGTCTATATATATATATATTAGCTTTCTCAGTGTGGTGTTCAATTGAGATGGATGGATGATTCAGGGGTGCACTGCAATGTAGAACGGTTCGGTAGGCTCACCGAAATTTACGGAGCGAATCACGAGGTGGAGGGGAGAGGGGAGGGGCGGGGCGGTCCGAACACTGACGGCACTTTTGGAAGCTCCGCCACAGTTGGTCCTGTACACCCGCAGGAGTTCTCGAGGGTGGCCTAGTTCGTTTTGCATCACTGTTATCTTCGGTTCTATCCGGTTCTTGTATTTCTGTGCACGTTGCAGTGCATTTCGGTACGGTGATCTAGGGATTTCGCTGGCTGCTGAAGTGCCTGAGGAGAGCACAGTACTCGCGTTGAACAGTAAGGTTTAGCACAGGGATGCTGACGGCGACCGTGACGGACGTTGACGGAGACCAGCAGGTTACTACTAATAAGTTTCTTTCGCAAGCGGCCCGAAAATATCATGCAGGGCTCACAGGGTGCAAATTCGTCTTCTCAAAGCGAAGTTGAAATTAACGTCGCTTTGCGTCGTCCCGCTAAGCACGTAAGCTTCGAGGCGCCCGAAGACCCGTACATCATTGAGCATGACGTGGCCCAGCCTCCAGATGACGTGGCGAATCCTCTTCCCGAGGTTCCAGGGCAAGAGTTCCCTCTCCCGGGATTTGTCGATTACGAATCGGAATCATCTTTCGGACGAGAAACGTCAGCCGTCGATTTGGAAACGGGCTTCCGCGTGCGACGGTTGGATTTCGACGCGACGCGCGAGACGCACTACGTGATCGTGGTGCACGGAACCTTCGACGCACCACCGTCTGACGGGACGCACACGTGGTATCAACCCGCGGATCCCGGCGAACAGAACTTTTGCTCCAAAATTGGCGCGCTTCTGGCGCGAGGGCCGTTAGGAGCAGACAGCGTGTGGCGGGAGTTGCCGGCCGGCAGCTTCGCCGCCAGCAAGGCTGCTCGCGGCCGGCAAGGCGCTGCGCCGTACCCTTTTCACTGGGACGGCACGAACACGCACAAGGGGAGGGTGGAAGCTGCCGAGAAGGTGCGGGAGGGGTCCGGTCTAGTCTAGTGGGGGGGTTACCCTGTAACGAGGGCTTTTTTTTTCGTCTCCCCCTGCTATACCGCAAACAGTGCTTGTAACGGAACTCCTCTGGCGACCTCCCTTACACGAACTTTTTGAACATTTCTTTCAGCCGCCATCCCCTCCCCCTCCCTCTCTCTCTCTCCTCCCCCCTCCCCTCCATTTAACTCTCCCTCGCTCCCCTTCCTTCCTCCGTCCCCCTCCCCCCCCCCCTTTCCCCTCATTCCTCCCTCACCTCCCGCGGTTCCCAGCTCTCTGTGCTTATATCGGATATCGCCTGCAGCGGCCCCGCAGCGAGGATACACATCATCGCTCACTCCCATGGGGGAAACGTGCTGCTCAAAGCAGTAGAGCTGGTGAGGAGTGCTCCTTGGGTAGTTTGACATCATTCACTGCACCAAGATTCACCTCACCTTCACCTAACCCTTATTCACCTAACCCTTGTTCACCTAACCCTTATTCACCTAACCCTTATTCACCTAACCCTTATTCACCTAACCCTTATTCACTTCACCATGATTCCCCATGATATAATTCAGGATAATCTACTCCACCGTGATTTACTTGATTTCCATGGTTTTCATTAGCAAAAATAAATGAACTGATTTACCGTACTGTTTTGTGTATACCAAGTTCCTGTTCATCCATTATGCACCAATACCATGATTTACCTATTTACAATAGGTAATACATTGTCCACAATTTCCTTATTTGGCAGCAACAACTTGTTTACCACGTTTCCACGCACTTCATCATTCCATCCCAGTAACACTCTTTCGTCCCAGTAACAACTTAATTACCATGTTTTTGTCCCTCTTTCCCATATCTCTCCCCTCTCTCCCCCCCTCTCTCCCCCTTTCTCTCCCCCCATCCCTCGCCCCTTCTCTCTCACCCTTCTCTCCCCCGTCAGTACATGCGTCGTCTGAGCAGCCAATCACAAGCCGACTTGCACCCATTGGTGGAACAAAAGTTCTGGGTGGCACACAGGAACGGATACGATTTGATTCGCAAGTGGAGGAATCCGAATCAAAACAAATCTCGCTGGTCTGGGTGGCGGCTTTGGTTACCCACCCCCCTCGTGTTTCAAAGGTGCTGCTCTTGAATATACTCAACTCAAAAGTCCTTGTGAGTCGACTCAAAAGTCACCTTGGCGGCTTTGATTACCCACCCCCCTCGTGTTTCAAAGGTGCTGCTCTTGAATATACTCAACTCAAAAGTCCTTGTGAGTCGACTCAAAAGTCACCTTGGCGGCTTTGGTTACTCACCCCCCTCGTGTTTCAAAGGTCCCGCGTTTGAATCCTCTCAAAGTCTTTTCTTCTTCTTCTTCTTCTTGTATAATCTGATGTATACATTTGACAGGAAGGGTTCAAAATCCTTAGGAACTTGAAAAGTCGCCCTAAAACTGTGAGGCACACTCACAAACCCTAAACCCCACTGACAAATGTATACTGCCGCTTTAAGATCCGCTCACCTGTTGCAACATTTCTTAGGCGCCTTGAGAATCGTCTCACCTGTTGCTCCATCCATACCCCTCTTCCCCAACCCTTCCCCTCCCAACCAGTCTCCACCCCAGCACGCACAAGCACAAGAGCCAGGAGCGCTACCCCTGAAGTGAAGGCACTACCGCCGCTGACTCGACTCCCTCCCCTCCCTCCCCTTCAGCAGTAAGTCAACGCCCATTCCTCTCCCCCCTCCCAATCCCTCCCAACCAGTCTCCACCCCAGCACGCACAAGCACAAGAGCCAGGAGCGCTACCCCTGGGGGCGCTACCGCTGGCTCGACTCCCTCCTCGCCCTCCCTGCCGCCCGCCAACGCCTCTTCCTCTCCCGCCGCCTCGCCACCAGCCCTCTCTCCAACGCCCTGGGCTGCCTCGTGTTCCTCGGCACGCCCTTCTACGTCAAGAAATGGGACCGGGCAGGCGTGTTCCGGCTGGTTGTGGCGACGGTGGTGTCCGGTGCGGCGGTGTTTGGAGTGGTGCTGGGGTATGTGGTGCTGTGGGAAGTGGTGCTGATGCAGGTGGCTCATGTGGAGGTGAACCGGCTGCTGCTCTGGCCGCTGGTGGTGGTGGCTGTGGTGGGTCTATTCGGCGCCATCAGCATCGCCGTGCAAGCTTATTTATCTTCTGAGGTATGTGTGGACCCTAATCTTTTATTTACTATTTACGGTGCTCATCATCTTCTCAAATCTAATAAAGTAATATATATATACATATATATATGTATGTATATATATATACATACATATAAACAAAAATGGCGCCAGTCCTTCTGTTCATTTCTGTTGCCTGCCTCCCTCTCCTCTCTGCCTTACTTGCTGCAGATGTGGCACCAACCAGCATACTACAACGGTAACATCTACCACGCACCCGGTTACCACTGGTCACCTGCCATGTCAGCACTCGTGATCCACGCTGGCAAGTTAGACGAGGCCAGCCTGGCACTTTCCGTCGAGCCAATCGCACGCGCCTACGTCTTTCCCCAACTGAGAGAGCTAATCAAACTCTCCTTCTGGTTCCCCCTTCCTCCCCTCCCCACCACCTCCTCCTCCTCCTCCTCCTCCTCCTCCTCCTCCTCCTCCTCCTCCTCCTCCTCCTCCTCCTCCTCCTCCTCTCCCTCCTCCTCTTCCTCGTCGTCCGCTTTCCTATTCTCCGGCTCTCACGCCCATCCCAACAACACCCAGGCACACTCCCTCCTCCTCTGGTTCCTATACATAATCAATCTTATCAGAGTCCTTCTCTGGAACGTCATTTTCCTCGTCCCCTTCGCGCTTCTCTCTCTCACCTCCCACATACTGGCACCGGCACTGGTGGAGACTGTAAGGAGTGTGATTGTAACGATTGCATTTGGTCTATCCCCCAATGAGCTAAGCTTTGCAAGTGTGTATGTGGATGAGGTGTTGGATCTGCAGCTCTGGTCGCACCACGTGGAGCACTGGAACGTTCAGAAGCTTCTGGCTCAGGCTAAGACACAGTCGTTGCAAGGGAAGCTGTTACCCGGTTACCACGATGACACTGTAGATGCGGGTGGGGATGACATTGGGCGATGTGACTCAATGGATGGGGGTGAGCCGCGTTGGCTTGAGGAACATTCGTTACTGGCAGAGGGAAGGGAGAGGGGGAGGGAGGGGGAGAGGGAGAGGGGGCGGCAGGAGGGGAGGGAAGGGAGAGAGGGGGAAGAGGAGGGGATGGAAAAAGAAGCAGCAACAGCAGGAGCAGGAGCAGGAGCAAGAGCAGAAAGAGAAGCAGAAGGAACAGGAGCAGAATTAGCCGCAACAACAACAGCAGCAGGAGGAGGAGCAGAAGCAGAAGCAGCAGCAGCACCAGAAGCAGCAGCAACAACAGCAGCAACAGCAGCAGCAGCAGCAGGAGCAGAGGCAGAAGCAGCAGCAAACTGTCCCTCACACCTCCCAAGAAAGTTTCCCTCAACACCGCACACCACCGCACATCACACCTCTACTTTGCCACCCAAACATCCCTACCACCACCCCACTCCCACCCCTCGAAATAATCACATGCCTGTAACACCCCTGGAGCATCACGTAACTTCCGTCCCAACACAGCACCAGCACATGTTGGTAACCCCGTCACAGCACCAGCAAATGTTGGTAACCCCGTTACAGCACCGCCTTCTTGTAACACAGAAGACCCTGAGGAGGAGGCAATTTGCGAGATGCGAGTCACAAGTGACTTCGTTTGGATCTTCTCTCTTTACCCCGTCTGACACTGATGCCGCTGCTGCTGATGATGCTGCCACTGCTGATGATGCAGCAGCAGCTGCTGCTGCTCTTGCTGGTACAGCTCCTGCTAATGCTCCTGCACACATTGCCCGGCTGAGACGGCAAGGGAATGATAGGGCTCGCTCATTTGCCCGCCCATGGATTTCCCGGGCAGTTCGGCAAGAAAAACTAGCGGGGAGTCAACTGCTCCGAAATGAATCCTTGGGAAATCACCCTGTGGGGAGCAATTTCTTGGGCAGACGGAGGGCGAAAAGCGAAATGGCAAACGTGAGAGAAGGGCCTTTGTTTATTGAAAGCAAGGAGCATGCAAGCGGCAGGAGCAGCAGCAGGAGCGACAACAGGGGTGACAGTATTGGGAACCCTTGGGAATGGCTCATTTTTTTTGTGAGCGATGAGCATGCAAGTGGCAGGAGCAGTAGCAACAGTAGGGCACAGAACACAAGGGAACCAGTTGGTAGCGGCAGCAGCAGCAGCAGGGGGAACGAGAGCAGGGAAGGCAGTAAGCGGAACCTTTGGGGTTGGATCAGAAGGGGTGAGAACGGTGAGGATGGTAATGATGTGGGTGGGAATAGTGGGAGCCAGGCTCAGGATGCTACTGAGGAGGCTAATATAGGGGATGGAAGAGGAGCCACAGGGCATGAGAGCGAGGGGGAGGGCGGTGGTGTGGGTGAGATGGTGGGAGGTGGAGGAGGGAAGGGGGTTGAGGTGGGGGGTGCAAGGGACGTGGGGGGGGTAAGGGGTGCTCGGGCGGCAAAGTGGAAGAGAGTGCGAGGCTGCATAGAGGAACCTGTTTGTGATGATTCTGTGGGGGACGTGGGGGCAGTGGGTGATTTTGACGGTGGTTCGGCGGGTGGTTCGGCAGGTGCAAAGTGGAAGAGAGTGAGAGGCTGCATAGAGGAGCCCGTATGTGATGATTCTGTGGGGGCGGTGGGTGCTTCGGCGGGTGGTTCGGTGGGTGGTTCGGTGGGTGGTTCGGTGGGTGGTTCGGTGGGTGACATAGGTGCTTCGTCGCTTGCAGTTCCATCTGCGGTTGAAGCCGAAGAGGCGGAGGTGCAGTTTCCTTTTGAGGTGCCTCAAAAGGAGGGTGTGGAGTGTCTACAACTGGAGGAGCAGGAGGTCAAGGAAGAGGACAGCAAAGGAAACGATGAAAAGGAGGGAGAGGAGAGAGTGGGGAGTGGCGAGCAGGAGCAGCAGGAGCAGCAGCAGCAGGTGCAGCAATTGTTGTATGAGTTTCTGTGGGAGGACAGCAAGCTAGAGGAGGCAGCAGCGGCATCGGGCACGTACCAGCTGCTGCGATCGGAGATGCGGAGGATGAAGAAGAACCCTCGGCTGACAGACAGAGAGTTCGTGCGCCAGGTATGGTGGCACTGACTTGTACTTATGAGTTGACCTGAAAGTGTGTTGCGTGAGTTTCTGGGAGGAGAATGAAAAAGAACCCGCGGCTTGCCGATTGAGAGTTTGTGCGGCAGGTAAGGCAACACTGACTTGTATGCTTGAGTTGACTCGAAAGAGTGTTGTGCAAGTCTGTATGGGACCCTCGGCTCTCCGACAGAGAGTTTGTGCGGCAGGTATGGACGGTGGCAATAACTTCCTTTAAAGTATGATTTGACTTGAATGTGTCTTGTGTGAGTTTCTATGAGAGGAAAATGAAGAAGAACCCTCGGTTTCCGGCAGAGGTGTTGTGCGGCCGGTATGAATGGTGGCAATGACTTATTCAAGTATGAGTAGTGTGGTGCTTCTTGTATTTTCTTCCCGCGCAGATAGAGCATCTCTGTGTGATGATAGAGGAGCATATCGGAGAGCTCACGGATTGCTTCGACCTGAAACCACGGGGCTTCTTTCCGGGACCCGCGCATCCTCGCTGTCATCTCTCACTTCCTGCAGCAACACAGCCCATAGCCCTTGTTTCCCCCTGCTCCCGTGCCCCTTGCCTCACCCTTCCCTGTCACGCAGATCAAGCAGCTGTGCGTGATGATAGAGGAGCACATTGGAGAGCTCACCGGTCGATTCGACCTCAACCACGGGGCATACTTCCGAGACCCGCGCATCCTCGCTGTCATCTCGCACTTCCTGCAGCACCAAGCTCTTCCTGATTGGTCGAAATCCCTTGATGTAGATTTGCTGCGCATTCAGTCGTTATCGGAGCTTGCGCAGACAGCTTCAGGGCAAGGAACGGGCAGGGAAAACGATGGGCAAGGGGAGGGTACGTGGGATGTGGGGTCTGAGTCAGGTTTGGCTGGTATGGCTGGTGTGGCAGGAGTGGCTCTCATAGGAGATGTTGCAGAAGGGGAGCCGAAGGAGGTACCGAATCTGGGAGTATCAAAGCTGGGGATATCAAGCTCTGGGGGCGGTGCTAGCAGTCGGACTCCTAGCATGGTGGGGTTCCAAGGGAAGCGAAGCAAGAGCGAGAAGAGGAGGAGCAAGAGAGAGGGGAGCAGCTCCTGGTCTGGTCAGCTTTGGCTGCCCCGAGGCTTTTCCAGGTAGCTTTCCTCGAGCCAAGCTTCTTATGGTGGTAGTAAAAAGTCAGGATTCTACCTACTCAGTGTTGTTCCACAGGAGTATCGTCATCTCATCATGTTGTCCCTTGCATGACTGCATTACAATGTCATATGGCAACTCATGTTCATCCCGGCAAAACCCCAACCCAAACATTACGCTAGGTAACAGACTAACAGCAGTACAGCAGGATGGTACACCAGCACAGCCCAGCATGCATGGCAGTAACTGAACCCCTGGGTCTCGGGGAGGGGAATTCCCATATTCGCAATAAGCTGTCCTGACTCCTAATGCAACTCATGTTCGTTCAACTCTATTGGTCTAAGATATCTCTTATCTTGGAAGTGAAACGTGCACCTCAGTACAACCCTGATCACCTGTGGAAGTTTACAGTCCAGCAGGATAGGCCAGATCAGCCCAGCACGTATCCCGATGTCCGAACTTCTGGGTCTCGGGGTGGAGAATCTCTGGCAGCACCTCCAGGGACTCCCACAGAGGCTGCAATACAGCCTAGGCTGCCAGCAACATCGCTAGGACTACTTTAGGTTTTATGGAAGCAGGATAGGGGAGCTCCGCCCAGCATTGGCGCCGGTGTCCGAACCTCGGGGTCTCGGGGTGGAGAATCACTGGCAGCACCTCCTGGGACTCCCACAGAGGCTGCTATAAGGCCTATACTACCAGCAACATGATCTGCTTGGACATAGTGGGTTACAAGGCAGCAGGATAGGGGAGCTCCGCCCAGCACGTGCGCTGGTGCCCGAACCTCTGGGTTTCGGGGTGGAGGATCTCTGCCAGCACCTCCAGAGACTCCACCAGGCTCGGCCCGGGCCTGGAGAACAGCCTCGCAGCCTCCACCACAGCCATGGTGGGCAGGCTCGGCAATGGCCCATGTGCTGCTCTTGCACCTACGGAAATTCCTCCTCCTCCTCCTGCTGCTGCTGCTGATGCTGCTGATGCTGCTGATGGTGCTGCCGCTGCTGCTGATGATGATAATGACGACACTGCTAAGGACTGATCTGCCCCCCCAGACGCCTCCACCCCACTACCCCTCTCTCCTCGAAACATTTTCCATTTCTGCACAGCCTCTTTGTTCACCGCAGCAATGGACGCCGGCAGATCACAGCCGCACACCGCAAAGATCACCGCATCAGCGGCTCTGATTAAATCCTGGAGCTCCTCTTCAGGAACCATCCTGGAACTTTCTGACCCCGTGCCGCCGGCCAATCGAATCAAATCTGGAACCCATGCCCCTGCCAGGAAAATCGGATCCAGCCATTGGATGCAGACAACTTTTTTTCTCGGTCTGCCCGCGCACATCCCACGGACGGTCTGGATTCGCTGCATGAGGTCCTTCGCCGTGGATTCGGCGCGCTGCGATTGGCCGAGAGCGGCGCCGATCCTACGGACGTCGTTGATCGCCTCGACGAGGGATGGAGGGTCGAGATGAACGATCTTGACTTGTGAGCCGAGCACGTGAGACAGCACGTTTTGAACATCCGCGAAGGAAAGCACCTCAGGCTCTTCTTGCAGCTGATTGGGTGAAACGGAAGGGGGCAGGGCAGTGTAAGAAAAGTGGGGTCGGAAGGGTGGGGGTTGGGGATGGGGGGATGGGTGTGGGAGGTTGTGGGCCTAGCATGTGAGAGCTCCCTTTGTCACAGGTACGTAGGGTGAGACAGGCTCAGGAAAGGAAGATGGAAGGAGCTTCTATATTTGAAGAAAGAAAGACGACACATATGTGGGGTTGAATGCGGTGCAATGGGGTGCACTGAGATGGAGTGAAATCGAAAGGAATGCGTCTTTCGTGATGGTATGCCCCAGTGTGGGAACGGGTTATAGTTACATCCCTCACCCGAGTTGCAGTTACATCTCTCACCTGCGTTACAGTTCCATCTCACATCTCACCTGAGTCAGGATGACGTCTGGTCGAAGCCGTTTCAGCATGGCAACGTCCACACGGTAGGGCGAGAGGAACCACTCCAGCAGCAGGTCGCACGCGGGGTCAGATGCATGCGGAGACGAGGGAGCAGCAGCAGCATCTGCAGCAGCACTACCCGCAATATCACCACCAGCAGGAGATGCAACACGTGGTTGGGGCAGAGGCGGCAGGAAAGCGAACTGCCAAGCCGCAGAGGCTCGGAGAGTTGATACCGCCATGTGCACCTCGGCTTGGGGCATTGCAGGCTCGGCCGAGCCTGCGCCTGCCGGGCCTAGCTTAGGCTCGGTGCAGACAGGAATGGAGTCCGTACCTGGTGCGTCGCACTGGGAAGGAGGGAGGGAGAGAAAGAGAGGAGGTGAAGGGAGACGGGAGGGGGTGAAGGGAGAGTAGTATGAGAATAATGAGGGAGACATGGAAGAGAGGGGAGCAGGGGAGGTGGAGAGACGAGAAGGAGAGGCGGAGAAAATGTAGAGCTGGGACTGGTAATATGCAAGTGGACACCACATTTCTCTTACAATCCAAGAAATGTAGTCACATCCACCACAGTTGCATCCACCACAGTCACATCCACCACAGTTGCATTCACCACAGTCACATTCACCACGGTTGCAATCACCACAGTCACATCAGTCGCATTCACCTCGTGGGTGCGCGCAACCAGCGCGCTCGTCAATCCCAAGGCCGTCACGGAGTCAGTCGCGGCCGGCAGCAGCGACACCACGCGAAGCTTCCAATCCGACATCCTTTCCGGCTAGCCGGCTTGTCGGCTTCCTAGCCGGGACCCAACAGCTAACGGCCTTCGGGAACGACAATGTGAACGGCCTACGGAACGACGATGCGAGTTAGTGACGGCTCACGGGACTACAATGCAGCTTAGAAATAAGATACTCGCGACGCACTCCAGCGGACCTTAGACTAGCTCTGTGGCATTCGAGATTGTGTGAGCTTTGTCACTGGACCAGCGTAGCGAGCGCAAAAGAATGACAATTTCGCGACACGAGCGACGAGGGTTTTGCTGCAAGGGAGAAACGAGTTCTGTTTCCCATCAGCAAGTTCTCCCAAGACATGTGGTATGATCCCTCGATAAAGAAGGTTCGTTAAAGGATACGGAACTGGACATTTCGCCCTCCGGAAGACTAATAACAAGATCACGATATTGACATACGCATCTTCATGATGTACCGGTAAAGCAATATAAGGAATCATAGTGCAAGATTACAGCGATAACAGGCCCTTGAGTATTGATGCCTTCTTATCTACAATTTTCTTTTCCTTTCTGTACAATCTCCCTTGAGCATCGCGCCCCTTCTGGTACATCCAAGGCCGCACCCCTAGCATCCAAACCAGCTCCTAAAGCTGCTTTCTGCTTCCCAACCTTTCCAAGATTGCTTTTCTTAGCACCATTCCCCGATACGTTCTTCTCACCCCGTAACTTCCCAACAGCTGCAACTTGAGGTCGTGTTTTTAACACCACCCCTCCATGCATCATCCCTTCCTCGTTACCACTCGCCCAACACCGGGCCTTTTCACAGCCTGATCTTCAACTCCCACCATCCTTGCTGCAGCACCGATGCCTGCCAGTTTTCTCTCCTTTTTCTCTAGTCCCAACGCTTAACAGCCCTGATTCTTCCCCTCCCTTCCTCTCCTTTAAACCCTCTTCGTGCTCCTCCCCTTCTTCTCCTTCTTCCCTCTCTTTTTCTTCTCCCTCTTCCCTCCTTCTCCCTCTACCCTCTTCTCCTCCACTTCCTCCCCTTCTTCTCCCTCTTCCCTCTCCTCCTCTAATTCCTCCCCTTCTACTCTCTCTTTCCTACCAGCTCCCAACTCTTCACCATCCACCTCCATCTCCCCCTCCCCCTTCTCCATCGCCCCCACTCCCTCCTCCATCTCACCCTCCCCCCCCTCACCCTCCTCGCTCTCTTCTCTGCCCCCCTCACTATCCATCTCCCCATCTTCCCCATCTTCCCTCCTACAATCCTCCCCATGCCCCATCCCCTCCTCTCGCCCCCCATCCCCATCATCTCCCCCAAACCCCTCATCCCAATCGCCCCAACCAGCCACCCCCTCCCCTCCCCATGCCTCCCCACTGCCAAACCCCCCCCTTGCCTCCACTGCCCCCTTCCCCCCTTCAACCCTTCTATCCCCAATCACCATCCCCTTCCCCACCCCCACCCCCCTGTCCCTCCCTCTCCCTTGCCCCCTACCCCTCCCTCCTCCCCTGCCCGTCTGCCCTTCCTTTCCTCCATCGTTGCTGACCGGGGCAGAAAGAAATTCTCCAAACCCCAGCTCCTGCATCAGTGCTGCCATGGACGGGCCATCAGCGCCAAACGGACCCCTGCCTCTCTCTCCACCATCTCTGCCTTTACCAACCTCTCCTCTCCCCTCTCTTCCCTGCCCCTCTCTCCCTTGATCCTCTCTACCTTGCCCTACTCCTACTTGGCCCTTCAGCCTCTTTTGCCTTCCCTCTGTTTCATGTGACTCAGCAAGTGTTCCTGTGGCGGGTGTGCCTGTAACGGGTGCAGTGGGTGAGGCTGCTCCAGCTGCGACAGGAGCAGGTGTGCTTGAAGCAGTTGGACCATTCTTCTGTGTTAAAGAGAGAACGTCTGCTGTGCTTTCAAATGCTTCACTCTTCACCTTCTTGTTCTTCTTGCTGCTGCTGGTGCGGTTTGTGCCGCTGGTTGTGGAGTCAGGTGAGGGGAAGGGGCGAGAGGAGATGAGGAGGGTCGAGGCTTGCCATACGTGGTATAGGCGGGGAGGGAGAGACGGGGGAAGAGGGACCTGAGTAAGGGAGGGTGAGGGTGGGAAGGGGGGAAGGGGGGAAGGGGGAAAGGCAAAGCAGTACTTTGTGCTGCTGGTTGTGCTGGGGCGAACGAGATGAGGAGAGATGTAATAGGGTAGGAATAAAAAAAGCTTGACAGACACGGAGGGAGATTCAGGGGAAGGGGACCTTAGCAAAGAGAGAGGGTGGGGAGGGAGAGTGGGGCACGGGAAAGACAAGGTAGAGCGTTGCAGCGATGCTATAGTAGGATGAAAGTAGCAGTAAAAAGAAAATGTGAGGTCAACAGAGGAGGCTGATAAACGTGAAGCGACCACTAAGAGTATAAGTGGAAGATAGATGTAGACACCTTATTGAGCACAAGCCTAAATCTCTCAATTCTTGTAGTCAGGCAGAGCAACACGCAGTGCAAGAGGAGAAATCAGAGGTATACCTTGCCTCTTGCAGCCGTCGCTGTCAGGCGATTGTAGACCGACACGTGGTGTAGCTGACACTGACAGGTAAGAACAACACTCAAGCATACAAGACACACAAGCACGCAGGCACGCAAAACCAGAAACACAATGCTGCAGCTAAACACATATTTATCAATCAAGTTGACCTCCTTATCAGCACGAAAACGAAGCACCAATTTGTGCCTTAAAAAGCAGGGTGAATGCAAAAGTTGCCCACCTGAAGCAAGAGGATGTAGAGTCGACCTAAACAGGCGAAGCTCGTGACACAGAGAGGGAGGAAGCGCTCCAATATAACCAGACCCGCTATAAGGCTGGCAAAAAGGGAGGGACAAATGACTCAAAAAGGGTTTGTGCTTGAAGGACAGTGCAGAAGGGAATTCAGATTTAGGGTTATGTGTTCCGGGTGAGGAGGTTGATTGTTAACTGTGCTGCTGGAATCAAAAGTTACCGTGCGGCTCGAATCAAGAGGCTTGTAGTCTGAAAGGCATGGACAAGGGACGTTGCACAGGGAAAATGGGGGAAGAAGGGGGAGGAAGGGAGGAGAAGAAGGGGGGGTGTTTGAGTGGGAGAGGGGGGGACAGAGGTCAATAAGTGGGTGAAAGACGGTGTGTGCGTGTGTGTGTGTGTATGTGTGTGTGTGTGTGTGTGTGTGTGTGTGTGTGTGTGTGTGTGTGTGTGTGTGTGTGTATGTGTGTATGCGTGTGTGTGTGTGTGTGTGTGTGTGTATGTGTGTATGCGTGTGTGTGTGTGTGTGTGTGTGTGTGTGTGTGTGCGCGCGCGCGCGCGCGCGCGTGCGTGTGTGTGTGCGTGTGTGTGTGTGTTGGGGGCCCGCACGACAGAGGAACGTACATAACCATGAGAAGAGAATGCAACTTAGCGCTTTAACATAATGTAGAGACAAGCCGACCCCCCTGGAGGTCAATTCGTGTTAGGAAGTCTTCTCCACGCAACTTACCTCTTAAACAGACCGGAGAGGGAAGACGAGCCCCCTATAGTCACGTTGTGTTGGAAAATCTTCCAGAACCAGCTTACCTCTTGTACGTACTGTAGAGAGAAGACGAGCCGCTTGGATTGGCTGCTGAATTCCGGGCTCTGCGCGACCGCCAGCAGCGCTGGAGGCGAGGCGTCTTTAATCTCTTGTAGCAGCTGGAGGACGTTTGAAGAGATGAAGTCTCTTAATCTGCGGTGAAGCTGACAAGGAGGGAGATTGGGTAGAGAGGTGAGGATAAAATGATGATGCGAGTCTTAGTGGATTGAACAAGTGGATTTGTTGGTGTGTATTATCAATGCGAACGTTAATTCTAGGTTACCTGGCGAAGCGCATGAAAATATTTCCCGTGTCGGTGCTGGCTGCGATTTTGACGCAACAACTTCCCTAAAAGCGAGGTTTCGAGCTGCAAATCGCTCTCCATACGCGCTGTCAATAAGAAAAATAGGAACTAGTTCGTGAATTGGCGCTAGGAACTAATTCAAACCGGATTGGAGTAATGGAACGAATTTCTAGGAGGAGGTAGCAAGGAAAGCACTCAGCAGCATTGCCCAGGGTTTGCATCCAACCACGGAACCGTCGCTACTGGACTGGACTTTCTGTGGAAAGTGAGTACTCTATAATTTTCCACGTTATAGACATTAGGGTGAACCACGGATAGGCCATGTGTGCGTACGAAATTCCGATTTCAGTTATCCTGTTGTTACATTCTGTATTTTGCTTGTGTCCCAATCTTAGCTGCCGCACAAACATTTGAGCTGGCCAACTTGTTCCCCGCCAATTTCACGTCATCAAACTTTTCCCACGAGACACCCCTAAGGGTTTACTCTACGACACCCCTAAAACTTCCACTCCGTGCATCCACTAAAGATTTCGTTCAACCTTCTCTCTTCCCTGGAAGGACCCACTTGAAAATATGAAAGCGCTTCACGTACCAGAAATGGTTGCCCACGGGTGTGAAAGTGGCACTGTATTGAAATTAGCGGGGGAATGTGACCTAAACTTGTCGCAACGGTACCTGCCGGCTGCGTTCCAGGTGCAAAACCAGGATGGGGAATAATTGCCCGGCATGTCGGAACAGAATCATGTTTCTACCAATGGCGTTTAGAGTGGGGTGCAAGTGAAGATTGGACTCAGGTCAGGAGTGTTTATTTGGGCTGTGCAGCTAAACATAAACTCTCGAGAACTGGAAATGGTCAAGCGTCTGACTGAACAGGTCCCAACCAAACAGATGGATTCTGGCACACGAATTAGGACGTGGTCCCAATCGAGCTTGATCGCCTCGATCACACACGATCAACAATTTCTAGGAAGCTTGGAAGCCAATTTCATGCAATCGGGGGCAATCAGCTGATCGCCCCAACTCAATCAGACCCGATTTTCACCCCGATCAGAGTCGATTTTCCTCGATCACAGGCGATCACCTGATTGCATGTGATCGGGGCCCACAGCGACGTTTGCGAGTAGTTACACAGTTGCAGTTACAGTGAAACGAGTATTTTCGCCAGGTGACTTATGGTCGCCAATCTCGCTAGAATGGGGACGAAAATGCGAGGTAAATGTACCGGGCTTGCTAAGCAGGCGCTGGAAATCTTCTTCGAAAAACATCTCTGATCGGGCGGCTCGGCCACTGCGATCACAAGCAAACCGATCAGATCCGACCAGATCAGATCAGTCGCGATCAAACTCGATTGGGCCCACGCCCTTACGGTAACACTGCAAACGAACCAAGTTCTTTTCCTGGTCAGCTGGTCTGATATTTTTCAACCAGTTGGCGTCACACACAGGCAACCTCCGGATCTGTCTCACAAGTTGAGCTGTCACAGCGTGCAAATGCTGGAAGTGATTGGGGAGAATTGGCTAGCGGAGGTTTGTTCAGAATCGATCCTCCTCACTGGAACTGGCAGCATCCACGTATTTCTTTCTTGCAAAATCAGGGATTTCACCAATGGCTGTCATGACACAAGTAGCACGCCAGACAGTGAGTTTTTCAAAACAATGGCGGAAACACAGGAGTTGCTGATAGAACCGAGGAAGCATTCCTCTACCCCATATCATTCTTGCGCCATGCAGCTTAGAAGCAACCCTCTCTGTGTAGGCATTTCCATCTCGAGCTGTCTTACTGCGGTGTCCTTGCTGACGTTCTGCATCGCTTTCAGGCTTTACTCCCCAAGATTGGAGACTCTACGGAGGATTACAAAAACTGTTTTAACGGACAATGCAGCGGAACCGCGTCTGGTTAATTTTCTTCAGCAAGATGATGGTTTCGACGAGAGGATAACATCATGGCATCAACCAGTTCAGGTTATTCGGCGTAGAGAATATGTTTCGGATGATGTCATCACGGGGATTCCAGGGTCAAAAATCAAGAACGACTCGTCCGTGCGTTCGTTCCGTAATCGCTGGAACTGCGTCAGCCAATCAGGTCACTGGCGCTACGATCCAACCCCTCGTCTCCTCCACTGGCCAAGTCCCCTTAGCAAATGCGACATTCGACACGCGGATATCCCAGGAAACCTCGTCGGCCCTTATGCCAATAGCGCCGCCCTCAGAGATCCCGAAGATTGGACCGTCAGAGAAAGCTTGAAGTACGTGTGGGATCCAAGCAGCGAAACTTCGAATCAAGGTGACGATTGCGGCCTGTGGACTCAATTCAGCGAATCCAGATTCTGCGAAGCGCTCAATGGAAGAAAGTTGCTGATATCTGGAGATTCTCTCAACGGCCAGTTCGCTCTCTCCCTCATTCTCCGCTTGAAAATCGGTGAAAACGTGGTTCCTAATGGGTTATTCTCTGCGAAGTGCCTCAAAGCCAGATTAGCTTACCCTAAGCTTCCTCTTATTTGCTTCTCCTCCCCAGTCTGCGAGTCTTCGGGCCGTCCGTCTCACATCTACTTCGTTCGTAGCGATTACCTCGATGTCCCAGTGGCGTTGCCTGGCTTCTCCACGGAAAATCATTGGTGGGTGGACGAGATAGCAGCACAGGGTGTAGACGTGGTTGTACTGAATCGCGGAGCCCATTATGTGGAGGATGCAGCGTTCGAAGCCCAGCTCAACGCAACTCTCCTCCACCTGAGAAACCGCTTCCCGAATCTCCTGACAATCGTCCGATCCTCTGCTGCTGGCCACGCCGATTGCATGAACTTCACCTGTCCGATCGAAACACGGCCATCTGAAGACGATCTGCCTCACCATTGGTCGGAACTTTCCCATCAGAACCGAATAGCAGAGCGTCTGGCTGATACTAAAGGTGCTGCTTTTTTGGATGTGGATAGAATGACGGCTCTCAGACCGGACTCACACAAGGGAAAGACGGGGACGTCCGAGTCTTCTGCCGTGGATTGCCTTCACTACTGCATCCCTGGTCCCCAAGATGGTTGGTCTGACATGCTCTTCAACATGCTGCTAGACCTGCTATGATTAATTTATATAAAAGTCTCAATTGTTTTCTATACAAATATTGCTGTTTATTTATCCTTAGTACAATATTTCTGCATGGACTGCCTGCTGTATGGTGTGGGTGGGCAATGGGGGAGGGAAGGGCTGCCCCTGAATGCTTGCAAGGCTGCTCCTAGGGCTCCTGGGTGCTGTTCTCTGACATGCTTTCAGCTGAGATGTCCCAGGGCTCAAAAGGCTATACAAAGAGAAGACTTTTACCGGTACACACATGCTAATGGTTAACCTAATTACATTTCTAGCCGAGGCTTGAAGTGGTTAACCTGATTCTTCAGGAGTTACAATCCCTTCTTCACCTTCCACATTCCCCACTGCGTCCTGTTCAGGTTTTCTTTTCTTGGCTGCTGCTGGTTTCCCTGCTGCTATTTCTTCTGCGCTCCCCCCAGTCACAGCAGCAGCAGCTGCTGCTGCTTCACGCTTCTCCATCTTCCCCTTTCGTTTCACACTCTTCTCATTCCTTAAAGCTGCAGAAGAATGAACACAACGAGATATGAAAAGCTTTAGGGTTTAGAAGGAATACAAGCCTTATAAACTGTACTAGTGCAACAACTTGTGCGAAATGAGCTGACCTTCCAGTGTGGATTGCAAAGCAGGCAGGAACTCCGAGAATTGAATGTCTTCAATGCTGGCCAGCACATCGGCGGCGCTCACCGTCTGCCGCTTGTTGCTGCGGCACACATCGTTCGCTCTGATGGGACATGAGGGAAAGAATGTGATAGGAGGGAAATGAGACAGGAGGGGTGAAAGGAACTGTAGGGTATTTACTTGCTTCCCAGTTGCTGCAGCATTAATCGCTGGCTCTGACAGGAAAACCAGAAAGATGCAGGGAGAAAACAAGGGAGAAAGCGTGACAAAAGAAGTAGGAACATGAAAGGTTATGATCTTGCTCAATGATCCTGCGCCGCACATAGTTGACTCACGACGATAACAAAGAAAAGGAATCTGATTACTGGAAATGAAAGGAGTTCACAAAGAAAGGGATGGACTATGACCATACACAAGTAACAAGTGAATGCCACTACACAACAAGTAACGAACGAACTTGCTGTAGGCGCCATAACATACAAGGTGAATTCTCTAATCGACTGAGAATCCACCTTTAAGTCGAGACCAGGTGACGTGGCATGCACCTGCCTCCACGTGGCAGGGTGTGGTTGAAACTACTAGGAGGAGATGCTCACGTGGCAGTCAGGTAGTGGATGAAAACCCTAGCGCTCTCCGAAAGCGCGACCAGCGCATCCTTCGCCACCTGCACCTCCTTCTTCCGCCCAGATCCCTCCCCTCCTGCGCCCGCTGCGCCCCCCGCTCCCCCCAAACCTCCCCCTTGCTGCGTCAGCTCCTGCACTTTGGCTTTAACGATTCTCCGCACCACTGTCCGCGGCAATTCCTCGACTTCCCCCGCGATCTGCGCAGCTCCTCCTCGACTTCTCCGCCGATCGTCCCCGGCGGATCCCGTTTTTTGCGCGAGCCAGCCCCCTTCCCCTTCTCAGCGCGGCCCTTGGCGCTCGACTCCTTGTTCGCAGCCGCGGGGGTTTCCGCATCCATCGAAGATTGCTCTCCAGCGGGTGCCACGTCAGCAGCCTGCTGCTCGTTCGCCAGGTGGCTCGGATCGTCGTCTCCTCGCGGCGACGCCATCGCCTAAGACGACAAGGCGCACGGTGCGATGTTTCTTACTGACTAAGCGACATGCGCATGGAGCGAAGCGTATCGCTGGAGAAAGCGCGGAGTGACTGCTTTCTTACACCTAAGAATCATGCACTGCGTTCCCGTAACAGTTACTTGCTGACTTTCCAGTGCGGTTCAGTTGGCTTTCACACGGTAAGCAGCAATTCTGACACTTGACCTAACTTGACTGCAGCGCACCGAAGTAAACCGTGCTAGGTGAATTGATAACGAACCTGGTAAATCAGGAAGCCAGTTGCTGGACACGTCCTTCGCGCCTGACCTTGGATGTGTCAGAAGCTGTCGGTTGACTGGTAACACACGTTTTCGCCACAAAGGTGTAACCCGAAGTTACGGGGAAAGCCAAGCATTTCGCAGTAACACCCCCTTTCTCCCCGCCAACTCAACGGCAACTGAACGACCCGTTTCATCCATCTTGACTCGACTGCCGGGGACTCGGGGGGCACTTTATCCCAATTTCGAAATACCCTGACAGCTGAACTGGGGGTGCGGGGAACTTGGGGGGAGCCGAGCCAACGCATTTCCTGACGGATTTCCTGACTGATCTCCCAAACGTTTTTGACGGATTGTTCTGTTTGATAAGCAAAGCAACGTAGAGTTGGACCTTGGGGAATTCCCTAGGCATCTTTTTTCAGAGCTCAGCCAATTGTCCTTGGAATTTGCACATGGATTCCTCCTAGCGCATAGCTCACTTGGCTCTTTCAGCTTAGAAGTTTGTGCGAAAGACTGTTTGTTCAGGCTTCTTGTGTCGTCAGTGTATTATTAAGACTCGCGTATCAACGCAGACGTCGGCTCAAGTAGGCTAGGGTTCGTGAGTTACCTGGAAGCGTTTGCGTGCTTGACGTAAAGGCGTTTTCACCAGGAGAACACGGCCTCTAAGATCTCGTCTGCACCTGCACCGTGCTTCACTCGTTGAGATTATCTCTTCTTGCCGACTCTGTTAGTTGCGTCGAGGCTCACAAAGTAAAGTGGTGTCGCCATTCGCACGAACTATAGTCACATTGTATTTCCACGTGTGTCATGGCGGAGGAACAGACGCAACAATCATTAGATACGGAAGCACCACCACCCTCTCCAACTCTTTCCGAGGAGTTTGGCGGCGACTTCATCATCTACAACCGGCCGCCTATCAAGGAAGTCTGCCTCGCTTTCCTCCTGCTGGCGCTTGGAGCCTTAGGGATCATTGTGGGATCATGGATGACGTACCACAAAGTTTGGGGAGATCGCTCACACGGTGCGTATAACCACATTCTGGCTGTTCAGGATACGGGTGCTTTAAATTACAGGTTCATTCATAATCCATATATGGTTTCCGCTGCTATGTTTTTAGTCCCTGACTCCCTACCTTACTCACGCCCGTGCATGCGGATTTCTCTTTCCGCCATTATTCCCTCCTCCCTTTCCACCCCCCTCGACTTTCTCCTTCCTGCATGTGTAGCTGTTTATTCACATAGAGTGCGTTGTTTTCCAGTCATTCATATTCATTTGTGCGCTCTTGCCCCTCCCTCTGTTCGCCCTTTCGTTTTTTCACAGGAATTTCCTTTATTATATTGGGCATTCTACTCTTCATACCAGGTTTCCATGAAAGCCGGATTGCATACTTCGCATTCATCGGTTACAAAGACTTTTCATTCTCCAATATTCCAGCAGTCTAGTCCAACTTCCTGTGACGGTGTAATATTATGATAATATTGTGTGGATTCAAAGTTCAGTGTTATATATCCTTTATACAGTTGTTTCTGTACACTAAGCTCTTTGATACAAATATGTATCGGATACCGAGGATATTCAGGATCAGTTTTCAACCATGAACAGCCTGGAGCTGTTCGTCTGGCTGCAAGTGACTCGGCAAATTCCTGACCTCTCATTCGTTAAGCAGGGTACACCACAACGAACCTTGTTCAGCCTTTCGTCACCCACCTCGGAGTAACCTTGAAAGCACGCCTCTTGCTCCAGCTTGTTATTTCCTGCAAACATCGTATCACACTCCTTTACGGCGGTTGACGGCGGAATAGCTTTCTCTTCTGAGTTCACTTCACTCACCTGGGTTCACAGCCACACGCTCGTCAGCTGACGCATTGACAGTGTCAGTGTCCTTGATTTCACCCGCCTTATTCTGCTCTCGTTAGTTCCCCGTCGTCACACGGCCTGCAGGATTTGTCTGCCAGTTGCAGGGCTCGACTGCCTTCGTCGGCTGCATTTTCTGACAGCAGGAAAGAATGACGTCAGCCGCTCTTCAACCAAACCTGGGAACCTCCAGACACGTCTCATCCCAGTCCAGTATTGCAGTCCCGCGCCGCTCGCGCTTTCGACGAACTTTCCTGATACCGTGCGTATGGGAGCAGAAATGTTCGCCTCGCTCCAGTTTGTACAACTCGACGTCGCGGCAGACATTGCGTCTTGTATCTCATCCTCTTAACGGAGTTGCTAATGGCGCGTCGCAAGTTAGCGAACGGCTTAGACGGACTACGCTGACGGTGTTCAGTCACGATAACACGTCAGCAGGTTCGGACAGGGCAAAATCTTCAGTGTGTCGGTCAGTGTCTGTAGCTGCTCCGCCTACGTCCTCCCTTTCCTCCTCCACGCCTTCCACCTCCTCCTCTTCCACACTCCCCCCTCCACCCTCACCCGAGTTTTCCCCTCCTGAAGGCGACACGGCCGGCGCGGCGTTTCTTCTAGAAGATGTGACTCTATCGGCGGGAGATCGCGACCTGCTCTCGTTAGTGTCATGGCGGGTGATGCCGGGGGATCGAGTCGGCTTGGTGGGGTCAAACGGGTGCGGCAAGTCAACGCTGCTGCGCGCTCTGATTGGTCGACAGCTGGTGGACGGCGGGAGGGTGATTGTATCGCGAGGATCGCGTATCGACTACCTGGAACAAACGTGAGTATAACGGGAGAGGATAGAGGAATGGTGTTCCTGTTGGTCCAAATGGGTCTGTTTGCGAGCCCTGTGTGATCGACAGCTGGAAGGTGGAAGGAGGGTTACTGTAGCGAGAGGCAGGTGATTGTAGCGAGGACTACACTGCGACTGTTATTCCCGTTCGACCTCCCTCCCTCCCTCCCCCCCCACACACCCCTCCCCTTTCTCCCCCTGTTCTGTCCCTCCCCACCCACCCGCACTCCCCTCCCTTCCAGTGCGGTGTCAGGATCACGGAGGAGCGTGTGGGAGGAGGCGAGCTCGCGCATGGATGCTCTAAATAAAGCAGAGGCTGACATGCATTCAGCCGAGGCTGAGCTGACAGATAGCGAGGATGAAGCTGAGCTGGCGGGTGGTTCGAGTGACGTGGCGGGGGAGAGGGAGAGGGCGAGGGCGATGGAGCAGGCTGCTATCCGATTCGTCGAGGCGCAGATGCGATTCGATGCGATTGGAGGGGCGAAGAAGGACGAGATTGTTTCGAGGTGAGAGAGGGGGCGGGAAGGGGGGGGAGGTGGGGAGGCGGCAGGGTAGAGTGCAGCGAGCAGTAGTGAGTGCAGGGTGGTTTCTGAGAAGTCTCCAGAATTTCTCACAAGGTGGGGGAAGGGATGTGAGGCAAGGCGTGGAAGAGCGAACTTCTAACTCTGGGCTTCAAACGTCAAACTTCAGACTTGAAGTTTGAAGGCGGAGAGGTAAAGAAGGGGGTTCAATTCAAACATCAACTCTTCCAAGTGCCTGAATGGGGCTTCCCGTTTGTCAACGGATGGCCTGCGACTCCTCCTAACTTTGATGGTTTCTGACTTTCCGAGCTAGTATATCTTCTTCTTATCTAGTTTTGAGACGTCTCAAAACTAGCTGGTATATCTTCTTCTTATCTTCTCTTGAGACGTCTCAAAACTAGCTGGTACATCTTCTTCTTATCTTCTCTTCCGTCCCCTCTTTCCCCATCCTGGTTCTCCTCCCCCCCTTCTCTCCCCCCTACCCTTTGCTTCCCTTGTTCCAGTGTGCTCAAAGGTCTCGGGTTCGATTCCTCCAACTGGCACAATCCCTGCGACTCCTTCTCGGGGGGCTGGCAGATGAGAATCGCCCTGGCCAGGCTGCTTCTGGGGCAGGCGTCAGCTTCAGCAGCAGGGCAGGGGAGCAGGTCGCTACTGCTGCTGGACGAGCCTACGAACCATTTGGATGCCGCTGCTAGGGTGAGTGCGTCTAGAAGGTAAAGGTAGAGGTGAGCAGGGAGAGACAGGTTGCTTCTGGGGCAGGCGTCAGCTGCAGCAGCAGGTCAGGGGGGGAGGTCCCTTCTGCTGCTGGACGAACCTACCAACCATTTGGATGCCGCTGCTAGGGTGAGTGGAAACTTCGGTGCTTCTGGCAAAGGGGCGAGGGGAAGAGGAGGGGCAGGGGGCAAGTCGCTACTGCTGCTGGCTCCAACCATCCGGATGCCACTGCTAGGGTGAGCGGAAAATGCAGGGCCTTGTGGGGTAGGTACCATCTGTAACCATTCGAAAGTCGTGTCTAGAGTGACAAAAAAGTTTGTTTTTTTTTGTATTATTTTCTACTTTCAACTGTTCAGCACTGCGCATGTTTTGCATGGCTTCGTTTTTCCTTTGTACCACTACAGGCATGGTTGGCGGATTGCTTATGTTGGGTGCAAGCAGCCCTGGTCGTCGTGAGTCACGATCAAACCCTCCTGGACCGAGTATGCCAGAAAATCGTTGGAAGTGCGGGGGTCCCAGCTTTTGAGGCGCCTCAAAGGGGGCTCACAGCTTCACCACTACTCCTGCTCCTTCCCTCCCTTTTTACAACAACAGGCATGGCTGGCGGAGTACTTGTGTCGGGTGCAAGCAGCCCTGGTCGTTGTCAGTCACGATCAAACCCTCCTGGACCGAATCTGCCAGAAGATCGTTGAAGTGCGGGGCTCCCAGCTGCACCACTACTCCTGCTCCTTCTCCAAGTTCCTGGTTGAGAGGGAGGAGCGAAGGAGGCAGAGGGAGAGGGAGTTGGAGGGGAAGCGGGGGGAGATGGCGAAGCTGGAGGGGTTTATCAATAGGTTTGGGGCTAAAGCTACCAAGGCTGCTGCGGCGAATTCAAAGAAGAAAGCCCTTGAGAAGATTCGAGCGACTATGCCTGATGATGATGAAGAGGAGGCAGGTGAGAGGCGGGTGTGGAATGGGGAAGTGGGGGATAAGGGGGGTTTGGGAGGAGCAGATTCGAAGGGAAAAGGGACTCGAAGAAGAAAGCCCAGGAGAAGATTCGAGCGAGCATGCCTGATGAGGATGAAGAGGAGGCAGGTGAGACAAGGGAAGAGGAGCATGCGAGCATGTGTAATGGGATGGGGTTAACGGGGGGGGGGCGGTGGGTGAAGGGGTAGACTCGAAGAAGAAAGCACTGGAGAGGAGAAGATCCGAGCGAGCATGCCGGATGATGATGAGGAGGAGGCAGGTGAGAGGGGGGTGTGGGAGTAGGGGGGGGATAGGGGGGATCTGGAGGGAACAGGGCTGGGACCAGGGCGAACTCAAAGGAGAAAGCACTGGAGAGGATTGGAGCGAGCATGGATGAAGACGAGGTCACGAGGAGGAGGCAGGTGAGGGCTTGGGGAGTGGAGGATAGGGGTTGAAACAGGGGGTAACCCCCCGGGGGATCAGGGATGGACAGTGGGGGCTGAAGGGGGAATGGCGTTGTCAGTGGGGCAAGGGCGTAATGGGAAAAAGAGAGGGGGGTGTTAGAGGAAGAGGGAAGGGCGTGAAGGTGTGGGGGAGACGTGGGGGAAGAGTTATGAGGCACCCACATCCCTAATTTCTTCCTGTCTTTTCGCATTTCCCCTGATTCCCCCAAGCCTAATTCTCTCCTCTTTCCTCATCCCACCCCCCCATTTCCCCCAGCCTTTGCCAGTGACGCGGGAGGGGACCGAAGGAAGGTGGCTGTGAGGTTTCCCCTCCCCCCTTTTGTTGTTGTGCACCTATTTGGATCATTCTCCCCCTTCTCCATATAGAATCCTCACCCCAACCCCCCAATCCCCCCCCAGCCTTTGCCAGTGACGCGGGAGGGGACCGAAGGAAGGTGGCTGTGAGGTTCCCCCCGCCTCCCCCCTGCTCACGCGAAGTCATCATGCTTCGACGCGCTGCGGTTGGCTGGGCTGGTGCCACGTCACCTCTGATTGAACACGTCAGCTTCAGCATTGAGACCGCCACGAGAACCGTAAGCACCCACCTCTCCCTCTTCGCCCCCCCCCCTCCGTTGTTTTTCCATGTTACCTGATACGGGTCAATGCTGATCAATTCTTCCTGGTCAATGCTCAGTGCTGGTCAATGCTGGTCAATTCTTCCTGGTCAATGCTCATTGCTGGTCAATGCTGGTCAATGCTGGTCAATGCTGGTCAATTCTGGTCAATGGGGACACCACTCAGCTCGCCCTTGCTATGTCATATCATACTCCCTCACTGCCACGTGGCAGTTGACGATTGGTCCAAACAGAGCCGGAAAGTCAATGCTACTCAAGGCCATGGCAGCAGCAGGGGCAGGTGCAGAACTGGTGGCTGGTGCATACTTCACATCACACTGATTGTTCCTCACCACTCTCATCACCCCCGTTCACTGCCACGTGGCAGTTAATAGTTGGTCCAAATGGAGCGGGCAAGTCAACTCTTCTCAAGGCCATGGCTGCAGGGGAAGGCGCAGAGCTGATGGCAGGAGAGAGGGAGACGGGCGAGGGGGCGAGCTTAGGCGTGTTCTCGCAGGACCTGGCGCAGGACTTGCCTCAGGACGTGACGGCTCTGGACTATGTGCTCAGTGTGAGTGGTCCTCTTCTCCCACAAGTCCTAGCCTAGGCATACTATTGATTTGAGTGATCGTAGGCGTGTTCTCACAAGACCTGGCTCAGGACTTGCCTCAGGACGTCACTGCTCTGGACTACGTTCTCAGTGTGAGTGGATTTCAACGGGATTGGTGGTCAGTGTGAGTGGCGTTTCTGTGTGAGTGGGTTTCCCACAGAACCGTACATGTGTGGTCGGTAGAGCTTGGGCGTGTTCCTCACAAGACCTGCCTCAGAGCGTGACGGCTCTAGACTATGTGCTCAGTGTGAGTGGTGGTCGGTGGTATCGGTAGTGAATATGGGTGGTTTCCCTCAAGTCCTAGCTTGGAATTGGTATTGGTATGTTCCTGAGTGAGCTTAGGCGTGTTCTCGCAAGACCAGTCTCCTGTCCCACTGTCCCCAATTCGCCAGGGAGCACAGCCCTCTAATACCCAATGGGAAACAAAATTCTGAGGGGGTAAATAGCTGCCCCATTTCTCACTAAAATTTTGTCTGTTGCAATTTTTCCTCTTCCAGGTCGCACGGGAGCACAACCCTCTGGTAACCAACGAGCAAGGCCGTACCGCCCTGGGAACTCTCGGCCTATCCGGCCCCGCGGCTTTGCGGCCGATCTCAGCGCTGTCGGGAGGGGAGAAGGCGCGGGCGGCGTTGGGTGGACTGTTGCTGCGGCCGCACAACGCGCTGCTATTGGACGAGCCGTCCAACCATCTGGATAGGACAACAATGATGGCCTTGGCCTCGGGATTACAGCAGTTCAAAGGTGTGTTTTAGTGGATTTATTATTTTGAGGCCTATAGTTTAAGTTGTGAGACACAACCCTTGTCCCTCCAGGCGCGGTGGTGGTAGTATCCCATGACCATGATTTCTGCCAGCCCTTTCAGCCCTTTTAGCCAACGCAGCTCATTCATGCTGATGGCCCTTGCAGCCTTTTTACTCGTTCCGCGATTCAGAGACCTTACTCTGCACCTTTCTCCTATTCTCCCCTGCAGGTGCGGTGGTGGTGGTATCGCATGACCATGACTTCTGCCAACTCTTCCATCCCACGCAGCTCATTCGCGTCGACGGCTCTGGAAGCTTCCTGACCCCTGAAGCTCTTGCACTTATCCAAGTGAATGTGTTCTTATCCCTCCCTCCTTTCAGGTGCGGTGGTGGTGGTATCCCACGATCACGACTTCTGCGAGCTCTTCCAGCCCACGCAGCTCATTCGCGTCGACGGCTCTGGGAGCTGCGTCTTTGAGCTGCTCCCTCAAGATGTGACTGCAGGGGAGAGTGACAATGCCGGTGCCAATGGTGGTGGTCGTGCTGCTGCTGCTGCGCCTGCTGCCGCTGGTGGCAAGCTGCCGGGTTTGGCAGGGATGGGGGGCCTGGGAGGAGGGGGAGGAAAGAAAGGGAGGGGAGGTGAGGTGGGGGGAAATGGAGCAGCCTCGCAGGCGTTTCAACAGAGTGTGGAGGAGGTGAAGAAGGTGAAGAAAAAGCTGCAGCAGGTATGGCTGAATCACCTGGCTTGTTTGACTCAACCCCGAAACGTGTTGCATACGACAGTGTGTAAGATTTTGATGTTCGCTTTTTGTGATTTGTCTCAGGTACGCACCAAGATAAAACAAACACTCGCCACTTTGGAGAAGGGGGATGCAGCCATTGCATCGTATGATGGGGCGATGCTGGAATCTGGGAGTGATGTGGAACGAGTGACAAAAATCCAGAAGATGAAGGATGCTGCTCTGGTGAAAATGACAGAGCTAGAGCAAGAGTGGGAGGAGTTGGAGGAGTCGGCTACACGACTGCAAGGGAGGTTGGATTCACTCGAGCCATCGAATTAGGCTCCTTACTAGAGAGGCTCTGCACTTCAGGCACGTATGCTGCTGCTAGCTTAGCCTAAAACATTTGAAGTTGCTGTTGCCATTAATGTAGTGACATTTTGTGACGATTAACTTTGGGTGCTACCTTTATTTCAATAGATGTTCTTAAATATAGTGGAACCATCGAGGACATCTTTGGACCAGGTTACCATATCCGCTTCCACGCTATGCGCGCCACTCCCTGCAAGGAGCCAGCAGGCAAAATCCGCTGGCTGCGCTTTCAACCTCGAAATAACCGTGGCCTGACTCAGATACTCCTCACCCATGGGGTTGCGTCAGCTTTGCCCTCTTGTTACCCCATCGTGTCCCGCTTTCTGACGTGTCGGCTAAGTAAACGATTTCCGAGCCCACAAAACACGTCACCGTTGGGCATGCTTTGAAATATCGGCTGAAAAGCTCTCGTCGCGTTGCGAACATGCAAGAAGCTCCCCCCCTCGAGATTCCCTGCCACTTTCTCGGTGCCCCTGGGGCTTGGTGGAAGCGCACGCACACCAGCTGCGATTCGTGGGAAACGTTTTTGCCGCTGCCCGCCAATGTGTCAGCACGTGTGAGAGCGCATCGAGAATACTTATTGGCGGGAACGGCACCGGAGAACGGTTTTTTCCAAGCTGCCCAAACAAAAACGTGGGTGAGAAAAACGTCGAACCGTCTGCCCGGAAGTGAATCCATCTCTGAGTTGATGGAGCTGCTGACTGCATGGACTGAACTGTACACACCACCACAGACGGATCCCCAGCAAGACTTGCTAAAGCGAACGAGCGTTCTCCCCTCCCCACACCACCCCACCCTACCCCAACTCATCCCACTCCCCAGAAGCAACTTTCTCCTCCCCACTCCTCTGCCGCCCACACACCCACCCACCTCACCCATCAAGCTCACTCCCGTGTCCTGTCAGTCAAACGATCACCATCTCCCAGCTTCAACCATCTTCCAGCAATAGCCAACTTCTAGCTAGTACCACAACCATCTCCGTGCTATCTCTTCGTCTCAACCATCACGGCATCTCCTGCAGCTAGCCCATGTCACTGAAAGGCGTCTAAACCAGCATACGTGGTTTTCCTTTGTAGACAGATTTTTGTAAGTGAAACGATCAATCCGTGACAATCAGCCCTCACGGTTATTCACGCACACTTGAAGGTTATCAGAGCGTGTTGGTGTCAGAGCGTCTCTTCCTGTTTTACCGACCTGTCGCATAGTTCGCCACAGAGAATAGTACCCTGGTGTTGTCTCGTGGAGTTAAGACCTTCGCTATAGTCGATAAGGTACTCTTAGCTTTGACATAGTTTCTGGGTTCGGCCCGAGTTCGAGGCTAGGAAAGCGGTCGTTAGTAGTTTTGTCATAGACTCAGAAGTCATTCAAGTCTCGAGTGAGTCTCGAGCGAGACTTGAGTGAGTCTTGAGTGAGTCTTGACGATTAGAAATTAAGCCGGGAATCCGGGCCATGGGTCACAAGGTGCACAAGCCGGGAGATGAGCATCGTTTCCATTCGCTGACTCATCCCCACGTGCACCCGCCAGCCGGCAGTCCGCGCCTCCGACGAACTCGCATTCCGTCACGCGTATGTCCTTTTGAGAAAGTTCAAATGTAACTTGCAATCTGACACGCGTAGGCTCCTTTCGTTCATTTTATTATTCCACCTGTAACCTGATTATTGTCTCATCGAGGTTGCGTGTGTGGATGCGAGTATGTTCCCGATTCCTTCAGCATATTCCTCTTGTTTCCGTGAATTGTTGTACGTTTTTGTGCGAACCTTCCAGGTGCTTGTGCAAACTAAGGCGGTCCTGTCGCGGCAGGCGAAGCGCCTTGCACGAAAAGCCGACGAACTCGAACACGTGATCTCCAAAGTAAGCTCAGATTGCTAACATGGTATATGGATTTCTGTTTAAATTACTCTTGTTGTTTTCTTCTGCAGTCTTAGACCTTCACTGCCAAGCTTAATAAAGCTATTGTTTTTCGCCTTTTGAGCAGGTTACATATTGTTTAGGCGTCCTTTGCTTCGGCATCTTCTGTTTTCTCCTCGGATCCCGTGAGTTTATTGCTCATTTGGAAGTTACAGACTAATATTTCCCAACCAGCTTCACAGTCGGAATCATGTGTCGGAGAGCGTAGTATCTATCGTCCTATTACGGCTAATAGACTGTGGGAGCTGCTGTGACTGGCAGGGCCCTATGACGTTCCTCGTCTATACGCCGCCTTTTTCCTCATGGCCACACCCCTCCGCTGGATCTACTACCGCAGCAAGAAATGGCACTATTTCCTTCTCGTAAGTTTTTTGTTTTTTGTTTTTTTCCTCCATGATGCTCTTATTTCGCACTTATATGATCAATGGTGATATCCCACGAAAACTTTGATCGCACTGAGCGCATAATTGGTGTCTTCTGGTGGCTCGCAGGACTTCTGTTACTACGCGAACGCGATTCTGGTGGCGTTTCTCGTCTTCTTCCCCATGAGTCAGCACCTCTTCCTCGTCTGCTTCGCTTTCTCTGAGGTGTGTGGTGTGGTGCGGTGTGGTGTGGTTTTAACCAACCTTGTCGTCAAGCTGACTGTAGAGTAAACTCAAACGCATTCTTTGGGTTCACTTAAGTGCCACGAGTCAGCACCCCTTCCCCCTCTGCTTCGCCCTCTCTACAGTGTGTAGTCTAGTGCTGCCGATCCTTTTCGTCAAGCCTTCGCTCTTCTTCGCGAACCTCGCTTTGCCTCCCCCATCCCCGTCACATTCGTCCCGCCCCGTCCCTATCCCTTCCAATCCGTTTACCTGTGACCACCCACAAAGGTTTCGTTGGCCTGGGCACTCATCGTATGGCGCTGCACCCCCACCCCACCCACCCCCCACCCACCCCTCCCCTCCCCCCCTCCCCACCCCCACCCCTCCCCACCCCCACCCCACACCACCACCACCACCACCACCACCACCACCACCACCACCACCACCACCACCACCACCACCACCACCACCACCACCACCACCACCACCACCACCACCACCACCACCACCACCACCACCACCGCCGCCGCCGCCGCCGCCGCCGCCGCCGCCACCACCACCACCACCACCACCATCCTCCACCCACAGGGTCCCTTGGCATGGGCGCTCATAGTATGGCGATGCAGCCTGGTGTTCAGCTCGGTGGACAAGATCGTGAGCGTGCTGATACACCTGTTACCCGGTACAGTCATCTTCATTATCCGCTGGTGGGACCCGGTGACCTTCCACCACCACTCAGCAGACGACACGGGGCCCTGGCCCGCGTGGCCGCACGTGGCGAGCATGGGCGAGCTGTGGGTGTGGATGCTCGTGGTTCCGCTCATCGCCTACAGCCTGTGGCAGGTACGGTTAGGTGCGGTTAGGCACCCCTCTTGTCAAGGTGTGTGCTCCTGTCTGGTCCGGTATGGGTTGGTTGGGGGTGACACGGGGCAGTGGCCGGCTTGGCCGCGCGTGGCGAGTATGGGCGAGCTGTGGGTGTGGATGCTCGTCGTGCCCCTCATCGCCTACAGCCTGTGGCAGGTACGATTATGTACGGTTAGGTACGGTTAGGCACCTCTTGTCAAGGCGTGTAGTCCGGTCTGGTGCGGTCTGAGTTGGGGATGGCACGGGCCCCTGGCCCGCGTGGCCGCACGTGGCGAGTATGGGCGAGCTGTGGGTGTGGATGCTCATCGTGCCCCTCATCGCCTACAGCCTGTGGCAGGTACGGTCAAGCACCTCTGCTCGCGTACTGTGATCCATGCACAGGAGTTGGGTGTAAAGCTCTGTGGTACGGTCTGGAATGGTACATCCCGTGGCCTGCCAGGCCGCACATGGCGAGTATGGGCGAGCTGTGGGTGTGGATGCTCGGCGTGCCTCTCCTCGCCTACAGCCTATGGCAGGTACGGTGATACACCTCTGAGCGTACAGCCGTTGGCAGGTATGAGTGCTGGCTGGCAGGTATTTTGAGCTGCTTGATCTCGTACAGTGGGCCCTGCACAGGAGGTAGATGGAATGTGTCTGGTCTGGTCAGGTCTGGGTTGGGGACCACAGGGGGCCATGCTGAGGAAGCGCGAATGCTGATCTTTCAGGTCGTTCCGAATTCCTGTCATTACCTCCCCCCCCACCCTCCCCGTACCCCTTCCTCCCCCTTTCCCCCACCCCTCAAGAATCCTCTACTGGTTGGTGGTGGAGGTGCTGAGGAAGCGGCGGCTGGTGCACGAAGGCTGTGAGCTGCGTTCTGCCCTTCCTTTTCCTCCTCCCATCCCGCTCATCTCCTTCCCCTTGCCCTTTTCCCTCCCCACTTCCATAGATCCTCTACTGGTTGGTGGTGGAGGTGCTGAGGAAGCGTCGGCTGGTACAGGAGTGTCATGCACCTCTTTGTGCCGTCCCCCACCCCTCACCACCACATCCCACCCCCTCGTCCAGATCCTCTACTGGTTGGTGGTGGAGGTGCTGAGGAAGCGGCGGCTGGTGAGGGACCCAGAGGTGATGACGTCATTCCGGGAACTTTCCAAGAAGGCCTCCCGCGCCAACAACTTCTGGTGGTGGCTGAGTGGCGTGCTGGGGGATTCGAACCGCTTCCTCATGTACGCCCTCATTCAGGGCGTCTTCACGGTGAGTAGCTTGTTGGGAGGAGGGAGGGATTGCAAAGAACTCTAGGGCAACAAACTCTGGTGTTCCTATGAGTGGCGTGCTGGGGGATTCGAACCGCTTCCTCATGTACGCCCTCATTCAGGGCGTCTTCACGGTGAGTAGCTTGTTGGGAGGAGGGAGGGATTGCAAAGAACTCTAGGGCAACAAACTCTGGTGTGCCTATGAGTGGCGTGCTGGGGGATTCGAACCGCTTCCTCATGTACGCCCTCATTCAGGGCGTCTTCACGGTGAGTAGCTGTAGCAAGCAATTGTAGGGAAAGCATGTGAAGGTTAGCAACTGTGCTGGACTGTGTGAGTGACTCACACTCTTCCTCATGTACGCCCACATTCAGGGTCTATACATGGTGAGTGATGTGGTGTGCTAGCAAGTGGAGGTAGGTGCGGCAGGTGACGGGGTCTTAGCTGGCAAGTGGAGGTAGGGATGGGGCAGGTGACGGGGTCTTAGCTGGCAAGTGGAGGTAGGATTGGAGCGGGTGACGAGAAGGTTGGTCTACTGGGGGACTTCCCTTGCTTTATTTTTTATGGACTCGAAATTCGGGTGACATGGTTGGTTGACCCGCACTGCTTCCTCATGCACGCCCTCATCCAGGGCGTGTTCATTGTGCGGGGCTAGGGTGGAGAGGTAGGGGTCGTGGTACAGGGTGGTCTGAGTGGATTATTGGGGTGGGGGACTCGCACATCTCTCTTGTGTACGCCTTGTAATGGGCTTCTCTTGTTTTTTGGTTTCCCGTCCTCTGCCCTGTCCTCTGCCGTGTCCTCTCTGCAGGTGGCCACGGTAGCCCTCACAGTGCCCATGTTCTGCAGCTACCGCTTCCATGCGCTCTTCCAGATCTTCAAGATCGCTGCCTCCATCTGGAACGGTGGGTACAAGAATCGTTTTGGGTTCTGGGTGTTTCCAGCCCTTGTCTTTCGGTGGGTGCTTATCTGGTTCGAGCCGGTGGGCATACCTAGCTCAAATTTTCCTGAATGCTGGCTTAGCTTGCCTCTGATTCTGAGGTTCCACCAGCCCAGCTTCTTTTGGGAGCAGAGGGTGAGAATCTGTGCCACGCTTCAGCTTGACTCCTGTCTTGAGCATCGGTTTGCCTGCGTAACCTCTCTTCCATTGACCATTGGCTTGCTGCATAAGGAAATCCGATATTTGATGTACTGCTGTGGCAAGCGAATACAAATAATGTATGAGTCGACTAATAAAGCATTTGTTATACCCTTGGTTCGCCTGCAGGAGGGAACTTCATATTCGATGTGCTGCCGCGACAAGTTCATGCAAAGCGAATGAAGAAAGCAGCCAAGGCAGCAGAAGGGGGAGGGGTTAGCAGCCCAGAGAAAGACCCCCTGCTAGATACCCCCGGTTGGGATGCACATGCGAGCAGCAGGGAAGAGCGCCAGGCAGAAAAACGGGCAGCTGCAGCAGAGGCGGCAGATGCAGCGGCGTCACTTGATGGGGCATTTGTTCCGCCCATCAGTGGGGATTTTCTGTTACCGGGTAACAACTCGTGGAGCCATGTGGGGGCGAGTGGCAGTCTGGCTGCGTACAGGGCGAGTGTGCGGGGGAAGGGGCATGGAGGGGAGGAGGAGGAGGAGAGTGATGATGAGGTGTGGGAGGAGGTGGGGTCTGATGAGTTGAACGAGGAGGGGGAGGTGGAGGGGGAGGCGGAGGGAGAAGGGGAAGCAAGTGAGGAGGGGGAAGAGAGTGGGGAACAAGGAGAGCTGCATCACCTGGATCTGGAACCAGATGTGCCTGGTGGTGCTTCTGGGGGTGGTTTTGGAAGTGGGTTGGGAGTGAAGAGGTGCGGAAGAAAGACAGGCGGGCCTGCTCCCTCAGGATTTGAGAGCTCTGGAGTAGCAATTTCGTTACAAGGAGCATGATTTGTTGATGTGGAAGTGGTAGTAACACAAGGGAATATGACTCAACCTTAGCATGTAATATATGTTTAACCAAATTGTGTGGTGTTGCAGTTTGCTGACATTAGGGTTTGACACAAAATATTGCTAGGGGTGAAGAGCTTTTAGACCCAACAGATTCTTTTCCACATTTGGTAGCTGTAATGACCATTTGGCTCGTAAATCATAAAACTTGTATGAAATAAATTAAAGAGGCAGCTAGTACACTTCGGCAAAGTCGCACACTTTCCCGCGCAAAACATGAAGTGGGGCTTCTCTGATTGGCTTTGAAAAAACACGGAAAAGTGCGGGAAATGGCTGCGAAGCACAACCTTGTCGCGCCACAGACAAAATATGCATACCGTCAGATTCAATCCATTGTCTCAATCTGACGGTAACTACTGCCTAGATGTTTCAACTTCTTGTTGACCGCGTCTCGGGAAAAGGTGCCTGCTAGCCAATCCCAAGAAACCTTTTGCTCCTCCAACCGCCAGCACCCCGCGGAGTGACGGTGGTTACGTGACAGCCTGACAGGCAGACAGACGCTGCTCTTGCGCCACTCCGCAGCGACTTCCGCCTCTCCAAACACCTCCCCCTCCCAGTCCCCCTCGCGGTTCCTTCTCCCCGCACAGTGTTATTGCTCCCCCTCGCAATGTCTTTCCCTTGCGAAATTTGCTGCCAAGGTAAACAAACACCTCAGTCACAGTTTCCTGAATAAAATTATGGAGCCAGTTTAGCAGCTGGGAAGCGTTATCCAGCCAGCCGCCATTAGATGGTTTGTCTAGAGTTGAGAGGTTCATCACGTCTCGTCATTCTAGCAGCTCGAGGGTAGGTAGCTTGCATGCTAAGTCTTGGAGAAACATGTAACCAGGTTATCTTAGCAACCGCACACGCTTTTCGTTTTTGTTTTCTCACAAATTGCCGATCGGTTTCAGTACGAATCATCGCAAGACATTGTCGCAAATTTATAAATACCCGAGGAAGGGTTAAGTATAGATATCCGAAAAAGGGATAAGTATGGAGGAGATGGTAATGGACGGTTACCTCTATAGGTTCGGCAGCTTCAGGTCTGGCGAAGGCACTTACTGCCAGTTGACTTTCTGCGTGCTCCGAGGGAGATACTTCGCGCAGTTTCGCAATAAGGAAGACGAGGTGCGCTATATCGATGCTTTGGTCCGCTATTCCTTATAAGGCGTCTCGATAATTAGGTGCTTCATCAGAGCGAGGATCATCAGCACAGCTCTTCTGGTGCAGCAACCATCACAAGTCGCTTAGTGGCCTCTGCTCTAGACCTCTATATCCCCAGTTTAACGCTTATGATGATAAATATATAAACCGTTAACAAATCTACAAATTTTGAATAACACTGTCAACGCGTATCGTTAGAGGTTTTTCAGCGTCCAGCAATCTTACTGTTTTCACCTTCTATCCATGCTTGACCAGATACCTCTGCGTGAGGGCTTGCTTGATGTCACTGCTCGAGTTGAGGATACGGGCAGAAAAGTCGTCAACGGTCAGGTGGGAAAACGTTTATCTACTGTGATGCCATCATTTTTATGCACGTGTCTCAATTATCTTGCCGATACATTTCAGAGGACATCCTCTCCATGAAATAGGAATGTCGATCTCATTACGTTCCTACTTCAGGTACTGTACACGATGCGTCTGTACGGCATGCCTGGCGCGCACGATGCTACTGACGAGGATGACCTTAGCGAGGACGAGGAAGATGACCCTGACAGCTCAGCAGAAGCCGGTACCGGCAGCGGTTACCTTGTGCGCACAACAACAGGTTTATTCGGCAATGGAGGCTCAACTGGGGGAGGCTTATTCGGCGGAAGCTCCTTGGCTGGCGGAGGGGGGAGCGGAGGAAGCAGCGCGGATGGCGGTGGTAGTGGCGGAGGAGGGGGAATGGGAGGGTCAGGGGGGGGTATTCAGAGGGTGGAGTCTAGCATGTGGGGGGGGTGGTGGTCTGAGCTGTGGCAGGATAGGCAGCCGCAGAAGCTCCACGCTGTGAGGCCTGCTGGGGCATCCAGCGGCAACAGAAGACAAGTTTCGGTGCGTGCTGCACGTGCTCTTGCGTGGCTTATGGATTGTCTCAAAGTAGAGTACCCCTAGAAGCTGCTCACTCACTGTGAGGCCCGCCGGGGGCTCCAGGGGAAGCAGAAGACAAGTGTCGGTGCGTGCTGCGTGTGCTATTGTCGGTGGCTGCATGTGCGTGTGATTTGCTCTTGCTTGATTCTTGGGCCGACTGAGGATAACCATTAAGAAGTTGCATACTCGCTGTGAGGCCGGTGGGGGTTCAGTGGCAGCAGGTGTGGGTGGGTGCTGCATGTGCTCGTGTCAGTGGGTGCTGCTTGTATTCTTGTCAGTGGGAATGCCTGTAATCTGCTCGTGCTTTCATGTACATTTCGTGAAGCGTACATGCCTGTGTAAGTGACTGATTCTGTTTCATTCTGCCTGCTTGAGCCCGCCTGCTCAATCCGTTCCCCCAATCCATAATCTCTTTCCGTCTACTGATTTCGCTCTGCCATCCGTGTCTGCAGCTGGGAACGCCGAGTGCAGAGGACGCTGCTGCGTGGATCGATGCCATCACCAAGGCCCTCACTCTGGTGTGTGTATCTGCCTGCCAGCTCAGGCCGTATGTCCCTGCCAGCTTTAGTCAGCCTGCCACGTGATAAAAGAGAGTTTTTGAGACGTCTCAAAAGCTCAGGCTGTATGTCCCTGTCAGCTTTAGTCAGCTTGAGGCCTAACAAGGCATCCCAAGTGAGCTTGATTCACTCGGACGGATATCTTTATTTGGGTATTCCCGATTGAGTATGGCGTATGTCATGTCTGTCCTCGTTGCTGCCGGAATTGCAAGCCGCTTCTCTGTGTCATGCTCCCATGGGAACCGTCGTTGTCCCTCAATACTCCTCGCCTCTGTCCCTGTCCCTGTCTCCTTCTCCTCATGTTGGTCCGTTCTTCTCCTCTTCCATCGCCACTTCATGCCATTCGCCCCTGCTGACACGTCATGTCTGACACGTCATGCCATTCGCCCCTGCTGACACGTCATGCCATTCGCCCCTGTTGACACGTCATGCCATTCGCCCCCACTCCCACTTCATGCTTAAACCCCCACTGCCACTTCATGCCTAAATCCCCACTGCCACTTCATGCCATTCGCCCCTGTTGCCACTCAATCAACAGCCGCCCCCGCCTCTGCTCACACCAGCGGCCGATGCCCCAACCCTGCCGTCACAACCGTCACACCCATTACAACAACCGTCACACCCATTACAACCGTTACGAACACCATCACATTCCTCAAAACCGCCTAAGTCACCGCGGCAAGCTCCGTCCACTCGGACCGGTCAAGATGATAGCCCAATATCACGGTGAGTTGAGAACACCAGTCCCGCTTCACCCAAGCTTAGCAAACTTACTGCATGATTCTCCTGGCGTGTTATTTGGTCTTTGGGCTCTTCATCCTGACCCTATTCAACCCTTAAAAGCTTAAACACGCCATCTCCTGAACCCACTCAAGTCTTAAAGCTCTGCGCGCTATCTCTCCCTCTCCCTCAACGCCCCACCTTACCCCCGTCCGTATCTCTCTGCCTTGCCTGCGCTTCCCCTCTTCCGTGCTAGTCCATGTGCCTCCCTTGCCACAATTCCCCACAACCTAAGTCTACTACGTCTCCCTTCCTTCACCCAACCTCCTCGGCTCGTCAGTCTCAGCTCAAATCACATCCCTTGCTACCTCAGCCACCACTGCTCATTCCGTGCTTGTTGTGCCTCTGCCTCCCATACCCCAGGTCCCCGCAGGCTAAGTCTGCTTCGTCTTCCTCACCGGACCTCATAGGCTCTCTAATTTCAGCCCACGCCACATCCCTTGCCACCCCAGCCACCGCTGCTCATTCCCTCTTTGGCGCCCCTCCTTCATCTGCTGACGTGGCGAATCTGGCCCTCCCTGCTGCGACTTCTTTCCACCCAGCTGCTGCTGCTGTTTCTGCCGCTGCTGCGGCTGCTGCGGATCCTGCTGCCGCTGCTGCAGCTGCTGCTGCTGATCCAGCCGCCGCCGCTGCTGCTATGACTAATATGATGTTCCCAGCTGCTGCTGCTGCCGCCGCTGCTGCTGCGGATCCTGCTGCTGCAGCAGCTGCTGCTGCTGCTGATCCAACCGCCACTGCTGCTGCTATGGCAAATATGATGTTCCCAGCTGCTGCTGCCATGGGTCCCGTTGCTGCTGCTGCTGCTGCCGCCGTTGCTGATCCTGCCGCTGCTGCTGCTGCCGCTGTTGCCGACCCTGCTTCTGCCGCTGCTTCTATGGCCAATCTAATGCTCCCTGCGGCTGCTGCTATGAATCCAGTTGCTGCTGCCATGCTCCCACTCGCGTCTGCTGCAGCGGCTGCTGCTGCCCCGGCCACTGCAGCTGCCACAGCCAGTGTGAGAAGAACCCTCTCTCCTTCCGTACACCCCTCCTTATCTCCCTCCATGTCCCCCTCTCTGCCTCCGATCGTCCCACAAGCAAAGCTTGCTTCAGCAAGTCAATTGGTGCCCCCAGCTGCTGCTGGTGCTGGCAGTGGTAGTGCTGCTGTTGCTGCTTCCCATTTGGCAGCAGCAGCTCCTGCCTCTACTGCTGCTGGCAGTAGCTTTGGCAGTGGGGACAGCAGCGGCATGCTCACACCTCCCACTGGCTCCTCTCCTGCTCTCTCCTTCCAGCCTAGCCCGTCCCTCTCATCCCCGCTCCTCCCCACCCACTCCCCCCTCGACTCGTTATCTCTCACCCGAATCCCTGGTGGGGCTGTTGGCTCTGGGGGGGTTTCTGCAACGGTAGGGGGGGCAGGGGGGGCAGGGACGGTAGTCGGGGCAAGTGCGGGAGTGCCAGGGGTGGCAAGGGTGGCAGGGGTTGCGTCGTCTCTGGAAAGGCCAGGCTCCCATGCGCCGTCCTCCCAGCAGCAGCTGCCCTCCTCGTCCTCCCACGCTCCTCCTCCCCCTCTTCCCACCTCTTCCTCCCCGTCGTCTGCTGTTGTTGCGTCGCCCTCCAAGTGGCGCCTCGACCGCTGCCAGAACGGTCAGTGCTGTCTGTTCTGGTGGTCTGTCTTTTGAGTCCACAGGGGTTTTGCTGCTGTGGTATTGCATGCATGTGTACTATTGCTGTCCACTCTCGCTCTCTGCTGCTGTTGTCGTGTCGCTCAAATATGGCATCGTGTCCTTTCCCTTGCTCCCTTTCCTCCAGGGCTCCGATTCTTTGAAGAGGCCAGCAGGACGCCTATTCTCCACCGCCTCTACAAGGTACCAGAGGGTGTCGTTTGTTCTGTTTTGTTTTGTTGTTTTTTTTCTTCTACTTTTTTCTCCTTTTCCCCTGTCCTCCCGTCCCCTATCCTTCCTGTGTAAACTCTGTGTCTTCTTTGCCTCCCTCCCCTCCCATCCCCCAGCTGCCTGTGATGAAAGCAGTGGGAGTGGTGAAGGCCGCACCAGACCAGATATTCGACCTCGTGATGAGCTTCGGGGAGGAGCGAGCAGAGTGAGTGGCATTGGTGTATGGATATCGACTCCACTAAAAGGATGTGACTCTTGAGCTGCCTCGTCTGAAAGCAGTGGGAGCGATGAAGGCTGCGCCAAACCAGACCAGATAATCAACCTCGTCATGAGCTTCGGGGAGGAAATTGCCTTGCTTGGTTTATAAGTAGAATAAAAATTAAGTGTTTCTTGAGCCCAATCCGAAGATGTGGCTTGTTGAGTTGCTTCAAACGTCACCCGAAATCACTGGGAGTGGTGAAGGCTGCACCGCAGAAGCACATACGCTGGGTGAGGTGAAGCACCTGCTTATAGAACGGCTTGTGTCTGTGTGCCCCATCCATCCCATGTGTGTATACCTCCCTCTGTGAGCGCCCCTGTGCCCTCTGTGTGCCCTTCCGTTTGCGTGTGGGCAGGTGGGACGCCATGCTTGCAGAGGCACGAGCGGTGGAGGCCACACTTCGAGGGGCCTCAACACGTGTGTCCAACCTTCCCTGTGTGTGTCCCCTCCCCGCCCACCCCTCTTTCCCCCACTGTGTCTGTGGGCAGGTGGGACGCCATGTTTGCAGAGGCACGAGCGGTGGAGGCCACACTTCGAGGGGCCTCAACACGTGTGTCCAACCTTCCCTGTGTGTGTCCCCTCCCCGCCCACCCCTCTTTCCCCCACTGTGTCTGTGGGCAGGTGGGACGCCATGTTTGCAGAGGCACGAGTGGTGGAGGGGATTTGAGGGCAACACTCTGTGTGTGTCTAACCTTCCCTGTGTTTCCCCTCCCCGCGACCCCTCTCCCCCCCCCTGTGTCTGTGCGGCCAGGTGGGATGCCATGTTTGCAGAGGCACGAGTGGTGGAGGCTATTGATGGTCACACAGACGTGGTGCATATGTGCTTGAAACGAACCTCGCTGTAAGGGGAATGGGGATGTGTTGTGGTGCACGTGCGATGTCACTGTAACGGGCATGGAGGTGTGGTGCATATGTGCTTCAAATGATCGTGCAGAGTGGAATCGCGGCCTGTGTGAATGGATGCGCATGCACCACACCTCCATGCATATGCGCTTAAAATGATCGCGCATGCACATCCATTCACACAGGAGAGGCCGCGATTCCACTCTTCATATGTCATGCTGTCACTGTCTATGCTTTTATCTCCTTTTTTTCATCTGTTCTTTGTTTTTCTTTCGTGTTACTGCGCAGATGGACGAGGTCGAGAGACCTGTGTCTGCTACGATACTGGAAGAGAGAAGAAAACGGAACTTACCGTATGTACGTCTGACCCTACCCCCATGTGTGTGTGTTTCTGGCCCTACCCCCCATGTGTGTGTGTTTCTGGCCCTACCCTCCGTGTACCCCCTCCATGTGCGTGTGTCTTTGGACCTACTGCACCATGCCTTGTGTGTGTGATTTATACTCCCTGCCCCTTGAACGGAACATACCCCATCTGTGTGTGGCCCTACCCCATGTGTGTGGGTGTCTGGCCGCCCTACCCCCCATGTCTGTCTGGCCCAAACCCCATGATTATACACGTCTGGCCCAAACCCCATGATTATACACGTCTGGCCCTGCCAAACCTACATAGAGGCTTGGGACGAACGAACCTGTGATGGCTACAAGCCTCACCTGAGAGCTTGTAGCCATCACAGGCTGTCTGATATGATACCACCACTCCACCATTCGAGGAGCCTGTCTGATTTGATACCCACCATACAATCCCTGGCCTTGTGAACAAGTGTCTTCCTCATCACTAGGCGTTCTTGTGGCCTCATCTCTACATTGATGTTTGTCATGCCGACTGCATCGACTGCATGTAGGTCTGTCTGTACCGTATCGGCCACCTTCCCCCTTCCCTCTGGACCATCCATCCCCCTCTTGCCGTCCCTTCGTCCCCTCTACGTGACCCTCATCCCTTCGTCCCTTCGTCCCCTCTACGTGACCCTCATCCCTTCGTCCCCTCTACGTGACCCTCATCCCTTCGTCCCTTCGTCCCCTCTACGTGACCCTCATCCCTTCGTCCCCTCTACGTGACCCTCATCCCTTCGTCCCCTCTACGTGACCCTCATCCCTTCGTCCCTTCGTCCCCTCTACGTGAGCCTCATCCCTTCGTCCCTTCGTCCCCTCTACGTGACCCTCATCCCTTCGTCCCTTCGTCCCCTCTACGTGACCCTCATCCCTTCGTCCCTTCGTCCCCTCTACGTGACCCTCATCCCTTCGTCCCTTCGTCCCCTCTACGTGAGCCTGATCCCTTCGTCCCTTCGTCCCCTCTACGTGAGCCTCATCCCTTCGTCCCCTCTACGTGACCCTCATCCCTTCGTCCCCTCTACGTGAGCCTCATCCCTTCGTCCCTTCGTCCCCTCTACGTGAGCCTGATCCCTTCGTCCCTTCGTCCCCTCTACCAGTCTTCTTCTTCAAGTCGATGAGCCACCCCAAGTGCCATTCCCCATTCCCGAATCTCAGTTCCTAATTCAGCATTATCCGTCCCCATTTCTTGTTACCCGTTTCCCATACTCGTCCCTTGCCCTCCTCCAGTCGTGTTCTTCAAGTCAGTCAGCCACCCCAAGTGCCATCGGCCATGGGGTCGCGTCCGTGCGCTTATCTACAGTGAGTGCGCTTATCTACAGTGAGGGCGCTTATCTACAGTGAGTGCGCTTATCTACAGTGAGTGCGCTTATCTACAGTGAGTGCGCTTATCTACAGTGAGTGCGCTTATCTACAGTGAGTGCGCTTATCTACAGTGAGTGCGCTTATCTACAGTGAGTGCTCTTATCTACAGTGAGTGCGCTTATCTACAGTGAGTGCGCTTATCTACAGTGAGTGCGCTTATCTACAGTGCGTGCACTTATCTACAGTGAGTGCGCTTATCTACAGTGAGTGCGCCTAGTTACAGTGAGTGCGCTTAGTTACAGTGAGTGCGCTTAGTTACAGTGAGTGCGCTTAGTTACAGTGAATGCACTTATCTTATCTGCAATGAGTGCTCCTATCTTATCTACAGTGTCTTATCTTGTAAACAGTGAATGCATCATATCGCCCCTGCATTACAGCTCACTGAGTTTCACATCGCTGTCACCACTCTCCACCCATCTGCACCAGGTGGCGGCTACATCATATCGCCCCTGCAGCATAGCGACGGCCCCCTTTCACCACCTTGCACCTGCGGCCCTCCACCCCCCCGCAAGCCTCGCTCACAGGTGACCCTTCTTACTATCCTTGAGTGTGGCGAGTATGGTGAGTATGGCGAGTGTGGCGAGTATGGTGAGTATGGCGAGTATGGTGAGTATGGTGAGTATGGTGAGTGTGGTGAGTGTGGTGAGTGTGGCGAGTATGGTGAGTATGGCGAGTATGGTGAGTATGGTGAGTATGGCGAGTATGGTGAGTATGGTGAGTATGGCGAGTATGGTGAGTATGGTGAGTATGGCGAGTATGGCGAGTATGGTGAGTATGGTGAGTATGGCGAGTATGGTGAGTATGGTGAGTGTGGTGAGTGTGGTGAGTGTGGCGAGTATGGTGAGTATGGTGAGTATGGTGAGTATGGTGAGTATGGTGAGTATGGTGAGTATGGCGAGTATGGTGAGTATGGTGAGTGTGGTGAGTGTGGTGAGTGTGGCGAGTATGGTGAGTATGGTGAGTATGGTGAGTATGGTGAGTATGGTGAGTATGGCGAGTATGGTGAGTATGGTGAGTATGGCGAGTATGGTGAGTATGGTGAGTGTGGTGAGTGTGGTGAGTGTGGCGAGTATGGTGAGTATGGTGAGTATGGCGAGTATGGCGAGTATGGTGAGTATGGTGAGTGTGGTGAGTGTGGCGAGTGTGGCGAGTGTGGTGAGTGTGGTGAGTGTGGTGAGTGTGGTGAGTATGGTGAGTATGGTGAGTATGGCGAGTATGGCGAGTATGGTGAGTATGGCGAGTATGGCGAGTATGGTGAGTATGGTGAGTATGGTGAGTATGGTGAGTATGGTGAGTGTGGCGAGTATGGTGAGTATGGTGAGTATGGTGAGTATGGTGAGTATGGTGAGTATGGTGAGTGTGGTGAGTGTGGTGAGTGTGGTGAGTGTGGCGAGTGTGGTGAGTGTGGCGAGTATGGTGAGTATGGTGAGTATGGTGAGTATGGTGAGTATGGTGAGTATGGTGAGTATGGCGAGTGTGGTGAGTGTGGCGAGTATGGTGAGTATGGCGAGTATGGTGAGTATGGTGAGTATGGTGAGTATGGTGAGTATGGTGAGTATGGTGAGTATGGTGAGTATGGTGAGTATGGTGAGTATGGTGAGTATGGTGAGTATGGTGAGTATGGTGATTATGGTGAGTGTGGTGAGTGTGGCGAGTATGGTGAGTGTGGTGAGTGTTGTGAGTGTGGCGAGTATGGTGAGTGTGGTGAGTATGGTGAGTATGGCGAGTATGGTGAGTGTGGCGAGTGTGGTGAGTGTGGCGAGTATGGTGAGTATGGTGAGTATGGCGAGTATGGTGAGTATGGTGAGTATGGCGAGTATGGTGAGTATGGTGAGTGTGGTGAGTGTGGTGAGTATGGCGAGTATGGTGAGTATGGCGAGTATGGTGAGTATGGTGAGTATGGCGAGTATGGTGAGTATGGTGAGTATGGTGAGTGTGGTGAGTGTGGCGAGTATGGTGAGTATGGTGAGTATGGTGAGTATGGTGAGTATGGTGAGTATGGTGAGTATGGTAAGTATGGTGAGTGTGGTGAGTGTGGCGAGTATGGTGAGTGTGGTGAGTGTGGTGAGTGTGGCGAGTATGGTGAGTATGGTGAGTATGGTGAGTATGGTGAGTGTGGTGAGTGTGGCGAGTATGGTGAGTATGGTGAGTATGGTGAGTATGGTGAGTATGGTGAGTATGGTGAGTATGGTGAGTGTGGTGAGTGTGGCGAGTGTGGTGAGTGTGGTGAGTGTGGCGAGTATGGTGAGTATGGTGAGTATGGTGAGTATGGTGAGTATGGTGAGTGTGGTGAGTGTGGCGAGTATGGTGAGTATGGCGAGTATGGTGAGTATGGTGAGTATGGTGAGTATGGTGAGTATGGTGAGTATGGTGAGTGTGGTGAGTGTGGCGAGTATGGTGAGTATGGTGAGTATGGTGAGTATGGTGAGTGTGGTGAGTGTGGCGAGTATGGTGAGTGTGGTGAGTGTGGTGAGTGTGGCGAGTATGGTGAGTATGGTGAGTGTGGTGAGTATGGTGAGTATGGTGAGTATGGTGAGTGTGGCGAGTGTGGCTAGTATGGTGAGTATGGTGAGTATGGTGAGTATGGTGAGTATGGTGAGTATGGTGAGTATGGTGAGTATGGTGAGTGTGGTGAGTGTGGCGAGTTTGGTGAGTATGGTGAGTATGGTGAGTATGGTGAGTGTGGTGAGTGTGGCGAGTATGGTGAGTATGGTGAGTATGGTGAGTATGGTGAGTATGGTGAGTGTGGTGAGTGTGGCGAGTATGGTGAGTGTGGTGAGTGTGGCGAGTATGGTGAGTGTGGTGAGTGTGGTGAGTGTGGTGAGTGTGGCGAGTATGGTGAGTGTGGCGAGTGTGGTGAGTGTGGCGAGTGTGGTGAGTGTGGTGAGTGTGGTGAGTGTGGTGAGTGTGGTGAGTGTGGTGAGTGTGGTGAGTGTGGTGAGTGTGGTGAGTGTGGTGAGTGTGGTGAGTGTGGTGAGTGTGGTGAGTGTGGTGAGTGTGGTGAGTGTGGTGAGTGTGGTGAGTGTGGTGAGTGTGGGTCTTTGAGGTGTCGCAGGTGCCCCGTGCAAGCCCTTGTCTCTCGCCTTGCTCCTCGCCTCGCCCTTCCCCATGCCCCATGCTACCATCCAGTCTCCACCCTTCCCCCACCCCCACCCCCACCCCCAAGGTGCAGCAAGTATTGGCAAGAGACGTCTGGGTATAGTCATCACGGGCTGGTTGAGTTGAGGACTGATCTGAAGCTCACTAACTTTTACCCTCCGCCCTTCGTCTGCCCTGTCACCACCTGTCACTACCGAACGCCCTTGTCAGGTGGAGCATGTGTTGGAGATGGACGTGTCGGGATGGTCATCTTGGATTGAATGAGAGGTGATCTAGAGCGCACCTTTTGCCCCTCCACCCTTCACACGCCCTTCATCTGCCTCCTTCCCCCCTCCCCCCGTTCCTCCTCGCAGGTGGAGCATGTATTGGAGATGGACGTCTCGGGATGGTCGTCATGGATTGGGGTGACATGACTTTACCCTCACCTCTTGCTGTGCCGCTACCCGTCGTCCCCCGTCGCTCCTTCACCGCAGGTGGAGCATGTGTTGGAGATGGACGTCTCGGGATGGTCATCCTGGATTGGCATCGGGCTGTCGTCGCATCCCGCTCATCTGCGGGACTCGTTGCTGCTGAGTGTGGCAGGTGAGTTACCACTTGGTGCATGCCATGCATCATGTGCCATGTACCATGTGCCATGTGATATGTGCCATGTGCCATGTGATATGTGCCATGTGCCATGTGATATGTGCCATGTGCCATGTGCCATGTGCCATGTGATATGTGCCATGTGCCATGTGCCATGTGATATGTATGTGCCCTGCCTTGAGATCCTCTTGGATTGGCATCGGGCTGTCATCTCATCCCGCTCATCTCCGAGACTCCTTGCTGCTGAGTGTAGCAGGTGAGTAACAATTTGGTGTATCATGTGCCACATGCCACATGCCACATGCCACATGCCACATGCCATGTGCCATGTGCCTTGCCCACTACTCGGGATGCAACGCCATTTCTTCTTCCCCTGCCCTCTTAACTTCATTCGTCCCTACCCTCCTCTCATCCCACTTCCCTTCCCTACTCCCTCTCTCCACCAGGCCTGAGAGAATACTTCGCCTGCAGAGGAGCCGTCCCCCTAGCCGGCTACTCCCAGAGAATGCAGTGGGGCGCCATTCAAACTTCACCTTGTCTCTCGCCCTCTCTTTGTCCCTCTTCCCACCAGGCCTGAGAGAATACTTCGCCTGCAGAGGAGCCGTCCCCCTAGCCGGCTACTCCCAGAGAATGCAGTGGGGCGCCATTCAAACTTCACCTTGTCTCTCGCCCTCTCTTTGTCCCTCTTCCCACCAGGCCTGAGAGAATACTTCGCCTGCAGAGGAGCCGTCCCCCTAGCCGGCTACTCTCAGAGAATGCAGTGGGGCGCCATTCAAACTTCACCTTGTCTCTCGCCCTCTCTTTGTCCCTCTTCCCACCAGGCCTGAGAGAATACTTCTCCTGCAGGGGAGGCGCCTCCCTAGCCTCTACACCCTGGGTATGAAAGGCACTGCCATTCAGAATCGCCCTTTCCTCTGGCCCTCCTTCTGTCCCTCTTTCCACCAGGCCTGAGAGGGTACTTCGCCTGCAGGGGCGGCGCCTCCCTAGCCTGCTACGGGTATGAAAGGCACCGCCATTCAGAGTCGCCCTTTCCTCTGGCCCTCATTCTGTCCCTCTTTCCACCAGGCCTGAGAGAATACTTCGCCTGCAGGGGCGGCGCCCCTCTGGCCTACTACTCACTGGGTATCCAGCGGCATTTGATCTTCCCCACCACATCAGCCATGAGTACTGGTCCCACAGGTGGCTTTGTCTTTTCCGACCTAGCCTCGGGCTCAGCCACGGGGTCAGGCTCGGGAGCCGGTTCGGGGACGTGGGGCCTGGCCTCGCTTGTCAGCCTTGGAACGGAGGATGGGAAGAGCCAGGAGGAGGCAGGAGGGGGAAGGGGAACAGGGAGAGCAGGAGCAATAGGGGGACTGGCAGGGGGGGGTGCAGGAGGGGGGATGGCTGTGAGTGCGGATAGGGGTTCGGCAGGACTGGGAGGGGCAGTGGCAGCGGCTGTGGTAGCAGCGGTGGCAGCGGCAGTGGCAGCAGGAGGGAAGGGCGAGGTGGGGGGCGATGGGAGGAGAACCCCCAGGTTGGACCGAGCATTGTCCAACTTTCTGGACATGGAGGATCCGGATGAGTTCTACGAGTGTCCCACCAACGCGCCTTCGGAAACGTCTAGTGATGTGAGTGACAATCATGCAAGCAAGGGGAAGGTGGTGAGGTGGGGAGGTGGGGGGCGATGGGAGGAGAACCCCCAGGTTGGACCGAGCATTGTCCAACTTTCTTGATATGGAGGACCCGGATGATTTCTACGAGTGTCCCACCAACGCGCCTTCGGAAACGTCTAGTGATGTGAGTGACAATCATGCAAGCAAGGGGAAGGTGGTGAGGTGGGGAGGTGGGGGGCGATGGGAGGAGAACCCCCAGGTTAAACCGAGCATTGTCCAACTTTCTTGATATGGAGGACCCGGATGAGTTCTATGAGTGCCGCACCAACGCCCCTTCAGAGACTTCTAGTGATGTGAGTGACACTCATGGAAGGTTGAGGTGGGGAGGAGGGGAGGTAGGGGGGTGGGGAGGAGAGGGGGAATGGGAGGTCTTTCCTGACATGGAGGATCCGGATGAATTCTATGAGTGCCGCACCAACGCTCCTTCAGAGACGTCTAGTGATGTGAGTGACAGGCATGGAGGGGGGAGGTGGGCAGGTGTGGGGGAATGGGAGGAGGGCTTTCTTGTTGGACCAAGCGTTGCCGTCTTGAGCATGAGCTGTACTTTATGAGCTACACTTAATGAGCTATACTTAGTGCGTTCCACAACCTCCCTCCCTCGTACGGGGCACTCTAGAAATCACTTGCTTCCCCTCCTCTCCCACTGGGTCCCCTCCCCTTCAGGGCGTGTTGCAGAGGGACCTGTCAGGAGTCATGGTGGACGGTGTAGATGCTTCCAAGCTCCCCGACGGTGAGTGGACGGTCCAGATGCTTTCTAGTTCCCAAGATCCTGGTACTATCTGCTTGCAGTGCTGTTTTTCTTGCCTCCGTAATCAACCGGAGCAAGCTGAGCGGGTCTGTTTCCCCCAACCACTCGATTCTCCTCTGTCTCCCCTCCCCCCCTACTCCAGATTGGTCCTCTGTCCCTAGGGACCTGACCCCTGACTTTCTCTCCCTCCCTCTTTTCATCGACTGGAGCAAGCTGAGCGGGTCCATGTCTCTCAACCACCAGCATTTCTTCTGTTTCCCTCTGCACTTCCCCCCCCACTTCCTCTTCTCCAGACTGGTCGTCTGTTCCTCGGGACCTGACCCCTGGCTCCCTCTCCCTGCCTCTCTTCATTGACTGGAGCAAGCTGAGCGGCTCTGTGGCCCCCAACCACCCTCTTCTCCTCTGTCTCCCCTCCCCACTCCCCTCTTGCAGACTGGTCCACTGTTCCTCGGGACCTGACACCTGACTCCCTCTCCCTCCCTCTCTTCATTGACTGGAGCAAGCTGAGTGGCTCCGTGGCCTCCAACCACTCTCTTCTCTCCTTCCGCTATCCCCACACACCCCTCCCTCCCCCCTACCCCAGACTGGTCCCATGTGCCTCGGGATCTGACCCCTGACTCCCTCTCGCTGCCGCTCTTCATTGACTGGAGCAAGCTGAGTGGCTCCGTGGCCCCCAACCACTCGGGCAAGGGCAAGAACTGCTGGAGCAGACCCGACTGCAACGTGTACAAGCTGAGGAGCAGGAATTATCTCAATGATGGGAGCATGGTGGGTGTGCTTGTGTGAAATTACGCAAAAGATATAAAACAAGAGAACTTGTTTTGAGGGTCAGCTGGGTTTTTGTTTGTTTGTTTGTTTGTTGTTTTATTTATTTATTTATTTTCTATAGTGTGACTAAGGTTAAATTGACCCCATGACACAGTTTTTCAAAGTTCTTTCAAGCACATACCCCCCACTCTCCCCCCTTCTCGTTCTGTTTTGCCCAAGTTTATCAACTCCAAGAACAACATATTTCTTTTCTTTCCATCTTGCTTATTCCCTGTTACCCATCTTTGCCCCCCTCTTTTTCTTATCGCTTCTTCCTATTGGCTGTTCAATGTGGCTCTGACCGTGCAGGCGCCAGCTGGCGAGCCACTGTGCCAGCTGGTGGCAGTGGATTGGCTGCGGCCAGAGAAGCACCCTGCTGCCCACGTGGCAGCCCACAAGAAGTGCCTCGTGCAGGTGAGCAGCCAAGGGGGTGTGATGCGGTGCTGAGTGGTGGTGCAGTACTGTGCCGTGGAATTGGTCTGTTGTGGCAGAGAAACACCCTGCTGCCCACGTGGCAGCCCACAAGAAGTGCCTCGTGCAGGTGAGCAGCCAAGGGGGTGTGATGCGGTGCTGTGCTGTGCTGTGCAGTGCGGTGCAGCGCTGTGCTGCTTGGTGCTGTGCGTTGTAGTTATTCTGGGATGCTGAAAGCAGACCTCTAGTTGATGCCTTCCTTCCTTTGTGTCCCTACCTGGGAATGCTTTCCATGCAGAGAGTACGGGCCTGTTATGGAGACCAGGCGCCGTTCTTCATCCTAATCAACCTTCAGGTACCACTCTTCATCATTTCCTTTTTGTCTTTAGGGAAATTACTTTTTTCTCCTGATGCTCATGAATGGTGAACTGCTGTCTCTCCTCTCCCCTCCTCCCTAGATCCCAGCAGACAATGCCTTCCATTCCACTGCAAGGTCGTTCTCTTCACGGCACAGCACCACATGCCTCATTTTAGGCACCTGGGCGAGCAGCTCATGCATTCTTTGCTGCTGTCTCTCCCCTCCCACCAGGTGCCAGCGGGCAAAGAGGTCTACTCCATGGTCTTCTACTTCACAGCAGAGCGCCACGTGCTTGACCTGCCCTCCATGCGCCGGTTCCATGCTTGCCCCCCCATAACAGGGCTCGTGGCTGGTGAAGCAGGCAGTGGGGTCGCACAACGTGGTGATGGGGCAGGTGATGGAGACGGCTTACCACTCCACAGAGGAGTACTTTGAGGTGTGTGTGTGTGACTGTACTCAGTTGTAGATGGTGCAGTAAGCAGTGCAGACGGTGTAGCAAGCGGTGTAGTTGGTGCAGCTGAGTGTTATGGGGCAGGGGTGATGGAGACGGTATACCACTCCACAGAGGAGTATTTTGAGGTGCGTGTGTGTGGGTCAGTGCTGTGAGTGGGTAAGGGACAGTGCAGACAGTGCACTGAGCGGTGTAGATGGTGCAGTAAGCAGTGCGGATGGATGCTGCTCCTGAATGTGATGCGGCAAGTCATGGAGACAGCATACCAATCCACAGAGGAGTACTTTGAGGTGCGTGTGTGGGTGGGGCGATATGTGCTGCTGCTGTCACATGGATGTCGTACGTGAATGCATGGCCACACAACGAGGTCATGGGCAAGGAGTAGCTTCGAGAAGCATGAATATGGCATTACTGAAAAGAGGGAGAAAGAATGTAAGTTCGAATGTTGTTACAAGCATGCTACCTCTCCTGTTCTCCTTGAACCCCTTCAGGTGGATGTGAACATGGCATCGTCATCCGTGGTGCGTGGCATCATGGGCATGGTCTTTGGATACATCACAAACCTGGTGGTCGACATGACATTCTATCTCAAGGTGCGCAATTGTGTAACCTTATGTTAATAGTAATTTTGCATTGTTTCCCGTATGTGGCTTGTGCGCTGGAAATCAAGTAACTTTGTTTGTGTTGTTATTATCTTTTTTTTTTTCCGCTCATCAATCTCTTTGCTGTATGCAGGGAGAAACCGAGGACGAGCTACCAGAGCATATTCTAGGAGCGGTGAGATGCTCGTATCTAGAACTGAACTCCGCAATCCCGTTCCCCTTTAGATAATCACAGCTAATGTGCAGCTTGGCTAAGTATCACATTTTTGTTTTCCTATTGTCATGGTAAGGTTAGCCTTACCATGTTATCTGCACCTATACTCAAGAGTTGTATGTGCTATGTTGGATTGTTTTTATGGTATGGATAGTCGGAGGTGCAACAGTAATATGAAATAGTGGAGCAATAGAGCTTATGGTGGGAATTTTATGTAGCATCGTGGAATTCGACAGTAAGTCAGTTGGTGAGTGCGAAGTCTTGAACGAGTGACAAGGGACAACATCCTGTCGTGTCCCGCAAATTCTCATGCGGTTGGGTGAGATGCTTTGCGCATTAAACAGTTCTTCTAGCGGTTGAGTAAGGTTCTGAGCACAAGCTCCCTCACATACTTCACAAATCCTAAGTATGTGGGACTGTGGATTCCGTCCATTCAGCAGCTCCGTCCGTCGAGCTCTTGCTATTTCTGTGTTAGGCTGTATTGCCTCGCAGCGTCCCTGTTCGAGCCGCGACATTCCGCCTGCAAGGCTTATGGCATCGATATCCTCGTCCGTCTCCTGCGCTAGACCAGCCCTGCTCTCCTCTCGTGCTTCGATTAAAGCTCTCAGCCCTCTTGAAATTTTCAGTTTCGAAGCTTTCAAAGCCAAATCGTACGGCCACGCAGCTTGCCATCAATTTCAACGGTTAAGATCGTTCCAGTCGCGTTCGTCCAGCCCTGTACGATCGTTTAGCGATATGCCTCCTCAATCTTCTGCTCGGAATGCTGAAAGCCCAACGCGTAGGAATTTCCGAATCAGAGCTTCGGGGGAGACGCCTGTGTCGGAAAGTGGTGGCTCGGAAGGGTCAGCTTCGGAAACCGAAGCGCATTCGCCGAGCCTCTGGGCGAAGCTCGGGCAAAGTTTCAACCTGCAAGGAGTCACGGCTGTGGCGAGTGTGGCCGTTTCGAATCCGAGCCTCGCCGTGCCGCATGTGTCCGTGCCTGATATCAGGTACGATCGGAATAGTAATGGTCAAGTATATTCGCGACAATAAATATCATCAGACTGTTCTACTGATCTAACTTTTCCGTTGGGAGCTTCTCAAATTGCCCTCCTGTCTCCTCGCATTCTCATCGGCTTTTAAGATTGTTCGCTCGCTTCGCCCTCTCTTAAACAGCTGGATCGACTGGAAGGCCCTTCATGCAGCTGGGTTCAAGGCAGTGGTATTTGACAAGGATAACACACTCACACTTCCGTACAAGATGCAGGTGAGTTGAACAGACCAACACCAGGTGACTTGAAAATACCAATTTACAGGTGAGTTCGAAAGACCATTCACCAGGTGAATTTAATCACCCTAGCAACCTCCCATGGTTCAAGGCAGTGGTGTTTGAGAGGGATAACACACTCACACTTCCGTACGAGATGCAGGTGACTCAGCCTAACCTCTCTTAAGCCTTGCAGTATAACTCGGTCTCACTCGTTGCATTCATTAGTGCCATTCGGAATCCCCTTAAAGTCAAATTCCATCCACCCTATCAAACCACTTGACAGGTCTCTGATTTGCTGGTCGTTTCTCCTCCCTTCTCGCTCCCCCCAACCTCTTCTGAACCCCATTCCCCTCTCCGCACCCACCCTCCCTCCCCCGCGCGTATCGTAGTACAAGCACGAGCGTGTTCTTGATCAGCCTTTTGCTGCGTCAGCTCATCTCAGCATGTGCATGCTGCCTTTGGGTGCATCACTCATCCCCATCCATTCAAACATCCCACTCGCGGTCATTTTGTAGTCGGCTCAGAGACTGTCAGCTCATCCCCTACCCCCCACGAATCCCACATGTGGCTCGGCCAAAGCAGGTGGAGGATGGGCTGGTAGCTTCCCTGAATGTGTGCTGGTGGTCATTCGGATCAAACGGCATTGCCATCAAGAAGCGCCTCACGAATCGTTTGCAAATCCCCACCCCCATCCTCCCATCCGACATGCGGCTCGGCCGAAGCAGGTGGAGGATGGGCTGATGGGATTAATTTCGTAGGAAATGATTCCACGTCTTTGTCCATCCCACCTGTGGCTCGGCCAAAGCAGGTGGATGTTGAGCTGGTAGCTTCCCTGGATGTGTGTCGGAAGACATTTTGGATCGCCATCAAAAGGCGCCTCACAGATCGTCTGCAAATTCCCATCCCCCCATCCTCCCATTCCACATGTGGCTCGGCCAAAGCAGGTGGAGGATGGGCTGGTAGCTTCCCTGGATGTGTGTCGGAAGACGTTCGGATCCAGAGGCATTGCCATTCTGAGCAACTCTGCAGGTTGGTCGGTGCAATGTCTAGAGGTGTCCGGATGAACATGGGTTGGTGGGGAAGGGGGGAGGGATGGGCTGTCATTGAATAGGACAATAAGGTTGGCATGGGCTGTCTTGTGTTCCAAAAGGGTCAAAATGAAAATGGTACTCAAGCTTGGGTTATCTAAGAAGAATCATTAATCAATCATACCTCCCTGCTCCCATGTTTCCTCACTGTTTGAATCCCAACCTGTCCTCCAGTTCAGGGTTGAAGCAATACGACCCTGATTGTTGCTTGAATGTTTCAAAAGTTTTATGCCATCGATTTTTATTCCCCCTCTGTTTGAACTCCAACCCTGCCCTCCAGTTCAGGGTTGAAGCAATACGACCCTGACGGCTCCTTGGCAGCAGCAATGGAGCGGGACCTGGGGATGCCTGTGATTCTTCACTCTGAGAAGAAACCCGGTGGAGGAGCAGCAGAGCTGGAGACGCACTTCGGATGCCGGGAAGATGAGATGGTCATGGTGAGTGATTACTTTGGATTCCCTTGATGTCAGAACATAAGAAACATTCACACATGCACGCACGCACGCACGCACCACGCACGCACGCACACATTCTCACCCACACGAACCATCCACTCTGATATGGTACACCTCCTGTTGTTCGCAGGTTGGAGACCGGTGCCTCACAGACATTGTATTTGGCAACCGCAACGGGCTTCTCACCGTTTTGACAGCTCCACTTTCTCCTGGGGAAGATCCCCTAGCTGTCCGGCAGGTGGGTATATTGTTAGATATGGTACGATTATGGTACAGAGTCAGCCCATAGTGTGTTTTCCTCTGCTCAATGTTGCACCCTGGTATCCTCCCAGTCGATCCCTCCCAAGGTATCCTTCTTGATGTCTCTGCACCTTCGTTCTTGCAGGCTCGCAGATTCGAAGAAGTGCTTGCGACAACCCTTCAGAGACGAGGGGTTCAGGCTCCTCCGCAAGCTAAGTTCAGCAGCTCTTATGCTTTTGTCCTGCCTCCTGCCTGCTGGTGACCATATATATGTTCACACCAGCTGTACATCCTAATGCAAAACCATGCCGTACGCTGGTGGTTAGTAGGTCACGAAGTACTGGTAATGGTGGGGTTGAACACAAGGTGCATTCCTACGAGCAACAGGCGTCACAGAAGAAGGCGCAGCGTTGGCGATGCCGGTTTGCAGTATTGAATGCCATGCGTCACCAAACGCCATCATCCAATGTGCGATTTGCTTGCGTGATGGAATTTCACTAATTGGAATGCAATTGCGAGACATACCATAATGTTTCCTTGCATCGCACATGGCTCGCGCAATGTCACAAACCAAATACGGTACCAGCAGGGGATTGGTTTTGCATCTGGAGATGAAACTTACCACATCCAAGTCAATGCGGAAGCAAGTGTTCCCACTGTGAAAGCCTCCATCATCTGTGGAAACGTGTGCACACCAATGTTCTTGCATTCCACCCTCGTACCAATTGATTGTAGGAAAGTAGTAACCATCTTCTGAATCCAACTCAGGCTTGCCCAACAAAAATGATTGATGGGTGAGTCATGACTGGCTGAAGGAACCTGGGGTGGTGTTAATGACCTTGAACCCACACCTGGTAGAAAATATGTTACCGTATGGCCCCGGATATAGGCGCATATGCGCTTATAATAAAATCATTTTTTTTAGGGGTGGCGCTTGTAATTGAGGAACGGCCATAAGCGCCGGCGCTTTTATAATGTCAAAAATGGTTTTTGTTTTTAAAGGCACGAAACTGAAGCCCTCAATAAGGCGAACAAGACCATGCATTGTGCGCATGGGCTCGTGCATGAAAACCCGCCGAAACCAGTCGCGACTCGATTTCCCACCGCACAAAGCCCGTCCCGGTGCAACGCACCTGCCAGCGATGACGTGCATCCTGCCGTGCGGCCCAACAGGGTTTACATGCGCTGCCAGGGTGCCACATTTCACCCGAAGATTCGAGAAGGGGGTGGAATATCCCTGCCAGCGCAGCAGATACGTGCCGCGATTCCCTCCTCTGCGGGTTTCGGCAGGGGGGGATCTGACTATGCCTGAAGAGGAACTCGAGCCGCACACCAGAAGGGGTCCCCTCCAAACCAGGCCCTCAGATTCACTTTGAGGGACGTAGAGGGATCAGGGTCCCTCTGCGTGGAATCCCTGATTGACAGTGTCCTCTAGAAAAAAAGCCTGAAAAATCAGTGTCACTTAAAAAAAAACCCTGAAGCATCAGTGTTCCCTAAAAAAAAAGGCTGTTTTTACTAAACCACACGGCTGACTGCATCTTGGTACACCAGGCAGGAACGCGAGGAAACCCCCCGCGAATGGAAAGCATGGAGCAGAATGGGATTGAAGTCTGGATGGCAGGTAGCACGGCTGGGGGATGTATCAGACAAAACGCGCCATATGACCATAGGTGCAAGCACCACCCCTCGCATCGCAGCATGCCAGCATCGCTGTGTTGCAACCTTGTCATTGGTCAAATATCTGACCAGGCGCGCCAGCAAAGCAGCCCTCAAAGTGAAAAGCACGGGGCAAATTTGTCTCGTAGTATCGCCAGGCAGTGCTGACACCGCGGGAATCTAAGATTCCCTGTACTTCCAGGCAACTACACTCGGAACGTGTAGGAATCGCATTCAGTGTCAGTTTCAGTACAACGTAGTGGAATCAGTGTCCTTAGAAAAAAAATCCTGAAAATTCAGAGTCATCTGGCAGGAAAAGGCTGAAAAATCAGTCCCACAAAATGCTGAACACTGGAAAATCAGGGTAGGTACAAAAAAATCCCTGAAAATCAGGAATTTCAGGAAAAAAATCCTGATATCGTAGGGCCTGCTCCAAACCCTCATTTCTTCTCCTTGTCTTTCACCTTTTTCATTCAGATTCTTGCTCTCGCCCGCCATGCTGCGGAAGCCATGGCGGAATTCACAGGCACTCATTTTTTGTTCAAGAAGAAGCCCGCGCGTAGGCCCGCCTTCGTAGTCGACGCCGACGGATGGTACTCCCGTGTCCCAGCTGAACCACCAGAGCCACCACAGCCTCCATCGCCTCCTGCGCCGCCTGCTCCTCCTGCTCCTCCTGAGCCGCCTGCGCCTCCTGCTCCTCCTGTTCCTCCGTCTCCTCCTATTCAGGATTCACCTCTGCACACAGGGAATCCGCCCGTGCTCACGCTCCCGCTCCCGCGTTCGACGAGTGGCTGGAGGAACCGGAAAGCAACAAGGCCCCAGATGTTGAGGTACCCGGCGCACCTTACCCTGGACCACGTTGGGGCCGTCCCGATGATTGCAGCACGTGGGACGAATCTGCACTCGGAGCTGACGACGACGTGGCTGAGGACGAGGAAGCGAGCCGTGCTGACGCCGACGAGGCTGCGGAAGCTGGCGCGCAGGGCGGAACCGCAGAGGATGTGTTTCCTGAGGGTGTACCTGGTGGCGACGACGACGACGGTGTCGAGTACTGGTCACGTGACGGGCTCCCCGAGGAACTGCCGATACCTTCCTTTCCACCAGCTAACCGCAAGCGACCCCACCCGTCTACCCAGAACCGTGATGCCCGCCCCCCCTCTCCCAGGCACAAGATCAGCGATCACAAGCGCAAAGGCTACACAGCTGCGGAGAAGTTGAAGTACGTCGCGATGCTGGATGCGGCGGTGTCGGTGCGCGCACTAGCTCGGGCGAGTGGGATTCACCAGAAGTGTCTCGCCAACTGGAAGGCGGCTGCAGCATTTCTCAAAGAAGCACACACTGGGCGGAAGCGCATGCACGGTCGCGGGCGGGCCTCGTGGTACCGCCCCATGGAGTTGAAGGTGTACGAGCGGCTACTGGACTGGCGCCGCAGAGGAACCGCCGTGTCGGTCGGCCGTCTGCGGGAGTGGTCGAGGGAGTTCATGAAGATCCTCTACCCGGACGACAAGTGGAGCGGGAGTCAGAGATGGTCGGAGCGGTTTCGGAAGCGGTAGAATCTGAGCGTACGCATGAAGACGCGGGTTGCTCAGAAAACAGCCGCTCGTAAGATTACGCCCCTTGCTTTTACCGGTAAGTCTAAGTTTCTGCCTCCCTTACTAATCTGCCCTCTATCCCGCCCGCCTTTTCCCCCGTCTAACAGATGTTGCGCAGCAGTGCCAGAACTTCTGGCGTTTTGTCCGAGACATGCGTCGCGCGCGCGGTATCGAGACTACCTGGATCCTCAACGCTGACCAGACGCCGCTCTGGCTGGAGATGCCCGCCACCACGACCGTGGATCAGACGGGCGTACGGTCGGTGCCCATCCGGAGTGCAGGTTACCAGAAGGAGCGTGTGACCGTGATGCTGGCGTGCACGGCGGACGGGGCGAAGCTCAAGCCGTGGGTGTTTTTCAAGCGGAAGACGCTGCCGAAGGGCGACTTTCCTCGGGGTAATAAGCAGCAACTGCCGCTGTTTTACCGTATGTTTTTGTTACTCATGCCGCGCTAACAGTTTAAGTGCCATTTGTGTGTGCAGATGTGGTCGTGGCTTGCCACGAGAACGGGTGGATGAACGTAGAAGGCGTCATCCGCTGGCTTGAGGAGGAAGTCAAGCCCTTCTTGAAGCCCCGGTTTGGCAGGTGTGCGAAGAGCTCCATGCTCGTGCTGGATTCCTACCGCGGCCACCTTACCGATGGGGTGAAGGAGAAGCTCCGCGAGATCAACTGCGTGCCTGCGGTCATCCCGTCGGGCTGTACGGCTGAGGTTCAACCGCTCGACGTCTCCATCAACAAGAGCTTCAAGGCATCTGTTCGACAGCAGTACCAGAAGTGGTTTGAGGAGGAGGGCCTGGAGCAGCTGACACCAGCAGGTACGTTGTTTCCGTTATTCACGCATGTTAATCCCCCCTTCACCCTTGAATGCTGACACGGCTTTCCCGGGTGTCTCTGTTGTGGTGCAGGGAATCTGAAGAAGCCCCCCCCAGAAATGGTCCTTCGATGGATTTCACGGGCCTGGAAAGCAGTCCCCTCCGACCTCATCAAGCGCGCCTTTCTCACCTGCGGCATTAGCAACGCCCTTGACGGCAGTGAGGACCACCTCGCCATGGCGCACAGGCGGAGCCAGCTGACGGCGGAAGTGGATGTAGACGACGGCATCGTCGCCGACGGCTTCTTTGGAAACAACTGCTAGGAGGCCGAGTCTGACGAGGAGTAGTTCTGGTAGCAACTAGGTAGAATAGCGGATTAAGTGGACAGTTGTGTACCAAACTGTAGTGTTTGTTGAAGCGAACGATGTTATAGTTGTTGTTTGCTTCTGCTGTGGTGATAAAAATAGTGTTAAATTTGAGGGTGGCGCTTATAATAAGGAAGGGTACAAAAGGGGGGGCGCTTATAATCGAGGAACGGCCATAAGCGCCATGCTCCAGATAGAAGCGCCGGCGCCTGTAATAGGCCGGCGCCTATATCCGGGGCCATAAGGTACCACAAGAGCCTATGCAATGTCACTGTACAGGAACGGAACCCAATACCAGCACCGCCTGGACTGGATGCTGCCAAGCTTTGGACAAGTGTGGAAGGAGTTACTTTCAGTCAGTCTAAAGATGCGAGGCAGTGGCTTCCCGTCTTTGTGTTCTCCAAGGCACCATTGAGGCATTGGTTGGTTTCAGATTTTCGATGTTCTGAATGTGGCCTCCGCCAAATTGTAGCACCTCAATTGGATTGGGCATGTGAACTGTGGGCCCAGTCCTTTTGTATCCATCAATTGGTAACAAAACGTTGAAGTTGGCGGTGGTGGCTCCAAGAACTGGAAAATGATGTGGAAAAGTATTCTCAAATTTGAGCAGTCTGTCAGTGGTACTGTATTCATCCTGTCAGATTCATTTGGAAATTCACTGCTTCAGCATGCTGAGCTGCAAGAGACAAAACAACATGCGACATTGTTCAGTTTTTTTAGCTGTGACCTAACATGAATGAAATTTGGCACAGCCACATACCTGATGAAAGGCATCATGATGTTCACCCTTGAACAGTGGCATGTAGGCTTACTCATCCAAGACGGATGAAACACATTGCCATACAGGAAAAACGGGATCAGCCTGCACAGTGCAACGACACGTAAGGTCAGAACGTGCTCCATAAAAGACATGCTAGACACAGACAAAGGTCAGTTTCTCATACCATATGGTCAGTAGGATTAGCAGTGGTCGTTAGTTGGTCAGGAGCACCAGCATCCGTTAGTCAGAAGCCATCATGCACCACCAGAGTCAGGAGAATCAAGTCGCCAAAACAGATGATGCTCATGGTCGGAGCTGCTAGAAGCTCAAAGCATTTCGAAATAAAGTGCTTCAAGGGTGTACAGGCCAAATACTATGCTTCACAATTGAGTATTAGGGCCCGATGTCACCATTTGCCTCCAAAAACACCAACCAGCCACACTTACCACATAGTCCACCCTTCCCCCACCCCAAGGTGCACGAGACATGAAGTAAACGAAACATATGACCCAGTTGGACGCAGTGACGGAGAAGAAATAATCATTCCATAAAAAGAATTACAAGTCAAAATTCTCCAGGACTACATTTATACTCGATAGGACCCTGGACGTCTAAGGTGAAACGGTGAAACGCCTTCTGTGGTGACACGGAAAACGGGTGGTTTGGGGGAGTAGACCACTAGATGACGCAACATTAAAGACCTCAAACCTCCAGGACCAACCTTGAGCGTGCGAGCCTCAGCTGCCGCGTTCTGTTATCGCTATCGCCGAGTTTTAGCTCGCTTCAGTCCCACATCACCAAAGGGCAATGGGGAACCCGAGAACAAACTGTGAGCTCCCAAGTCATCCCGAAGAGTTCCATTCAGAATGGCTAATTCACGAAGTTGTGCACGTTTGACCACATCATGAGTTTCGTCCTGAAAAAAGGGGGAGGAAGCTTGAATTACTCACCTGGTTTCAGTTATGCTAACAAATGTTGAAAATTTCACGCGAATGATCACTCACCACAGGCCTGAGTAGTTCTTGAAGAATTTCGCATGCTTGCGCAAGCTGCGCGTCAACAACATTGGCGGGAAGCTCCGCTTCGACGATAACATGCAGAGGCTCGTTCAGATGTTCAAATCCAGGCTTGTCTCGCATCTTCTCCTCCTGCGTCGGATAAGCGCCAACCATAGAAACGCTTACATACAGCGTGTAACGTTCGCAAAACAAGACAGCCTTTAGAATCTGTCTTACCTTGCCAGCGTCCTTTATCGACCCACGCCCGCGAATGAGGACACGACAGCCTGTCTGCCCTTCGACTCGTTTCAGCGAGTTCCCTCGTGGTCCTAAGATTCTTCCGACAAAGTTAAATGTAGGGTATTTATCCACCGGAACCTCCAAACGGCTCGTCTTCTTTACAATCGGAGCAGCGCCAGGCTGAGCCGTCCAGCCTACAAGGGTCCCGGAAGCTGACGGTTGGCTCGTTGGTTGCATCAAGAAGAGAGAAGATGGCTGCAACAGCATGGGAAGCCACGGGCTCAGGGTCAGCCATGAAAAGCCATCGTCTTGAAACGAAGTTTCTGAATAGCCAAACTTACCCCAACCTCAGATGGCATCGGAGCCCATGTTCCGGAATCAAACGGCGATCCACTGGACGAAGGCCGAATCTGCTGAGACTGATGAGAGATATGGCCTTGATGAGATGCATGAGACTGATGAGGTGGATGCGGAGGATGAGAGAGTGCCTGATGCGATAAATGTTGGTGAGTTATCTGCTGATGAGACGAATGTGGCTGATGTGACATTGGAGGCGAGTGCTCGATTGAATCATGGTCCATAAACACTTGCGCGCCAACGAGTGATGTGACTCGAGCAATTTCTGCAGGTCACACAAGTCGTTGAATAAGCATAATACTCGCCAAGCCAAACGAATCCGCAATCACTATGCGTAATTCATCCTACCTTGATTCATCAGGCGGCTACATATCGGCAGCACTTGCATAAAAGGGCTAAGTTTTTGCCTCTCGGACAAGAGCTCCGACAGATACCTGAGAGGGAAACACTACGCGTGTCAGATCCACGTTTCGACCCATATAACGAATAAAACGAAGAAAATGCTAGATTTGGCCTCAAACTGAGGCAGACGAAGTGACTTTAAACCCTTACGAATCATGGTCGCTAAGCGCAGGTGACGACCCTCGACTAACTTGCGGCGAGACAGGAGCTGATGCATAGCCAGTCAAGAATCGACCACTCATGGTCGCTTGTTCGCAATTACGAGCCTTAAGAAAGGCTTTACTAAGCGATGAGTTTTCTAATCTGCCGAGTCTCAGCTTCAGCTATCTCAAGCACAGATTTCCAGTTTTAGCTCCTGTGCAAAGCTATCTCAGTGCTTGGAAGTCCTGTATGTAAGGTAGTCCTGAATGTGAAACCGCCATGGCCAAGATATAAGCCATGACAAGGTCACGTCGATGTCTCACCAAACTAAGGCGTGGTATGGAGAGAAGACGAGCCAACCTGGATACTGGGAACACCTGTGGCACCAAAGCAGCGTTCAGCGGCGGAAGAACCCGAAGCCTCTCCGAGCCTAGATTCGTCGCACAGACGGCCTGGTTAGAGACCAGACTCCGTCGCACGGGCTGCCCAACGTCGGATTCAGAGGGTTCATGCACGTGTATCCGTGGCGGCAACCACACGGAAGTGGCTAGCGCGAAAGTGCACGACTTGGGAAGGCTAGGCACGTCCAATCCCCGTTGCCGACAGATATACTCGGTTGAAGGAACGACGGAGGGGTGCCTCCCACTTGCAGAAGGCATGACGAAGCATAGTACTTGTCTACACGAATTCAAAACAGCTTTAGGTTATCGATTTATCACCCATAGCTGTGTTGTATAAATCCTGTGCGGTATTCATTTAAAAATGTATACTATATGAATAATAATTCAGATCTAGATTTTTACGTGAAACCCCTGACGAATGCCATCTAATGGGACGATCAGATTCTCAGCATAGTCACTAGGATAAGTTAATATAGACACCAGGATTACAAACGTTTTTAGCATAGAGAAGTACGATTAATGAACATATGGAGAACTGTAGCTGTTTTGTCTCTCTCAACCAACCGACACCCTGACCAGACCTTAGGAGTAGGTCAGGTGGTACGACTAACGAAAGATCCTTCTTGCCCTCAAAACCAGCAAAAATTTGCCACACAGGCTCGTCACCGTGAGGTTGTTCAGGTCAATCTGCCGAAGCTCAGCCGCCAATACCTGGAGCCGACGCGAACCGTCAGGTGGCCCTGACTTGGCTCGGCCTCAGGTAAGGGGAAATCTGGAAGTGCTTCGGAACCAACTTACAGGCTCGAGGTTTCCGTTTTGTCTGGTTCGGAGCCACGCAAGGTTACCAAACTGGAGATTCGGGGGTTCCATCCAATCAGTTCCATAGTTTCCTCCTGGGGCCATACAGTTCGGGGCGGGACAGAACTGCCCCCGATATTTTTGCTTCGCAAGTACACTGAGTCTAGACTCTAGAGGTATCAAGGCGTTTTCTCTGCATCACACTCCCCAGCTTCGGATTCTCATAACCACAAGCAGCGAGGCGCCATTCTTCCGTGCAACGTACTGCGCAGCTTGGGTCGCGGGGGAATCGTCGTGTAAGCGTCAGGCAAACCCTTGAAGGAAAGAGGATTAGGAGCGGAGGCGTTGGGAGGTGGTGGTGGAAGGGAAGGAGGGCCCCACGCGGGCATTCATCCTTCAATGGCTCGTTGTAGCTCCGAGTCGGCGAATCGAAATGGCGGCTCGCGAAGAGTTTTCCCGCCGCGTGCAATGCTCTCACGTGCCCAGCTCGTTAACATGACTTCGTTTGTCCTCGGAGTTTTGGCGGTTCTCGCGACTCTCGTTCCACTGACTGCTGCTCGCTCAATCGCTCTAACAGACTGTGAGTAAACGAGAGTTCGGTTTTTGCTCTGTCAACTTCCCCGCAACTCCTATCTCTCGCGTTTTCGGTCTCCGTACGATCCGCTTTCGCGTTTTCACCTGACGATTTGCATGCATAGGGAGGGATCAGAGTGCACTGCCACACCCCCAGCCTTTTATGATCTCCGAATCTGTGATGCCGCAAGCCCCATCCTATATCGTATTCGCGTGTTTCGGTGTGTTTTGAGTCGACTGTATAAGCGTGCTACGGTCCTACCTTTACAGCCCCAAAGGTCAAGGGAGGGAACAACTCCAATGTCGCCTCTATCAACGTCCCACCTTTACCCCCTCATTTTTTCCATTTGCCATCAGGGCAAGCGTTGCTGCGGCTGAAAGAGGACCTGAATCTCACCAACCCGCAGCGCAGCCCCGAGATGTATTGGCAACGGTCAAGGGAAGAAACATTTGTAGCATCGTCCTCTGTAACACAGGCCCACCTTTCCTTTCCCTCCCCACGCCCTTTCCGTTCCCCCACCAGGGCAAGCGCTGCTGCGTCTGCGAGAGGATTTGAACTTCACCAACCCTCAGCGCAGCCCCAAGGTGTACTGGCGGTCGCGAGAAAACTGCAATGTGGTCTTTGGCGTCTCATGCGACGACCAGGGCCGTGTGGTCACGCTGTGAGTGAGCGGGGAGGGGTGGGTGAGTGAGCTGCTGATGTGAGTGAGCCGACGCACTATTCTATGTTTGAGGTGCCTCAGAAACAGAAGCAGCCCCAAGGTGTACTGGCGGTCGAGGGAGAACTGCAACGTGGTCTTTGGCGTCTCATGCGACGACCAGGGCCGTGTGGTCACGCTGTGAGTGAGCCGTCGCAGTATTCTTGAGGACACGTGCGCGCACACACGCACACACGCACGCACGCGCGCGCACACACACACACACACACACACACACACACACACACACACACACACACACACACACACACACACACACACACACACACACACACACACACACACACACACACACATACACACACACTCGCACACACGCACACACACGCACACACACGCACAAACACGCACACACGCACGCACGCACGCACGCACACACACACATACACACACACTCGCACACACGCACACACACGCACACACACGCATGCACACGCACACACACACACACACACACACACACACACACACACACACACACACACACACACACACACACACACACACTCACACACACACAAGGGCGTTATCGTCACGCTCTGAGCCGTCGCACGATTGTTAGGGCACGTGATGCTGATGCTGTGTTAGTGAGCTGTCGCATGCTTCTCAATTTCCATGGTCTGCTCTGGCTGGCCGGACGTCTGCTAGTCGTCTTCAACAAAGGCCCTGGCCTGCCGTCTTGTCTAATAGGTTCTTTCTGCCACGTCTTGACAGAACTGCTTGCTGTTGCTCTCCCTAGCCTGCAGCGCACACTCTATCACTTTCACTACCTTTCGAGACCCTTCTGTGCTTCACCTTTCTTCTGTTCGCGTTTCATTACGTTGCGATGGCATGACGTGGTATGGCATGGAATGGAATGACGTGGCATGGGACGGCATTGCATGCATGGCATGGCCTTTCTCCTCTGAGGTCATTGTGGGGAGTCACAGGGCCCCTGCCAGACTCGATTGCCAACCTAACTGCACTTACGTCGTTGTAAGCACCTCACGTTATAAGATGTAGCAAAACCCTCTTCTTAGGTCCCTGTGGGGATTCACAGGGCCTCTGCCAGACTCGATTGCCAACCTCACTGCACTCACATCGCTGTAAGCACCTCCCCGAATCCCTCACTTCGTTATAAGCACACTCTCTCTGAAGCATCTGAATGTGTGTATATGCACACTGCCTGATAAACAAGCAGGCAAACATACGGCTGAACCGCTGAAACTTGAAGGCACACATTCAAACACCACTCCCCTGTGGTGGCCGCTGCATTGCATTGCACCATTAATTACCGTCTCACAGCCAGGCCCGCCTTGGAATACTCAATGTGCAAGCAGCATTCTATCTCGTATAGCTCACCACCTGTCTGTCTCTCTGCTGCGTTCATACCTGTGCGTGCACAGGTGGGTGGGCAACAACGTGACCAGCATACCCGCCTCGATCTCCCTGCTCAACTCAACACTCTCTGCACTGTATATAACCCTTTTTTTTCAATTGCGTATAAACCTTACATGTGTCTGAGTGTATGTGCAATATCTATGGGATCAATTTATGTTTCCCTTTGCCATAAAGCAGTTATTTCTTCCTTGAAGAATTTGCTTTTCCTTGACACTGTTTTTCCTCCCCGCTTTCCGCCCCTGCGGCAGCTTCTTGGGCGGCAATGCTATCAGCGGGAGCTTCCCTGCCGCCATCACCAAGCTTACTTCTCTGCAGGACCTGTGAGTGGAGGAGCAGGTAGTGGCATGGCATGACATGGCATGGCATGGCATGGCATGCGTTGTACGTGGAATCCTGACTCTCGTTTCTGTGTTCCCACACTGGCTCCTTCCCTCAACAACAAGCACGCTAAGCCAACCAACCCAAGGCCATCCCCGTCTCCTTCCCTTCACCCTGCCCCCCGCATCCATCCGATTGGCTCCTTCTCTCAACAACAAGCACGCTAAGCCAACTGAGAGCCATCTACCTCTCTCCCCCCACTCCCCCCCACCCATCCATGTGATGCTTCCCAGGAGTCTTGCCCACAATGACCTATCAGGCCCGCTGCCCCCAGGGATTGGCAAGCTGCCGCAGCTGCAAATGCTGTGAGTGCCCCTTGTTTGGTTTTCTATAGAAAAAAGAAAAGAAAACAAACAACAACAACAACAACAACAACAACAACAACAACAACAACAACAACAACAACAACAACAACAACAACAACAACAACAACAACAACAACAACAACAACAACAACAACAACAACAACAACAACAACAACAACAACAACAACAACAACAACAACAACAACAACAACAACAACAACAACAACAACAACAACAACAACAACAACAACAACAACAACAACAACAACAACAACAACAACAACAACAACAACAACAACAACAACAACAACAACAACAACAACAACAACAACAACAACAACAACAACAACAACAACAACAACAACAACAACAACAACAACAACAACAACAACAACAACAACAACAACAACAACAACAACAACAACAACAACAACAACAACAACAACAACAACAACAACAACAACAACTAATTCTACTGCTGCAAATGCTGCGAGGGCCCTAAGACACGATTGTTCCCCCCTTGTGCGCACACACACACGAACACGCACATATTCAAGTGGCTAGACCTTGGTCTCGTTTTCCCCCAACATCCGTCTTCACAGCCTCTTGGATCTATCAGACCCCATCCCCATCCCCGTCCCCATCCCCATGCACACCCCACTTCCCCCTCCTCACACACACACGGACGCACACATATTCAATCGGCTCGATCTTGGTCTCTTTCCCCCACAACGCCTGCATCTCTTGGTCTCTTGATCCATTCACATGGCCACAGGCGCTTGGATGGCAACCGCCTATCAGGCTCCATCCCCTCCCGTACTCTCCTCTCTCTCGCACACCCACACGGGCACACACACACATTCGGATGGCTCAATCTTGGACCTCTTTCTCCCCCAACACCCGTGTCCCACAGGCGCTTGGATGGAACAGTCTATCAGGCCCCATCCCCATCCACACTCCCAAATCTCTTGCACACACACACACATTCGGATGGCTCAATCTTGGACCTCTTTCTCCCCAAACACCCGTGTCCACAGGCGCTTGGATGGGAATCGTCTATCAGGACCCATCCCCTCTCTCATCTCCGCGCTCTCTTCGCTCTCCTACCTGTGAGTATCCGTGTATTAATCGGCCACTGAATCTTAACTCAACGGTCTATCACGCCCCATTTCCTCCCTCAACATCTCGCTCTCTGTGTTTTCCGCATGTCTTTTCCTGCTTGTGAGTCCTTGCCTCATAAATCTGCCATGTTTAACACCTATCAAACCCCATCCCTCCTGCTGCTTCCCTTAACATCATTGGCTCCCTTTTTCTCCCCCAACGTACCTGTGAACCCCTCCTTGCAGCTCATTCGCCTCTAACGAGCTCTCAGGGTGTATCCCCCCTTCCCCTCCCCCACAAATCTTTTTCTAGTTGACTCAAAACCCACTTCAAGAATCTACTCTCCTTCTCTGCGCATGTTTTTCCCGCCCCTCGTCACACCTTTCTCCCCCCCCACCTCCCCAGTTCTCTCGCCTCTAACGAGCTCACAGGGGCCATCCCCCCACAGATATCCGCGTTACAAGCCCTGCAGTACATGTGAGTCTTAGGTACTCGTTATAAGGCTCCTCCTCAATCCCCCCCACATATGTTACATGCATAGAGCTCATTGCGCCCCTCACGCAGTTATCCACGCGACAACCATCTACTCTTTAGCCGCTCAACAATAGACGCGACGCACCACCTCCTCAACCCATCCCACTCGTCCCCCATCCCACTCCCTGCTCCTCTCGTCCCCCTTGTCCCCCCCACGGCCTTCACACTGGTCTATGCCCCTCTCACACAGTGATGTGCGCAACAAGCCTTCTTTCCGGACCAATTCCCCCGCAGATCGGCAACAACCTTCTCTTTTTAAACTCACGTCCCCCCCACCCCCACCTCACTCCCTGCTCCTCTCTTCCCCCTTGATCTCTCTCCCCCTTGACCACACAGTGATGTGCGCAACAACCTTCTGTCCGGAGCAATTCCCCCGCAGATCGGCAACAACTACAACCTCAACTGGCTGTGAGTGCCAAACAGGTCTTTTAGTAAATCCCACATGAGCATTCAGACGATTTTTTAGGCGCCAAGAGGAAAGCAACCCGCTGTGCGGAGCCTTTCCCCCGCAGATTGGCAACAACTACAACCTCAACTGGCTGTGAGTGCCCCGCCCATCTGTGACTGAAGTGAAAACCCTTGTGAACTTGGAAAGGAAGAAAACAACCTTCTGTCAGTTAGTAGCCTTTCCCCCGCAGATCGGCAACAACTACAACCTCAGCTGGCTGTGAGTGCCCGCACATCCGTGACTGAAACCCACGCACAGCAACTCAGACGATTCGCGAGGAGCCTTTGAGAAACCAGCCTTCTGTCAAGAGTGATTCTTCCCCAGATCGGCGACTGTTGCAATCTTGATTAGCTGCCGAGACTAGGTTCCTTCACCCGTCCCCATCACAACCCTTCCTGTTGTTTACCATGGTTACGTGGTTACCGCATGCAGGTACCTGAGCAACAACCGTCTGTCTGGCTCCATCCCTGCTTCCATTGGCCGTCTCGATCGCCTGCGATACATGTGAGTGGCCTGCTGCTTTCCAGATGCCCCTGTGGGTTCCCCAACGATACAATTAAGTAGCATGATACATGAGTGAGCCAAGCCAAGGTGAAATTTCGATTGACTCAGAGGTCATCTGTTTCCATTGGCCGTCTCGATCGCCTGCGATACATGTGAGTGAACATAGTGCTGCTGCCATGATGTTACTCCCTGTGCCCTATGATGCCCGTGTGAATCACCTCACCCTGCCTGCCTTACTCACCCACATCCCAGCACAGCAGCTCTCCCTCACTGCAACCGCTCCGTCTCAAGCCCACCGCCCTCCCTCACTGCTATTGCTGCCATGACGTTATCCATTCCCCGCATACTCCCCCCATCGCACTGTGTCCCACTGCACTTTCCCTAATCCGGGAATGGTATTCCGCAAGTTGCCTCGACTTCGGTGTGTTCTTTAGGCCGCTCCCTGACTCCTTCACACCAACCCACACCACAACACATCACACCATTCCCCACCGCTCTCCACTCCCACCCACCCTCAGATTCATTGACATTAACGTGCTCAGCGGGTCCCTCCCTGACTCTATCACTGCACTCAGTGCACTTGTCTACCTGTGAGTTTACCCTTAAATTACTTGTGAAAAGACTGAAGTGCTCATTTCAAGCCATGCGTCGCGCACACAGCTCGTTTTAACAGCATCCTTGTTCTCCTTTTCTCCCCCCATTCCTGCTGCATTTCCCCTCCTCCCTCCCCCTTGCTCCCCTTCCTCCCCCCCAGCATCGCAAGTCACAATCTCCTCTCTGGCCCCCTCCCCACCAACATCGGCCAACTGCCCCGCCTCGCATTCCTGTAAGTCGGGGTGGCTTCTGATTCAACTCCACCAGCATTCGCCGACTGCCCCGCCTCGCATTCCTGTAAGTCCCTCCCAGAACCCCGTCTCTCCCGGTTCTTAACTTTAATTGGTTCGATTAGAGTTGACTTGTCTAGAGTTGACTTGTCTAGAGTTGACTTGTCTAGAGTTGACTTGTCTAGAGTTGTCTCAACTTCAGTTGGCTTAAACTCACCTCACGTGTGTTTGTCCCTCCATTTGCTTTCCCCTCCCCCACCTCTTCCCTACCTTGTGCCCTATTCTCCATGCTATCTTTTGAGTCGACTCAAAAACCATTTGCTTTCCCCTCCCCCACTCTTCCCTACCTTGTGCCCTATTCTCCATGCTATCACTGGCAGCTGGTTCCACCCTCCCTCAGCATCAATCCCTGACCGACCAATCCCCTTGATTCTTCACAATCCTTGTTTGTTTCTCTTAGGATAATTAGAATCCAGGCGCCAAGGAGCCTCCCTCACCTCCATCCTCACAATCCCCTCTTCCCTCCCCAACTCCGCCACCAACCCTCCTTCCCACCCACTTCTTTTCCCCTTCCCCTCCTCCCCTTCGCCCCCTGTGCACTACTCTCCATGTTACCCCCCCCCATGCAGGTCTATCAGCAACAACTCCCTGTCCGGCCCGCTCCCGCCCTCCACACATATTGCCTCTTCCCCCCACCCCCGCTCCCCTTCCCACCTGCTCACTCCCCCTTCCTCACCCACCTCTTCCCCCCTGTGCCCTACTCTCCATGTCCTCCCCCCCCCCCATGCAGCTCTATCAGCAACAACTCCCTGTCCGGCCCCCTCCCGCCCTCCATGAGTCAGCTCAAGCACCTGCAGATCCTGTGAGTGTTGCAAATGGTGTGTAGGCATGCGCTGTTGAAGAGGGCCTTAACAATCACCATTTAGGTGCCACCTGAGACGCTTTTGTGATTTTCAAAATAGTTTTCACTGATATTTTCTCTCTCCGCTGCCCTTTTCTCTCCCCTCCCCGCCCTCTGGGTGTCGTTTCAATAACCTTGGCCTTACTCGTCTCCCACTCTCCCTGTCTCCCTCTCGCCCACTCTCCCCCTCTCTCTCTCTCACACCCTCCCAGGGACCTGTCTCGCAACCGTCTCTCTGGTGCCATCCCAGATGCGTTTGCTGACAAGCCTGCCCTCAACTCCATGTGAGATACGCCCTTCCTCAGATAAGCCTTCCTTGAAAAAACTCCCCCAACTTCATGTGAGATACTCCCTTCCTGAGATAAGCCTTCCCTGAAAAACACCCTCAACTCCATGTGAAATACTCCCTCAATCCACATGAGACACACCCTCAAGTTCGTGTGAAATACGCCCTTCCTAAGGTAAGTGGTGCTAATCTAGATACGCCCTCAACTCAAATTCTCATCCTCACCCCCACCCTCATCCTCCTGTCCTTCTATCGACCTCTTCTCATCCTCTTCTCATCCTGTTCCATCCTGCTCTCTGCCTCGCTCGTTCCATTTCCCCCATCCCCGTTGCCCTTTCCCATCCCCCCATTCTCTCCCCCCCTCTCCCCCCAACAGAGATCTATCGTTCAACGCTCTCACAGGCCCCCTGTTTTTGAGGCGCCTCAGAAATAGATTCTCCATCCTCCCCCATCCTCCCCCCCTCCCCAACAGAGATCTATCGTTCAACGCTCTCACAGGCCCCCTGCCACCCACGCTCTCCACCTGTGGCTCTCTGTACACGCTGTAAGCAGCTCCTGTTTACCTTATAAGCAGCTCCTTGTTCACCATATAAAAGTTATATCTTTCACGCTCTCACAGGGCCCGTGGCATGGCATCACACCACGCTGTCCACCTGTGGCTCTCTGTACACGCTGTAAGCTGTACTCCTCATAAGCAGCTCCTGATTACCATATAAGAGATCTCTCGTTCAACTCTCTCATAGTCCCCCTGCCAACTGCCATGTCCAACTGTGGCTCCTATACACGCATCTATATACTTGGCCTTCCCCACCCACCCCTGCCCTTCCCCACCCATCCCTACCCTTCCTCACCCCTGCCCTTCCCCACCCACCCCTACCCTTCCCCACCCCTACCCTTCCCCACCCTACCAGGGACGTCAGCAGCAACTCTCTCAGTGGTGCTCCCGCCACCGTTGTCAGCAACATGCCCACGCTCTCCTACCTGTATGTCGTTCCCTCCGTCTCCTATCTGTATGCCACTTTCCCTCTGTCTGTAACCCTCCCTCTGCTTGCTTCCGCTCCCGCCACCATAGTCAGCAACATGCCCACGCTCTCCTACCTGTATAACCCTACTCTCCCTCCCCTCTCTCCTCTCTTCTTTCTCCTTCCTCTCCCCTTCCCCTCTCCTACCTGTATAACCCTACTCTCCCTCCCCTCTCTCCTCACTTCTTTCTCCTTCCTCTCCCCTTCCCCTCTCCTACCTGTATAACCCTACTCTCCCTCCCCTCTCTCCTCTCTTCTTTCTCCTTCCTCTCCCCTTCCCCTCTCCTAACAAGCCAGCCAGCAGATGGTTTCATACAGCATTACTAGCAATTTCTTCCACCTCGCTCCACCCCTCTCCACCCCTTGTTGCCCCTTCCCATCCCTTGCTATCGCCTCCATTTTCCCGTCCCTCCCTCCCAGCAACCTGTCTGTCTCAAAACTTCTTCACGGGTCTGGTTACCAGAGTAACGGACAGCCAGCAGATGGTATCATACGACATCAGCTCCAACTACTTCCACGGGCCCGGACTCGTCTCCGACACCACCCCCCTCTCACCGTCTCTCTCCGTTCATTGCTGACCCGTCCACCCCTCTGCACCCCTCTCTACCCCTTCGTTGCCTTGCCTCCCAATCTCAGAAACCTATCCCAGAACTACTTTACAGGCCTAGTTCCCAGGGTAACGGACAGCCAGCAGATGGTGTCATACGACATCAGCTCCAACTACTTCCACGGGCCCGGGCTTGTCTCCGACACCACCCCCTCTCCGTCCCTTGCTTCCCCTCGCTGTCCCTCCCATCCATCCCAGCAATCTATCCCAGAACTATTTCACAGGCCTCGTTCCCAGAGTGACGGACAGCCAGCAGATGGTGTCATACGACATCAGCTCCAACTACTTCCACGGGCCCGGGCTCGTTTCAGACACCACCCCCCTCGCGCTGCCCCTCGCCCTGCAATTCCTTCCCCTGCTCCCCATCCCTTGACATCCCTCTCCACCCTCCCCCACCCCTCTCCGCCCCTTGCTGCCCTCCATGCATCTCCCTCCCAGCAACCTGTCCCAAAACTATTTCACAGGTCTAGTCCCCAGGGTGACAGACAGTCAGCAGATGGTATCATACGACATCAGCTCCAACTATTTCCATGGGCCCGGGCTCGTATCCGACACCATCCTCTCCACCCCTCACCACCCCTCTCCACCCCCCGTTTGATCCCTTGCCGCCCTCCCAGCAACCTCTCCCAGAACTTCTTCACGGGTTTGGTTCCCAGGGTGACAGACAGTCAACAAATGGTATCATACGACATCAGCTCCAACTACTTCCATGGGCCTGGACTCGTCTCTGACACCACCCCCCTCGCGCTGCCCCTCTGCAAGACGGGCTTCGAGCCGGGAACCTTCTCGGCAGCTTCCAACTGCCTGGTGTACGGGGTTGCGACGGAGAACTCCTGCCCCACTCGCGTCGGCCCCATGAGCACAGGGGAGCTGCTGCAGGTGGGTGTAGTCACAGGTGTATAGATGGGTATAAATGGGTATGGAGTGTGGGGTTGCGACTGAGAACTCCTGCCCCACTCGCACTGGGCCCATGAGCACAGGCGAGCTGCTGCAGGTGGGTGGGGGTGGAAAGGGACTGGGGGATGTAGATGGGTATGGATGGGTATGGATGGTATGATTGTGTGGGGTTGCGACTGAGAATTCCTGCCCCACTCGCACGGGCCCCATGAGCACAGGGCAGCTGCTGCAGGTGGGTCTAGTTACAGGGGTATAGATGGCCTTAGCATTCCCTCTGCCCCCTGCTCCACCGCACACCAGGTGGACACTCAGCGTTCAGCAGCAGCCTGCCTAGCCTTTTGCCACACCAACATCACTCGCACCGCTGCCAACTCCCAATGCGGCTCTCTCCTTAGATGCTCCCTCTGCCCCCTGTTGCCCACCACACACACACCAGGTGGACACCCAACGCTCAGTAGCATCCTGCTCCGCCTTTTGCCGCACCAACGTCACTCGCACCGCCACCAACTCGCAGTGCGGATCACTGGGGAAGTGCGTGGTGGAGGTGACAGGCTCTCCCCCCCGCCCCTCCTTCTCCTGCGACTGCTTCAAGGGGACTCTCCGCTCCGCTGACGGCCTAAACTGCACAGCGATTGGTAAGACCACCCCCCCCCCACACTCCTTCTCAATTGATATTAGGGTTATGCACTGCTTGTGGGGTTGGTGCTGTCACTCAACCCCCGCCCGCCCCTCCCTCTCCTGTGACTGCTTCAAGGGGACTCTCCGCTCCCCTGACAACCTAAACTGCACAGCGATTGGTAAGACCTGCACGGCTATCGGTAAGCCCTCCTCTTGCACTCTCTGTAGGGCTGCTTCGGCCTTGAACCAGCCCAGCCCTGTGTGTCGCTCGCTTGTCCCACCCACGTCACTCGCATCACAGTCATCCTTTCCTGCTCAGTTATTGGTGAGACCCGTGCTGGTGAGACCCGTGCTGGTGAGACCCGTGCTGGTGAAACCTGTGCTGGTGAGACCTGTGCTGGTGAGACCTGTGCTGGTGAGACCCGTGCTGGTGAGACCCGTGCTGGTGAGACCCGTGCTGGTGAGACCCGTGCTGGTGAAACCTGTGCTGGTGAGACCTGTGCTGGTGAGACCTGTGCTGGTGAGACCCGTGCTGGTGAAACCTGTGCTGGTGAGACCTGTGCTGGTGAGACCTGTGCTGGTGAGACCCGTGCTGGTGAGACCTGTGCTGGTGAGACCCGTGCTGGTGAGACCTGTGCTGGTGAGACCTGTGCTGGTGAGACCCGTGCTGGTGAGACCTGTGCTGGTGAGACCTGTGCTGGTGAGACCTGTGCTGGTGAGACCCGTGCTGGTGAGACCCGTGCTGGTGAGACCTGTGCTGGTGAGACCCGTGCTGGTGAGACCCGTGCTGGTGAGACCTGTGCTGGTGAGACCTGTGCTGGTGAGACCTGTGCTGGTGAGACCTGTGCTGGTGAGACCTGTGCTGGTGAGACCTGTGCTGGTGAGACCTGTGCTGGTGAGACCTGTGCTGGTGAGACCTGTGCTGGTGAGACCTGTGCTGGTGAGACCTGTGCTGGTGAGACCTGTGCTGGTGAGACCTGTGCTGGTGAGACCTGTGCTGGTGAGACCCGTGCTGGTGAGACCTGTGCTGGTGAGACCTGTGCTGGTGAGACCTGTGCTGGTGAGACCTGTGCTGGTAAGACCTGTGCTGGTGAGACCTGTGCTGGTGAGACCTGTGCTGGTGAGACCCGTGCTGGTGAAACCTGTGCTGGTGAGACCTGTGCTGGTGAGACCTGTGCTGGTGAGACCCGTGCTGGTGAGACCCGTGCTGGTGAGACCCGTGCTGGTGAGACCCGTGCTGGTGAAACCTGTGCTGGTGAGACCTGTGCTGGTGAGACCTGTGCTGGTGAGACCCGTGCTAGTGAGACCTGTGCTGGTGAGACCCGTGCTGGTGAGACCTGTGCTGGTGAGACCTGTGCTGGTGAGACCCGTGCTGGTGAGACCTGTGCTGGTGAGACCTGTGCTGGTGAGACCTGTGCTGGTGAGACCCGTGCTGGTGAGACCTGTGCTGGTGAGACCCGTGCTGGTGAGACCCGTGCTGGTGAGACCTGTGCTGGTGAGACCTGTGCTGGTGAGACCTGTGCTGGTGAGACCTGTGCTGGTGAGACCTGTGCTGGTGAGACCTGTGCTGGTGAGACCCGTGCTGGTGAGACCTGTGCTGGTGAGACCTGTGCTGGTGAGACCTGTGCTGGTGAGACCTGTGCTGGTGAGACCTGTGCTGGTGAGACCTGTGCTGGTGAGACCCGTGCTGGTGAGACCTGTGCTGGTGAGACCTGTGCTGGTGAGACCTGTGCTGGTGAGACCTGTGCTGGTAAGACCTGTGCTGGTGAGACCTGTGCTGGTGAGACCTGTGCTGGTGAGACCCGTGCTGGTGAAACCTGTGCTGGTGAGACCTGTGCTGGTGAGACCTGTGCTGGTGAGACCCGTGCTGGTGAGACCCGTGCTGGTGAGACCCGTGCTGGTGAGACCCGTGCTGGTGAAACCTGTGCTGGTGAGACCTGTGCTGGTGAGACCTGTGCTGGTGAGACCCGTGCTAGTGAGACCTGTGCTGGTGAGACCCGTGCTGGTGAGACCTGTGCTGGTGAGACCTGTGCTGGTGAGACCCGTGCTGGTGAGACCTGTGCTGGTGAGACCTGTGCTGGTGAGACCTGTGCTGGTGAGACCCGTGCTGGTGAGACCTGTGCTGGTGAGACCCGTGCTGGTGAGACCCGTGCTGGTGAGACCTGTGCTGGTGAGACCTGTGCTGGTGAGACCTGTGCTGGTGAGACCCGTGCTGGTGAGACCCGTGCTTGTGAGACCTGTGCTGGTGAGACCCGTGCTGGTGAGACCCGTGCTGGTGAGACCCGTGCTGGTGAGACCCGTGCTGGTGAGACCCGTGCTGGTGAGACCCGTGCTGGTGAGACCTGTGCTGGTGAGACCTGTGCTGGTGAGACCCGTGCTGGTGAGACCTGTGCTGGTGAGACCTGTGCTGGTGAGACCTGTGCTGGTGAGACCCGTGCTGGTGAGACCTGTGCTGGTGAGACCCGTGCTGGTGAGACCCGTGCTGGTGAGACCTGTGCTGGTGAGACCTGTGCTGGTGAGACCTGTGCTGGTGAGACCTGTGCTGGTGAGACCTGTGCTGGTGAGACCTGTGCTGGTGAGACCTGTGCTGGTGAGACCTGTGCTGGTGAGACCTGTGCTGGTGAGACCTGTGCTGGTGAGACCTGTGCTGGTGAGACCTGTGCTGGTGAGACCTGTGCTGGTGAGACCTGTGCTGGTGAGACCCGTGCTGGTGAGACCTGTGCTGGTGAGACCTGTGCTGGTGAGACCTGTGCTGGTGAGACCTGTGCTGGTGAGACCTGTGCTGGTGAGACCTGTGCTGGTGAGACCCGTGCTGGTGAGACCTGTGCTGGTGAGACCTGTGCTGGTAAGACCTGTGCTGGTGAGACCTGTGCTGGTGAGACCCGTGCTGGTGAGACCTGTGCTGGTGAGACCTGTGCTGGTGAGACCTGTGCTGGTGAGACCTGTGCTGGTGAGACCCGTGCTGGTGAGACCTGTGCTGGTGAGACCTGTGCTGGTGAGACCTGTGCTGGTAAGACCTGTGCTGGTGAGACCTGTGCTGGTGAGACCCGTGCTGGTGAGACCCGTGCTGGTGAGACCTGTGCTGGTGAGACCTGTGCTGGTGAGACCTGTGCTGGTCAGACCTGTGCTGGTGAGACCTGTGCTGGTGAGACCTGTGCTGGTGAGACCTGTGCTGGTGAGACCTGTGCTGGTGAGACCTGTGCTGGTGAGACCTGTGCTGGTGAGACCTGTGCTGGTGAGACCCGTGCTGGTGAGACCTGTGCTGGTGAGACCCGTGCTGGTAAGACCCGTGCTGGTGAGACCCGTGCTGGTGAGACCTGTGCTGGTGAGACCTGTGCTGGTGAGACCCGTGCTGGTGAGACCCGTGCTGGTGAGACCCGTGCTGGTGAGACCGGTGCTGGTGAAACCTGTGCTGGTGAGACCCGTGCTGGTGAGACCTGTGCTGGTGAGACCTGTGCTGGTGAGACCTGTGCTGGTGAGACCTGTGCTGGTGAGACCTGTGCTGGTGAGACCTGTGCTGGTGAGACCTGTGCTGGTGAGACCTGTGCTGGTGAGACCTGTGCTGGTGAGACCTGTGCTGGTGAGACCTGTGCTGGTGAGACCTGTGCTGGTGAGACCTGTGCTGGTGAGACCTGTGCTGGTGAGACCTGTGCTGGTGAGACCTGTGCTGGTGAGACCCGTGCTGGTGAGACCTGTGCTGGTGAGACCTGTGCTGGTGAGACCTGTGCTGGTGAGACCTGTGCTGGTGAGACCTGTGCTGGTGAGACCTGTGCTGGTGAGACCTGTGCTGGTGAGACCTGTGCTGGTGAGACCTGTGCTGGTGAGACCCGTGCTGGTGAGACCTGTGCTGGTGAGACCTGTGCTGGTGAGACCTGTGCTGGTGAGACCTGTGCTGGTGAGACCTGTGCTGGTGAGACCTGTGCTGGTGAGACCTGTGCTGGTGAGACCCGTGCTGGTGAGACCCGTGCTGGTGAGACCTGTGCTGGTGAGACCTGTGCTGGTGAGACCTGTGCTGGTGAGACCTGTGCTGGTGAGACCTGTGCTGGTGAGACCTGTGCTGGTGAGACCTGTGCTGGTGAGACCTGTGCTGGTGAGACCTGTGCTGGTGAGACCTGTGCTGGTGAGACCTGTGCTGGTGAGACCTGTGCTGGTGAGACCTGTGCTGGTGAGACCTGTGCTGGTGAGAACCTGTGCTGGTGAGAACCTGTGCTGGTGAGACCTGTGCTGGTGAGACCTGTGCTGGTGAGACCCGTGCTGGTGAGACCCGTGCTGGTGAGACCCGTGCTGGTGAGACCCGTGCTGGTGAAACCTGTGCTGGTGAGACCTGTGCTGGTGAGACCTGTGCTGGTGAGACCTGTGCTGGTGAGACCCGTGCTGGTGAGACCTGTGCTGGTGAGACCCGTGCTGGTGAGACCTGTGCTGGTGAGACCTGTGCTGGTGAGACCCGTGCTGGTGAGACCTGTGCTGGTGAGACCTGTGCTGGTGAGACCTGTGCTGGTGAGACCCGTGCTGGTGAGACCTGTGCTGGTGAGACCCGTGCTGGTGAGACCCGTGCTGGTGAGACCTGTGCTGGTGAGACCTGTGCTGGTGAGACCTGTGCTGGTGAGACCTGTGCTGGTGAGACCTGTGCTGGTGAGACCTGTGCTGGTGAGACCTGTGCTGGTGAGACCTGTGCTGGTGAGACCTGTGCTGGTGAGACCTGTGCTGGTGAGACCTGTGCTGGTGAGACCTGTGCTGGTGAGACCTGTGCTGGTGAGACCTGTGCTGGTGAGACCTGTGCTGGTGAGACCCTGTGCTGGTGAGACCTGTGCTGGTGAGACCTGTGCTGGTGAGACCTGTGCTGGTGAGACCTGTGCTGGTGAGACCCTGTGCTGGTGAGACCTGTGCTGGTGAGACCCTGTGCTGGTGAGACCTGTGCTGGTGAGACCTGTGCTGGTGAGACCTGTGCTGGTAAGACCTGTGCTGGTGAGACCTGTGCTGGTGAGACCCTGTGCTGGTGAGACCTGTGCTGGTGAGACCTGTGCTGGTGAGACCTGTGCTGGTGAGACCTGTGCTGGTGAGACCCGTGCTGGTGAGACCTGTGCTGGTGAGACCTGTGCTGGTGAGACCTGTGCTGGTAGACCTGTGCTGGTAGAGACCTGTGCTGGTGAGACCTGTGCTGGTGAGACCTGTGCTGGTGAGACCTGTGCTGGTCAGAACCTGTGCTGGTGAGACCTGTGCTGGTGAGACCTGTGCTGGTGAGACCTGTGCTGGTGAGACCTGTGCTGGTGAGACCGGTGCTGGTGAGACCTGTGCTGGTGAGACCTGTGCTGGTGAGACCTGTGCTGGTGAGACCTGTGCTGGTGAGACCTGTGCTGGTGAGACCTGTGCTGGTGAGACCTGTGCTGGTGAGACCTGTGCTGGTGAGACCTGTGCTGGTGAGACCTGTGCTGGTGAGACCTGTGCTGGTGAGACCTGTGCTGGTGAGACCTGTGCTGGTGAGACCTGTGCTGGTGAGACCTGTGCTGGTGAGACCTGTGCTGGTGAGACCTGTGCTGGTGAGACCTGTGCTGGTGAGACCTGTGCTGGTGAGACCTGTGCTGGTGAGACCCTGTGCTGGTGAGACCTGTGCTGGTGAGACCTGTGCTGGTGAGACCTGTGCTGGTGAGACCTGTGCTGGTGAGACCTGTGCTGGTGAGACCTGTGCTGGTGAGACCCGTGCTGGTGAGACCTGTGCTGGTGAGACCTGTGCTGGTGAGACCCGTGCTGGTGAGACCCGTGCTGGTGAGACCCGTGCTGGTGAGATCCGTGCTGGTGAGACCCGTGCTGGTGAGACCCGTGCTGGTGAGACCCGTGCTGGTGAGACCTGTGCTGGTGAGACCTGTGCTGGTGAGACCTGTGCTGGTGAGACCTGTGCTGGTGAGACCTGTGCTGGTGAGACCTGTGCTGGTGAGACCTGTGCTGGTGAGACCTGTGCTGGTGAGACCTGTGCTGGTGAGACCTGTGCTGGTGAGACCTGTGCTGGTGAGACCTGTGCTGGTGAGACCTGTGCTGGTGAGACCTGTGCTGGTGAGACCTGTGCTGGTGAGACCTGTGCTGGTGAGACCTGTGCTGGTGAGACCTGTGCTGGTGAGACCTGTGCTGGTGAGACCTGTGCTGGTGAGACCCGTGCTGGTGAGACCCGTGCTGGTGAGACCTGTGCTGGTGAGACCCGTGCTGGTGAGACCCGTGCTGGTGAGACCCGTGCTGGTGAGACCCGTGCTGGTGAGACCCGTGCTGGTGAGACCTGTGCTGGTGAGACCTGTGCTGGTGAGACCCGTGCTGGTGAGACCCGTGCTGGTGAGACCCGTGCTGGTGAGACCGGTGCTGGTGAGACCTGTGCTGGTGAGACCTGTGCTGGTGAGACCTGTGCTGGTGAGACCTGTGCTGGTGAGACCTGTGCTGGTGAGACCTGTGCTGGTGAGACCTGTGCTGGTGAGACCTGTGCTGGTGAGACCTGTGCTGGTGAGACCTGTGCTGGTGAGACCTGTGCTGGTGAGACCTGTGCTGGTGAGACCTGTGCTGGTGAGACCTGTGCTGGTGAGACCTGTGCTGGTGAGACCTGTGCTGGTGAGACCTGTGCTGGTGAGACCTGTGCTGGTGAGACCTGTGCTGGTGAGACCTGTGCTGGTGAGACCTGTGCTGGTGAGACCTGTGCTGGTGAGACCTGTGCTGGTGAGACCTGTGCTGGTGAGACCTGTGCTGGTGAGACCTGTGCTGGTGAGACCTGTGCTGGTGAGGCGCCGTGTGCAAGGCCTGTGTTGCACAGTGCACTGCTTGCGGGGTTACCACCGCCCCACCATTCTCTCCACCCCACTCCGCCCCACCCTGAACCTTCTCCGTCTCCCTCTCTGCCTTGAGTTGAGTTGTTGCTCCCATCACTAAACTATGCCTTCTTGTTTCTTGCTCTTTCCCCTTCCGCTTCCCCTCCTTCCCAAATCGCAGAGAAACCCTCCCCTTCACCTCCTCCCCCCCGGCCACCCCCGCCCCCCACACCCCCCTCACCGCCTCCCCGTTCGCCTCCTCCCTCCCCTCCTCCCGCCACTATTCCCCTTCCGAGCCCCCCCCCACCCACTCCTTCTCCTCCCCCGCCTTCTCCCCCCCCACCAACGCCCCCTTCTGACTCAGTGGATATTGAAACAGCATCTGCCCCAACCCCTGCGCCTGTTTCTCCCCCTGACAGCCCCCCTCCCCCTAGCCCCCCTCCCCCTTCCCCTCCCCCACCCTCCCCTCCTTTGGAAAGTCCCCCTCCCCCTTCCCCTCCTCCCCCCTCCCCTCCTCCCCCCTCCCCTCCTGTGGACAGCCCACCTCCCCCTTCCCCCCCTCCTTCTCCCCCCCTCGAATCCCCCCCACCGCCCTCCCCTCCTCCCCCTTCTCCTCCCCCTCCCTCGCCACCGCCATCACCCCCTCCGCCCTCCCCTCCTCCGCCCTCACCCCCTCCTCCCTCCCCCCCTCCCCCATCTCCTCCTCCGCCTTCCCCCAGCCTTGTGGAGGAGGGTTGGGATGTCGAACCCAATGGGGGCTTGCCAGCTGTCCCTCCGGACTCTCCCTCGCCTCCCCCTGACTCTCTCCCTCCCCCACCTCCAGACTCGCCCCCTCCCTCTCCCCCTCCTTTCCCCCCTCCCTCTCCTCCTCCCTCTCCTCCTCCTTCTCCTCCTCCCTCCCCTCCTCCTTCTCCTCCTCCTTCTCCTCCCAACCCTCCTCCCTCTCCTCCCCCCAACCCTCCTCCCTCTCCTCCTCCCTCCCCTCCTCCTTCTCCTCCTCCTTCTCCTCCCAAACCCCCTCCCTCTCCTCCGCCCAACCCTCCTCCCTCTCCTCCCCCCAAACCTCCTCCTTCTCCTCCTCCTTCCCCTCCTCCCTCTCCCCCACCCCCCTCTCCTCCCTCTCCCCCACCCCCCTCTCCTCCCCCTCCCCGCCCACCCCCACCGTCTCCCCCTCCCCCATCCCCGCCGCCCCTCTCTCCTCCGCCGCCCGCCACCCCTCCCCCACCAACCACAGTCAACGGGGCCAAGTGTGGGTGGTTCTTGGGGTACTATAAGTGCGAGAACCACGACAACAATTGGGCTGGGTAGATCTATTGGGATGGTTGGGGTGGAAGCGGCATGGGGGCAAAGGACCGCTCTGGGGACAAGTGTGGGTGGTTCTTGGGGTACTATAAGTGCGAGAACCACGACAGCAATTGGGCTGTGTAAGGCTATGCGGCTGGTGGGGAGGAGCATGAGGGACGTTGACGGGTGTGTGGGGAAAAGCAAGTGTGGATGGGGTCAAGTGCGAGTGGTTCTTGGGGTGCTTTAAGTGTGAGAACCAGGTGACTTTTGAGTCGACTCAAAAGTCTTCTTGGGGTGCTATAAGTGTGAGAACCACGAGAACGATTGGATTGTGTAAAATTGTTTGGCTGGGAGGGGCATGGGAAACAGGGACCACTCTCAGGGGCAAGTGTGGGTGGGTGGTGGCAAATGTCGGGGGTTCCTGGGGTATTATAACTGCGAGAACCACGACAGAAACGTGGTGTGAAGCTGTTTGGCTGGTTGGGGTGGGTGAGATGGGCATGGGGAACAGGGACCGCCCTGGGGGCACGTGTGGGTGGTTCTTGGGGTGCTACGAGAACCATGACGGCAAAGTGACAGTATAAAGTGTGGGTGGGCTAAGTGTGCATGAGGCAAGTGTGTGTGGTTTTCGGGGTTCTGTAAATGCGATAACCACGACGAGAAGCAGTCGACACAAATTCTCTGGCTTGCTGGGATGCCAGGACGGAGTAGGTAGGGCTGCTCTCTGGGTCCCGACTCCCTTGCACATGGTTCGAGTGCGAGGATTTCCTGTTGTACTATATACCTGAATGGGTCATGGGATGAGACACACACACAGGCTGGGTGGTCCTGGGTTAGAATCAGTAGGCTGTTTGGAGATACGGTAGGACTTCATTGGATTCCTCTTAGAGGGCCTTGCATATTGCTGGGATCCCTGGGATAGGTTGTGGGACTGCACTGCAATCGGTTGATTGAAAGCGCTGGGATGTTGGGGGGACAAGCAGCAGAACCCCCGGCGTCAGTCTATTTACGCCAATTTGAGCGGGGAAATGGGTGACTCCCATTTTTTGTTACAATCCCAAGTGGGACTTAGTGAAGGATCGCTCAGGGTTGATCGCAGGGTAATGTTGCAGCGGAAGTAGTGAACTCATGCCAGAGTGAATGTAAATGACTGAGATTGATAATAGCATGCATACATTGAGTTTATATAGGAAATACAAAGGAATACGAAACGACCTAGACTAGCCATGTACTCTAAAGGGTACATTCCCTTATTACAGCGAAGTTCGAACCGTGCGGCGCGGGAACCCGTTTCAAACCTGTTCCCGCTCTTTTCACTTCGAATGTTTCTGCCTGCATCGGTCTTGATCATACGGTTACCATTGTCTGTCTGAATTATATTCTTATACCTGCATGTAGTTCTAGCTGCAGTGTAGATATTAACTTTATAGGTGGTGCACCTCTTTGTTTGCTATATGTACCCTAGTGCTATAGTGAACATTCATTTCTCCTCTCTCACTTTCTCGACTCTCTCTCCTTGGCACAATCTAGCTCGACTCCCTTGGACTAGGCTACTAAGCCTAGGCCCACTTAAACCCCAACTACCTACTCCTACTTATGCCACTATTCTGACATGGTATCAGAGCGTTTACGCTCCTGGCCTGTGGGCCCGCCCTATGCTTCCGCTACTTTACTGTCTGTCGCGCGCCCCGTGGCGCGCGACGTTTTTCTTCCCGCCACGCGCTCCGAGCGCGTGGCGGTTTTCTGCCCGCCACGCGCTCGGGGCGCGTGGCGGTTTCCTGCCCGTCGCGCGCCCCTGGAGTGCGCGGCGGTTTGCTGCTCCGTCGAAGCGCCCCCGGGGACCTACGCGTCGCCCCCCGTCACCCGTCGAAGCGCTCCCGGGACCCGCGCGCGGCCCGTACAGCCTGCGCGCGGCCCGTACGACCTGCGCCAGGCCCGCGAGCGGCCCGTACAGCTCGCGCGCGGCCCGTACGGCCTGCGCCAGGCCCGCGCGCGGCCCGTACAGCCCGCGCGCGGCCCGTACGACCTGCGCCAGGCCCGTGCGCGACCCGTACAGCCTGCGCGCGGCCCGTACGGCCTGCGCCAGGCCCATGCGCAGCCCGTTCAGCCTGCGCCAGGCCCACGCGCACCTGCCCTGCCGTGCGTGCGCCCGCTCCCGCCCCGTGCTGCCTGTGTTAGGGTTTGGGGGTGGCGAGTATGGGTGTGACGGGTGTGTGATGCCTCCCCTGCTCCTCCTCCTCCTCCGTCTCCCACTGCTGCAGCTGCCGCTGAGGGGGGTGGATGTGTTGGAGCCGTCGGAGTAGTACTATGGGGGTGGCGTGTGAGCAGTGCTAGGGGGTACAGCAGGGGGTGTGTGAAAGGGGTGTGGGACAGCTGGGGGAGGTTGACTGGAGGCAGCCGTCTTGTCGTCCGCAGCGCCTGTAGTCCGGGGTTTAGCCTGGTAGCCCAGAGAGCCAGCTGCGCCTGTCGCCGTGTAGTCCGGGGCTCTGCGCCTGGTAGCCACAGTGTGCGCGCTCCTGGTAGCACAGAGAGCCAGCTGCGCCTGTCGCCGTGTAGTCCGGGGCTCTGCGCCTGGTAGCCACAGTGCTGCGCGCTCCTGTTGCCCGTGTGTCTGCAGCTTCAGCCGTCGCCTCCCATCTTCTCGCCCCCACAGTTTCTCCTCTTCCTCACTTGCCCTCTGTGATAGCCTCTAGCTTTGCTTATCATTGTGAACTATTGCTCTGCCTGCTTGTTGTGCTGATTATACCCCACTTTGACTATGGGGGTGTGTCAGAATGTTATAATTGTCTAGCCTGCAGTGGGGTACTCTATAGCGAGTACAACCCAATTAGGGTTTCCTATATGTATCTCAACTGCTGCTAGTGCAACTGCTCCTTTCTCATTCTAACTTCTTGTCCTTAGTATTCTGACATGGTATTAGAGACTGTTAAGTCCTGGCCTGTGGGCCAGCCTCACGCTTTCGCTGCTGTTTTTCCGGTCGCGCGCCTCGGGCGCGTGGCGATTTTCGTTCTGTCCCGCGCCCGGGTGGCGCGTGACGTTTTTTTCTGCCCGTCGCGGACCCGCCCCTGGCGCCCGCGACGGTGCCCTGAGCCGCCGCGAACCCGCCCCTGGCGCCCGCGACGGTGCCCTGAGCCGCCGCGGACCCGCCCCTGGCGCCCGCGACGGTGCCCTGAGCCGCCGCGGACCCGCCCCTGGCGCCCGCGACGGTGCCCTGAGCCGCTACGGACCCGCCCCTGGCGCCCGCGACGGCGCCTCTACCTCACCCCGCGCCTGCACTCGCTGCAGCCGCCCCTGCCCTACCCGCACCGACCCTCTGTAGCCGCTCTGCGGCTTTATCCCCCCCCCCCCCCCCCCCCCCCCCCCCCCCCTTCCTCCTTCGTCTCCCTGCAGCCGTGGGGGGGAGGGTATGGGGGTGGCGGGTGTGGGGGTGATGGGTGGTGTGTTTCCCTTCCCCTCCTCCTCCTTTTGTTCCCACTGCTGCAGCTGCCGCTGGGGGGGAGGGTGTGAGGGTGTGGGGGAGCCAGGGGATTGGCACTGGGATGGCGGGTGTGAGACCAACCAGCCGCCCCTCCTGAAGTGGTGGGGGGGGGGGGGGAGGAGAGTAAAGGGGTGGCAGGAGTGCCTGCCCCTTTGCTGCTGTACTTGCTCTGTTGCCTTGCCTGCTGTTGCTGTTTTCTCTGTCTGTGGTGTACCCCTGCAGGTTGTGTTCTGCACTTAGCTATTCTTGCATGCAGTTACGGGGGGATGTCAGAATTATATTCTTATACCTGCATGTAGTTCTAGCTGTAGTGTAGATATTAACTTTATAGGTGGTGCACCTCTTTGTTTGCTATATGTACCCTAGTGCTATAGTGAACATTCATTTCTCCTCTCTCACTTTCTCGACTCTCTCTCCTTGGCACAATCTAGCTCGACTCCCTTGGCCTAGGCTACTAAGCCTAGGCCCACTTAAACCCAACTACCTACTCCTACTTATGCCACTATTCTGACAGTGTCGATTCGACTCTTCTGACTCCTCGGCTTCATATACTTTAGAGTCGGCCCCTGTAGCATACAGGAATGCATTCTCGTAAAGTTTCATATCGTAACACTCCCCTTCATTCCTGGGCGCGCAGGAGGCTGACTCGTTTGACCACTCCGGTGAGGTCGGAACAGTGCTTGTACTGCTGACGTGGCAGTCGCTTGGTGAGAAAGTCGGCTGCCATCTCGGTGGTAGGGCAGTACGTGAGATCAACCTTGCCCTGGTCAATTTCGTCCTTGACGAAAAGGTACCGAAGCGTGATGTGCTTCGTGCGGTTCACGAACCCTGGCTTGTTCGCAATCTTGATGGCACTTGTCGCGTGTTAACGTGAAGAAGGAAGAGTGTACATACTGTATATTTGTACAGTGCCGAGAAGAGGCATGTGCCGAGGACCGAAGGTGAGGCGGGCATGTGAGGATGGCGCATGACAAGGTGAACAGGTTAGGGCAGGAGTCAGGGTTCGGAAGGAGGGATGGGTGACAGCTGGAAGGTGCTGCTTTTGTTTCGTGTGAGTATGCATGTTTGCTTTCTTGCAGGTTGGGTGCCCGAGCCAGCTGGAACTACAAGCCAAGAGCTGGAGGTTTGGCAGTTGGATGGCTAAGTGCCGGAGGCGAGTGGGATGGTTGGTTGGCTCTTCGTCACGGCGGAGAGGCCATCACCTCCAAGGCATAGCAATAGGGGGAGGGTTTCAGGCAGGATATAGGGGGGTACGGGCAATGACTCTGCATTGTTTGTATGTTCTGTGCTAATCTCATGTAATTGCTTCAGCTCGAGCAGTTGTGAGACAACAGGCTATAACAGACCTTAGGAACATCGCAGGCTCATGCAAGCGGATTGGTGAGTAAGCCCGGGAGGCTTATCACATACAAACAATCGAGATGCAGTAGCATGCGGACGCGGAGCGGGACGGAGTACGAACTAGGAGCTGAGATAGTGACGTCGCGGCAAGGATCGCCGATAACAGTGCGAGGCATGAATCAAGGGACGGATACGCGGGAGGAAGTGGGCCGTGGACCGGACTCTCCCCGACAGGAGCCGGAAGAACAAGATCGGCAAGAGGAGGTGTCGGGAGAGAAGGAAACTGCTGAGGCAGGAAAGAAAGTCTCGCGATCGGAGGAGCGACCGATGCGGAGCGGGAGGGAGGATCGCCCGTCAGGATCCTACCAGCGGAGTGCATCGTGGCAAGAAGAGGCGTCGGTGCAACGATGGAAGTACACACTGCTGCCGAAGATCGAAGTGCCGGAGCGGTTCTCGGGAGAGACTCGGCGAGGACCATTGATCAAGAATTACGTGATGCAGCTGGACAACTTGAGGGCAAGGTGGGAGCGGGATCGGCTGGACCCCGAAGAGTTTTTCCGAGGATTGGCCAACACATTGACCGGAGAGGCGGAGACCTTTTACCGTATCAGTCGGCGAGAGTTGCTGGAGTGGACCGCTCGGGCAGCACCCGGGGAGAGAGATCCGACGGCTCGCTTCCTAACCATGCTGGAAGATCAATTCCCTGCGCAGACCCCGGAGCGAGTTTCGGAATTCCGAGATTTC